AATTACATAGGATCATCTCCACTACATCACAGACAAATCCAAGCAGGGACAAGATCACCTGAGTCAGAATAGGACAGGGAGATCCCACAACAGGAACAGAATTATCGAATAGCATGCTTAGGCTGCTGGTGACTCAGCATGACAGGGGAAAATACTCCTGAAATGCACTAAGGTTATTCTGTAACATATAATCATAGGTAAGTTCCCAGCAGCTTAAAATATTATTGTCCTTTTCCAGCAGTTTCCATTTTTTACATGTTGCAGTATTTTGTTTGTAAACCAACTATTATGTTATGGTAGGACCTGGATGAACCTAAGGTTGAACTGGGACAGTGATTCAGAGTAGCCCTCACGTAGGTTCATCCCAAGTCACATGAAATTGCATAAGCATGCAGAGCACACCTTTCAGCCATTTTTGTTTTCACAAAAATTTATAATCAATTGTATGCGTGGGGACATATAGTGGATAAAATGGGTGTTGGCTTGTGGATGCTGGGCTGCCACAAAGAGCCAGCAATTTGTCTCATGCAAGACATGTTCTGCCTTTGACAATGATGCAGCAGAGGGAAGGATAATGAATATGTAGTACTTACTCGGACTGGTATCTTTGTGCATTTTTCAGTTCAGGCACTTGGATAAAGCTGCACAATTCAAAAAAATATCATATCTTTTGGATCAGCACATTAAATGGATTTGTGACATATCTTTGCCTGGTTGCAAGAGTGTTACATTATTTAAAGTTGGATGAGCCTGAATGAGAGGTATTGTAATCCTGCAGATGTATATGCTTGGTATTGTCAAACATCTTGTATTCCTTTGACTATAAGCCATTTTAAGTAACATTGATAGAAATCCAGGGTAGATAAATCTACTTTGTGATATGCAGTAAATTATATGATAAGTAGGAATGACAAAGTTATATAGTCAGTTAAGGAAAAGAGATATGGTTGAATTATCTCCTAATCAACTGAATTAAATCAGGTTAATTTGTAAATGGTTATATGTCACAATTAGTTACACTAACCTTTGGTCAAAGTCTCCTCCATCAATCTATAGTATATGATATTACACTAGAAGCTGGACAAATTAAGGTTCAATTGAGAGTAAACACCATTTGAAATTTGTATATATGTTATAAATGATGAAAGCAGGTAGTATTGTATTCTGCTTCATGGCTATTAGTACTATTGATAATGTATTGATGTTGGCTACATTTATGCAGGAACTATTTTTGCAGTAAAGCCCCCCTGACACCATGTGACATGTGGCAAATGTCTGGGATTATCCCATCTAATGGGATTATCCCACCATAACAAATGGTCTGATACCATGGGAAAATCCCAGAAGGGTGGTATTATCCCACTTCTGGGATGATCCCATCCTTGCTGGAGCACTTGGGATGATACCAGGAAAAACAAGCTCTTAGCTTTATACATTTACACAGATAGTTGAAGCTAAATGCTTATGTTTTGGGGGTGACTGAAGTGGCAAAGTTATAGTAATGAAACCCTGGTCCGAACGGTTGTCAGGGGGTGGTCCGCTTGTTAAGCTGTCAACCCTTCTCCAGACTGGCGGAGGAAAGTGCCCGGCCTGGTCAGAGGTATTCAAAGAAGAAGTTTGTATTTAAATTCTAATCAACAATAGTTCCACACTATTGCTGAGTTACAGTACTCCCCTTAACACTGGAGGCCGTGTATCAAAGTGATTGTCTCGTCTCCCAGAGCACTACGGGGCCATTGCGAAGAGCGCACCCTTCTGCTATATGGGATATCCCTAAATAATAACACTATCTCCTTGACCCTGGAGTCCAGGTTTGCACAATGTGCGACATCAGGAAAAACCCTTTTGCTATATAGCGCTATATAGCCACCACCTATATATATAAATGCATTCATAGAAACTATAGTACTATCAGTGCAATCATAGCTCTTATAGCTCTTATAGCACAGTAGTAGGCAAAATTTTAACGAAGGGGAGAAGTATCTATAATTCCCTCAAACTCTGGATTAATCTAATAAACTTGTTCAATAATAGAAAGAGGCCAAAAGTGTTTGGAGTCAAGTATATTATTATAGGCAAGATACTATAAGTGCTCTTATAGCCTATAGCAGCCTACATAGCTCCTATAGCTGTAAAGGTCATAGTTATAATATAGTTCAAGGTGCTTAAAAGGGCTAATAAATCATCCAGTATTAATTAATTATGTAGCCTGTATTAGTGAAATAGTAGTTTGTATCCCTGATACTCACCAAATAAGAATAATGATTTATCCAAATATAAGTAATGACAATAAGTAAAAAAATAATCTAAGTCCATGAAAGGTCAATATATAACACCTGTATAATACATTTTATAAGCTCTCATGGTGTAAGTGGATAAATGTGATGTGTGGCTGTAGGTTTTTTAGTCACCCAAGAGCTGGCTAGCAAGTTGAGAGTTCAAATCCTGTCTGTGTTAATTTTTTTCAATCAGCCACACAACAATTTCCAACATCTATAAGAGCATTTATAGAGCTATATGAGGCTCTATAGATGGCAGAGGTTCTATAACAGGTTTGATCACTATAACAGCTTTATGAGTACTTATAGTGCTATAGAGCTCTATATAGCTACCCCCATTTTTCCTGGTGGAGAGAGTAAGAAGAGCGAGTCCTAATGTAACAACCTAGAGTTTTTATACTCTGGCGCACAACTAGAACTAACTATAAAGGTAGTGAGGGGAGTGGTTACCCTTTGGATAGGACCAAGTTAGTTGTGGGTAAACAACAGGAGGACTAGCTGAGGAGTCTCCTGGATCTATTACGGTATATATACTACTACAAGTTGTTTGTACATGTTGTACTATATAGTTGATAAGGTAGTGGCTGATGATGTCAGAGGGTACAGCCCATGTGACCAGCTCCACTGTGTGAGAGACTTGTAGCTAAACTAAGAATAAAGGCAGCGCCACGCGAGAAAGAGGAGTTTGAACAAAAAAAGGGAAAGTGCCGCATGGCACGGAGTGTGAAAACTACAGTGAAGGTTAAAGCGGAGAATGAAAATAAAAGGAAAGGTCCAAAAATGTGTTATCGTAACATAATATGTTTTGTGTTTTATTGTGCTGTGCTAATTATAATTTTGCTATTCAGCACTTGATCCTGGTGTGAAGTTAGAGTATACTCAAGTTCATTGGGACAAGAGTATTATTCTACTGGTGTTAAAACACTTGAGGAAAAGGTGTATACTTGTTATGTGATTTATTAAGCATATTTAACACTTTTTGTAGTTTAGTATTTATGCTAATAAGCAGAAGAATAGCAAATCTACTAGCAACAATGCTGAAAAATCTATCATAGGTATGTCTGATTTGATATTCAAGTATACCAAACTAATTATGATGATCAAGTTACTCCAGTGACTAGCCAAGGTTATGGTGCTTCATGACTCCGTTCAACACTAGCTTCTAGAGTCAACTGTGAGAACACATTTCACAGTCCTCATCAAGAGCTTGAGAATTATCTTCAAAGTCCCTTGGAGAATGATATTGTTGATGTGATCAAATGGTGGGTCATAAGTACAGTACCTTGTTGGAGTACAAGCGGGGACAGACCACTTGCCGCTTTAAGCTATGGACAAATAGGAACTATGGACCCATTGTACGAATGCATGTATGTCTCAGCTTTAAAGCTGGACAATTGATTATGTACACTGTCGCTTTGGCCGAGTAGCAAGATATAAGCCACTTGAGCACAGAGACTCACTTCAGACCTTTCTACACAGTCTGAAGTGAGTATCTGACAGTCTTTTGCAACTATGCCATTTACTAAATATGCACCTACAAGTTTATCTTACCATAGGTACATACTCCCGGTGTCGATGATGAGAACTGTTGTTAGAAAACCACACACAAAAACAAACTAACACACAATCCTCCCAGATTCCACGGATCCTTCAAAGTAAAACCCAGTGATGTATGAGTGTGGGTTTTGAGGAGGAGGGATAGTTGAATTGATAGAAGATAGGGGCTTAGTGACGAGTATAGATAAGCACTACCTTGCTAATCGTAGCACAAGGTAGGTTTGAGAACGACAATATGACGAGGTTCCCAGTGATAGCAGGCTCCTGACGCACAAACTGTAGTGCTCAGAAGGACTCTAATCGAAAGGGATGACAATGACTTCAAAAGTGGGAAGTGGCGATGAGAGCAATTAACAGTGGTAGCAGTGGGAAGTGTTGTGACCACACTGGATCACAAGTAGCAGAGAGTAGTGAACTTAAGATTAGAGAAGAAGTCTGGATTGGAGTTCTTGTTTTTTTACAAGGTAAAATACAGGGGTTTATATAGTAAAAGAAAAGTAGGCTATGCACAGTATAGCTGTGCAAAAAGAATGAGAAAGAATATGAAGGAAGGAATGTATGCTGACAAATCCTGCGTAGGTAGTACAGGATAAGATTGTCAAAAAAAGGAAAAGAAAGGGATAGAACAATGAATGCTGTGAGTAATGTCACAGGTTTGTACAGCCATAAAGTAAAGTCCAATAGCAAAAAGAGAGCAGGAAATCATGATGTTATGGGAAGATGCAGTAAAAAAAGAGCAAGGCAAAACACTATCAGTAGCAACACAGTTCCTTTATTGTCAGTCAGACATTCTAAAAAAATATGTGTCCATAAAAATGATTCAAAAATCAAAAATAATCGCACTGTAAATGAATGTTCTGCTGAAAAAAAGAAACTGGAGCCACCGGTCCACCACCTAATCCAAATCCGACAGTTCCATGGCCTTACCAATGGACTGGTTGTGTTGGACCACCTGATCAAACGAGGGAGGGAGAGGAGTAGTTCCAATTTGGAACAAGTGAGTCCCAGACAGCGTGTGATAGGTGTAGCTGTAGCGAAGACGATGGACAAAAGATAAGTGTACCCAAGTGAATGGGACAGCGATGAACATGGGCAATGCAAGGGGATGAACCTTCTCCAGCTCAAAAACTACCCACCCACGCTCCAACCAGGCAAGACGAGCAACCAATGTTTTGATAGTATATGATGGTAGATCGACGTCATAAAGATGGACCTGTTGCCCTATTTGAACCGGCCGCCGGGGCTTTGCTGATATCAGCAGTGGCATGTGGTAGTTAATGGATTGGCGACGGAAGCGGATAGGAAGTGGTCACATCAGAAATGGTGGGGGTGCAAATAAGATGAGGAGGAGGAGGGTGGAGGTGACGAAAAAGTGGATTAGAATGGGGATCCAGAAACGACCATCAGGTGAGAATAAAAAGGAGAGGAAGGGGCCCATGGTGGGGCTAGGCAAAGGAAGGGGAGTAAGGGAAATAACAAAAGCGAGGGCGCAATGCAATGTGTAGCCAGTGGCGACGCGAAAATTTGCCGAAATGCCGAAATGTGGAAAGTACCGGATGGAAAAGCAAAGGTGAGCGTGACTGGATTGCCTAATAGAGGTGATGCTGATCAGCCACAAGTTCAAAAAAGGCAATATTAATTACTATTCCACGTGGCACTGTGCCTGTGTGGCGCAAAGGCGAGTCTTTTTGAATATTTGCTTCGTTATTGACACCTGTTCATGCTACCAATCAACTTTGGTGCATGACACCGGATATCAGACCTTTCTACACAGTCTGAGTTTATCTTACCATATACCTAGTGTTTCTTTGCATATTAATTCCTGATTAACATGTAGTACCACTCAGCTCAATACCCAGTGCTGTCACCAATGGCATGAAATTATCTGGAAACTCAAGGGTCTTCTGTAATATCTGAGAGGGCATTTTCTGAAATAATTATAAACTATAGAAGTAAAGGAATTTACTCAGTCTGTGGATAGTACATTCAATTGTTGATAGGTACCTATAGAAGTAAAAGAAAAGAATTTACTGTGATAATATCAGTATTATGCTATGGGTATTTATAGGTATGAATTCTTACCTCAGTCTGTGGATAGATGACTATGACCAGGTTGCACCTGAGTCACACCACTTATCTAACATATTAGTAAGAACACTGTAGATGATACTTGTTACTACTTAGAAAGCTTTACCTCTGCTGCAGCACTTCAGCAATAACTTCAGGACTCAGCAGTGTCTTGGCTGGGCTATCGCCGTTTTTGCCACATGGGCCCTTTTGTCATCCGACCCGTTCCACTCATCTGGCACCACTTCCAACAATGACAAAGCAACTCTATTCATTGTCAAGCACAGTGAGCTCGACATGAAGCTCAATTTTAGGTATTTTCCACTAGTTTTTTCAAAGCGGTGGTTAATTTATACATTGTATACTAATCTACATGATGAATTCCACCCCATTATCCCGGGGCTGTTATGTTTGCTGTATACTGATGGATAAGGTTTATTCTTGAGGTTTTGGAGCTCAACACAATGCGGCAAAGCATCACATATGCAGTTATTTGGCAAAATGCATACAGGCCAGTTTCAACATTACGGTGCGCTGATATATTTTCTCACGGTTAACTGATAGCCTTGTTGTTGTATTCCACAGCTTCCACAGTATCATCCATACCCCCCTACTGACCTTCAGCTTCTCCATCGTTGCCTCAAACCATCATGTCTACCAGGAAGACCAGCAAGATCCTCAAATCAACATCATCCCGTGTCAGGATGACACTATTCTGAGGTGGTATGGCCAGTACTTCAGTAGCTTGACTGGGTAAGATCAAGCAGGAGCGCATTGAAGCTGAAAATAAAAGGTTTCAAAGTAAGTAGCTACTCATTTTCACACTACGCTCTGATTTTGTTGTAGACAATGTCCTTGGAGCAAAAGAACGACTTGGAAAAGTGTACCTTGAAACAGGGATCAATCCCCAAGACACAACAATGCTCTTTGATGATGCAGAATTTATCTCTTGTGGAGGTGAAGAGGACAACATTGACTCTGATGGAACCCAAATCTTTGGGAAATTCTTTCGAACTTTTGACCGTGACCTGTAAGTCAATCAATCTGATCAAGCTTATTAATTGTGGCTACATAGTACAATACAGAGAGATTGGCCGTGTTCGTCGACGTCATGACCAGAGAGGATTTTCTCAGCATCACATTCAGCAAAATGTAGCTTGGCAATCACAGATTCCCGCCCTTGTGGTTGCCTACCTTCAGTGGAAGCATGGCACCAACCACAGTGTATCTAATGATAGTCCTTGTCATACTTTTCAAGTGGGAGCAGTATACTTCACAGGTAAGAGAAGTGATATCTATGTTACATCTGTACTAATATTATAATAGAGTATGTTCCTTGTCGCTCGGTATTTCAGATGGCTGATGAACCTGCAAATGTTGCCCTTGTTCATGAGGGGCTACTGGGGTGCTCTCCTCTTGAGCCTATAGTTGCTATTGGGTTTGATTGTTTAGAGCTTTACCATCAAATCTGGCATCATCAATCATCTTTCAGTGTACAAGCCATGTCAAAAATGCTTTGCTCACTGCATAACGTGATAAATCATTTCAGTCATAGTCATAGTCATGTATAGCCTGATATCATTCTATTAGATAACATATGTGCCAGCCTTTTGGGAACAGCTGTCAGTAGCTTTTGATATATATCTAAATATCAAGCAAAAAATCTGTGCTTCAATCGACAACATCATTCACAGGGATGATGCTAATTGGCTAATAGCTTACAGCTGTCCATCATGTTCATTTGAGGTATGTTTTACCTAGATAAGTGGTCCATTGTCAACGCTAATTTCATATTTTGTGTAGCAACCAAATGAACCTGTCCTGATGCCAAAATGTATCCACACAATTGATGGGAATATGTCTGCTCTGCGGATAGACAGATCCAGCCATACTGACTCTCGTCATTTTTACAGTCGTCTTTTCATACCACCTGCTGTGACAACACCAACAAGACACAGTCTTGGGGCACTGGAGCACAATGAAAACAACACTCAAAAGAAGAGGAAGAGGTGGGAGTGGTTACCCATTTGGTAAGAACAAGTTAGTTGTTGGTAGACAACAGAAGGACTCGCTGAGTCCTTCCCCATGTATTGCTCCTGTATATATACTAAAATACATGAGGTACTGTACAGTTGTAAATAAAGTTTAAAGTCCAATATCTAGCATGTGACCAGTCACATGATGAGTCTAGACACTGGTCAGGTAATGTGTCACATGACTGGTCATGTGACTATGAAAAGTCGAAAATGTAAAGTAAAGTAAATGGTCACATGACTGGTCATGTGACTTGGAAAAAGTAAAAGTGAGAGTACAAAAAAGTGAAGCGTAAGTAGGTATTAGTATGTCAATTGTAACACCTGCCGGAGTTGATACATTCAAAGATGATGTCTCTCGACAGCCAAGGTCGAAAACACGAGCAAGGTCAGAGGATGATAGCTGTACCAGAAACTGGCTGGCTGCCAACTTGGTTGAAGAAGACAAGATTCAAGTATTTGATCAAACTGGTATATTCTTGATGGCATGTCGACATGGGTTTGTCAAAAGTGTAGCTGAGATGAAGCACAGCGGAGAATTGTGAGTGGATCCCCATAGAGTGGTATAATTTGTTGTGCTAAAAATCTCTTCATTAGGTCAAAGTATGCACTTGCAACTATAAATAGGCTTTTGGACATTTGCAGAGATGGCAAAATCTTTTTTAATTGTTGTCTCAATGATCTGACATCAATACTTTTAGGGCCAAAACCAACAAAATCACCTCATCCAGTTTTTTAACTTACACGCTTTTGCACTTTGGCTCAGATTTTGGTTTGTCCCAGCCTGCACAGCTCAGTTCTCAAGCAGCCAAAGATGAAGCAAAGTCCTTATATTGATGTCTTACTCGGCAGAAGAAATGTGTCGAAGAATTGGAGCACCAGGCTAAAATAACAACCTGTTGGGATGAATCACATAGTGAATATATTAAAGCAAAGGAGTTCATTGGGCACCGACATTTTATTTTGGTGGTTGAAGAGTTAGAGGGACTGATTATACAGTGTCTTTTGGAGTTGTTAAAAGCTAATTTATCTGGAACTGGTGTGTTTTATGTTTAAGTAACTGATACACTCCTAATTGGTTATCCATAGGGTATAAAATGTGGAAACAAATCTCTAGGGCCCTGGCAAAGCGTTCAGGAGCTATTCAAACTGCACTTCAAGAATATAATTAGATGGCACCAAAGCAAAATCCTCCACGGCCTGTCCTGGAGTATTCAGAAATAGTTAGCTATGCTATGCTCGGTGAGTTCATGCTATTGAAATATCCGAGGCACAATATTCTCGCCAAGCCTTGGACAGTCTCAGCAAACCAGCAAGTAGCCATAAAGTTCTTCAAGATTCAACGTGCAAAGGAAGAAGTTCTACAACTCAATATTGAGGTACAAAGGCTACACATGTGGATAGATAACAAGGACAGGACATTATTTGAGTCCTACAATGCGACAAAAGTCAACAGCCCTCTCCTTGCTGCCGAGCTTTACTTGTTATATGCCAAACAACACATAAGATCAACAATGTCCATCATAACCAGCTACATTGCATTTACAAGCTTGAAGGATATACTGGACAAATTTATAGCATGCTGGGTGATATGTCAGCGGGGAGCAATCATAATGAGAATGATGATTTGGACTTAACACTTATTGAAGATGAGTTAAATAACAAGGCTGTCAGACTGGAAGACTACATTCGGGGCATATCATAATGTATTAAAGTAGTGTTGAATATATGTTGATTTGAGTTTGCTTGACACTTTATATAGGACAATAGAGCTCACCTAGAGCGTTAGAACATCAGACTTGCAGTACGTTGAACATAAGGCAAACCTGAGCCATTATAACAACACACTGTTGCAGCACAATTTGTGTCAGTTCTCATTTACAACAGTCAACCTCACTCCTGTGAACAAGTCTATTTTGCTAGTACCCAGCTTATGCCGTGTAATAATCTCCCAACCCCAGTTGATCGCCTCTCATGGCTTGATTTGGCTGTGCAAGACCGTCCAGAGCCAACGGTACATTATTATAATCATCATTATACTAGATTGTTTGTGAATCTCACTTTTATCAAACAGCATGACTTGTTTTCTGTCTTACTCCAGGCTAACTTCAAGTTTGACGGATCTCATGGAATACAGTGTACTTTGCCATCAGTTACAACTTTTGCTGCAACTTTGCGTCCCGTTATCAATAATGCAACTCACCTTGGTATAGTTCATGCCCTGCAAGATGCATTTCAAAACTACTCGTTACCATTATTGCGGCAGCATAGGTTTGCCCATTTGTTTAATTCAGTTGATCTGCAGCATAACTTAAACGGTGAGTGCCGTCTTATCCAGGGCCTTTCTTTCAACTCGCTAATACATATTTGAACAGGTAATCCTGAATCTCTGCCTAGCAATCTGCCGGCTACCTTAGACCTGGCAAAACCCAACCCTGGTGTTGCTACCTCGGATGTCATAGTCAGTGGAGTGGTCACCGCTACTCCTGCTACCCCCCAGTCGGCTGAGATCACCTTACATTGCTCTACAACCACTACTGAGTTGGACTTTGCCAAGAACGGTTAATGAGAACCAGATGGATCTACTACTACATCAAGCACAGATATGTGTAAGTCACCCGTTCCATTGTTCCACTCAGTGACTCAGTGTTTCATGACTAATTTTTGTTGTAGAAACTATACTTGTATTACTACATGCTCCATATTATGTATCTAGGTGTTACGATACACAATTTTTGGACCTTTGATTTTCATTCTCCTCCCCAACTTTCTTTTGTAGTTTTCACACACTGTGCCATGTGGCACTTTCCATTTTTGTTCAAACTCCATCTTTTTGTGCTACACTGCCTTTTTCTTATTTTAGCTACAAATCTCTCACACAGTAGAGCTGGTCACATGGGCTGCGCCCTCTGACATCATCAGCCACTGCTTTCATCAACTGTACAGTACATAAGTACAAACACCCTGTAGTAGTATAAATACCCAATAGATCCAGGAGACTCCTCAGCGAGTCCTCCTGTTGTTTACCCACAACTAACTTGGTCATACCTAAGGGGTAACCACTCCCACTCATTACTCTTTTGCTTGTCTGAGTTGTGCTCCAGAGTAACTAACTCTTGGTTGTTACACTAGGTACATGGAATATTCTGACATGCCAAGCAGCCAGATTTCCGGCACATAAATCCTAGCTCCATACTTAAGGCTGACTTGTCTAGAAAAACTTGCAGCGTTATAGAAATGACTCTCACACAGCCAAAGTGTATCCGGCCAAAACTGACTGTGGCCCAGAAAACCAAACAGAGGCAGTGGTTTAAATCACTCACCCATGATATCTGTGCTGCTCAAGAAAACCATGAACAGAATGCGGCCAACATCTCAAAGAAATATGGCCGGTGAGTTCAATGTCTGTATGTGATCACTTGACGGACACTCTGCACGCCACTGTTATTTTGAAGCAGACCTTATTTACAAGATATTGATCGACTATCATCAATATATTGAATTAGGTCAGCAAGGGAGACTACGGATTTTCTTCCTGCCGTGTAGGACTGCCACGCTTCCGTGGTGTATATCATTAGAGCTGGTCCATTCGGGTTAGGGTTAGCGCCAGTCCGTCACAAGTTCCGTTTCTCCTATATCTGCAAATCCTTCTGTTACTTATCCTACAAATGTCCTCTGAAGCAATCTCGCAACCGCAACCTCGCTCGGCCGGGCAACGGGGGAAAAGAGGGAGTCGAGGGCGAGGTGGATATCGAGGAAGTCCACGGAACGCAGCACCACAGGGAAATAGAGCTGTAGATTCTCGCAATCTAGCTCCCAAAATGCCAGAGAGCGACAAGGATACACCTGAACAAAAAAGCAAGGCCGCTTCTAACGTCTCCACAGCGCTCGCACCAGTTGATGATGTTGCGGTTTGTTGGATTTGTGCTGAACCTGTCAAATATTACTCTGTGTCAGCGTGCAATCATCGTACTTGCCATGTCTGCGCTTTGCGACTTCGAGCACTGTACAAGAAACTCGACTGTACATTTTGCAAGGTGTGACATGGCCCACTCACGTTCTCAATGACTGAATTTAGATAAATTATTCTCAAGGAACCTCAACCTAATGCCATTTTTACTGTATCTCCAGATGCCCTATTTTCGTCATATACACCAGAGTCCATTCCTCACAAGGACTCAAAATTATCTATATTTTTTGAAACTGAAGACATGATGGCGGAGACCCTTATTTTGCTCCGTTTCAACTGCCCTGATCCCGATTGCGATTACACTGGGACAGGCTGGGGTGACCTCAAGTTGCATGTCCGTGCTCTACATGGAAAAGTAATCTGGTATGGTCTACTTGTTCTATAAATTCTTTCCGCAAATGACATTCTTATCAGCGACTTGTGTATACGCTTCAAGAAGGTCTTTGCTCACGAACATGCACTATATTTGCCAAATGTCCTTCCTCTTCATCTACCTTCAATGCCTCATCGATCGCACAAACAAATGCCCAAGGAACAGATAGATGGAGGTACCCATCCGCTGTGTGAATTTTGCCGGGAATGCTTCTTTAGTGAAGACGAACTCTATGCACACATGCGGGAGAGGCATGAAGAGTGTTTCGTATGTAAAAGAAACGAAGTTCGAGATCAATAGTTAGCGTTACTTTTAACACTTCGTGTCGGCTCTCAGTAGCTAATATTTCTCATCTAGCTTTCAGAACTACGATAGTCTGGTGAGCTATCCACCGTTTACGATAGTGTTAGCATTTAACCTTCTTCTCAGGAAAGACATTTCACAAATGCACACTTCGCGTGCAATCAGCCCCAATGCCTTGCTCAAAAATTCGTCGTATTTGGTTCTGCAATGGATCTCAAAGCCCACATGGTCGAAGTACATGGTGCCGATATGACAGCTCGTGATAAGAAAGATGCAATGAGAATACAAGCAGAGTTCGAATTCGAGGACGTAGGTGGAAGTGGAAGGCGCGGACGTCGTGATCGTGATCGTGAGCGCGAGCGCGAACCTCCTCAAGGTAGTGGCCTAGCTGTGGCCCAACCAAGGGCAAATGGAAGGCGCAGGGAAGCTTTTGGTGGCCACCTGACAGTAGAGGGTACTGCCGATGGATGTCCGAATACTTCATCCGGTCCAAGCCACCGTGCTACTCCCTCTCCCCCAGATGATGAAGTCGACCCAATGGTTGCTCAGTGCGTGATCTAGCTAAATGATCTTACAAGTCCTAATAAATTTTTTTTGCTTTAGGCGGCACGCTGCATTTATGGCACGTTTGCGATCGTTGGCCCCCAATCCTATCACTGCTACACCAGCTGTCAAAGCCGCTGTGCGTGGATATCGCTTATCAGAATCTAGTGCACGTGATTTAATATCTACAATCTGGAACGTCTTGGATAATAATCTCGACGATACTGCCAGTATCGTGAACGGCATCGTTGATCTCCTTGACGAAGAAGAGAAAAAGACGGCTTTACTCAGTTCGTGGAACGGATTCAAGATTGAAGTTGGTATAATTTCTTGTTGGAGGCATAATATCTATTCACTCTCGTTCTTCTAGCAACGTAGGCAGTTCCCCGACTTGGTTCCAACTGCTGTGGGTTCCCAGTATGCAGGAATCACAGGTGGTCGTGTTCTGAATGCAAAACATGCCACAACATCCCGGTCATCTAACCAATCATCTAGACAAGTCTGGGACCGCGTAGCTCAAGCAGCCGGATCCTCAACCTCCTCTCACGGCTTGGCACCATCTCCTGCTCCAGCCCCACGCCCACCAGACCGATTCCCAGCGCTACAAATGAACCCCTCTGTTGGGGTTGGATTCCGTCAAGGGCAGCGCAACACGCCATGGTCCGCGAGTAACTCCTCGGGAGTGCGCGCACCTTCGTCTGTACCAGCTCCTGCGGTCACTGTTCATAAGGCTGCCGCTGCGCGTGCACCTCCGTCGTTGTCAAAAAACGCTTTCCCCGAACTGCCTACCTCGACTTCGACGCGTGTTAAGCCGTCTGTCAGTGGGAATCAATCTCTGAGGAATATCCTTGGTGACACGACTACTATCACCTCCGCTTGGAAACCAGGGAATAATGGTGTATCTGCTGTACAGGAAGAGTCTATCGCAACTGGTGATGGGGCTGTAGGGGACATTTCGTCTGGAAAGGGAAGGAAAGGAAAGGGGAAACAAAAGCAAACGCTTTTTACCCTTGGAACCTTTCCTACATAATGTGGCAAGCTAGGCTTTCAGCTTGTAGCAATATGGGATATTGGATTCGACATCTAAAGACTACATTTATCCGGTACACAGGTTTAAAGAGCAGGCGAGTGTAGACTTTGAAACATGACGAGAAAATTCAATGAAAACGGATGACTGCACCCAATGACTACAGACCTGATACTGACTCAGCTCGACCTAACTCATCGGAAGTGCGAGGCATATTTTTGTTACAAATATGCCCTTTCTGTGTTCTCCAGTTTGATAACGATCTTGCCAAATTGATCGCCGCGTTTCATGATATCAAAGCCTTCTTCTGTAGCTGCTAAGCCGTTCACAACCTGTGAAACTATGGGAGTGATACGATGCTCCGCCATAAACTTGGTCGCGTCAAGAAGGTCTTTGTGAGACCCCATAGTCGATCCTAATAACATTATGGCCAAAAGTCAGCTTACAAAGCTATCATCGATAAAAATTTACTCACCAATTAGCCGCTGGTTTTTTAAGACTTCACGCATCGTAAACGTGATCTTTGGATTTGCGGTCCTGTGTGTCACCCTCAATCATATGAATAAAAACAAGAAAGGACTAAGCACTCACATTCCGTAGCAGACTACTTTCCCTCCTGCTTTGAGCACTTTGCTTGCCTGCCCCATGATATCGCCTCCCCCGGAATCAACGATGGCATCAATCTTTCCTGTGCCATTACCCTCCTTGATAATGTTCGACAGTTGAATTGCCCAATCTTCTTTAGGTCATATTCAGCCCCGCAAAATAACAACAGGAGGACACAATTTACTCGACTTATAGTTGACTCCAGCTTTAGCTCCTAAAGATACGGCTTTTCGGATCTTATCCTCGCTGCCACTCGTCACATATACGTTGGCACCTTTTGCGAGAGACAATTGCATGGCGAGAAGGGCTACGCCTCCTCCTATGCCTGTGATCAGAATATTCTGTCCTCTAGAAGCCTCCGCGTTGACGATTGCCGCTCTAAAACAAGCTATGGTGAGCTGGACGGAAACAAAAGTGACATAACCGACTCACCGCCAAGCAGTGAGACCGCCTAATGGCCAAGCTGAAAGCGTCACGTCATCCAGGTGGTCAGGGGATTGAACTACCTGATTTCGCTCAACTACGACATAGTCGGAAAATGTGCCAATGGGAGGGTTGCTGCCACCTCCAATAATTCCGAAACTGATGTGTGACGTAGTATATCAAGGCTCAGGTGTGATGCCATGTTGAGATATGCTCACTCTGATTCTGGTGCTTCTGGATCAGTATCCCATCCGCGCATGGGAACAAGGAAGACACGTTTCAGGATTAGGTGATCATCCGGCCTTCCAGATGCGATGACAGTCCCTACAACGAAAAGGTCAAGGAGTCTTCCAATCAAATCATAGTAGTGCGCAAACCAGCTCCATCAGCGCCTAGTACGCTCCCAAATGTGATACCCGGATACTGGCCTAATCTTATCCAAAGCTATGCGTAGAAAACACATATTAATTGATTTAGTCGTTGTGATGTGGATTGGGGTACAGACTTCTCGGCGATTAAACGACACTGCCCCTATCTTCACGAGTACTTCTTCAGGCTTCAAAGCAGGGATTGGACGTTCTTCGAGAACAGCGTCGTGATATACAGGCGACCTTCCCTCTGGGGATTTCTTCAAGACTATAGTTTTGGTTGACTGGGGTATCTTCAACGACATGGTTGTATCTATTCCGAGGTTTCTATACATGATATATATACGTTAAGAACGGGCCGAGGGATAAAAGATGAACCCACTTGCAGGATGAGAGTAATCACTTACGAACCAATATGATGCCTTCTCTACTTTAGACGACGGGCAAACAAAAGCTGATGCTAGTGGCCCAGGAAGTTTGCAAGAAGACTCGTAAGTCAAGCCCGATTATCAGATAAGATTATAATAAGAGTTGGCAATTTTCGATCGCTTCCGGCGGTGCTCAAGCACACCACTCTCCCTTGTAGCCGACACCTATCATAATTTGCCTGGCTTTACTGCAAATCAAAAGAAATGGCTCGAGAATTACGTCGTCGTAAATCGCGCCCAAACTATGCCACCCTGGCCGCTGGGTACGACGACGATGGTGCTCAAGCTGGACCATCGGCTATTCCATCCGAAGACGACGACAGCGGCGGGGACTTCGCTCCAGACGAAGAAAATATACCAGATGGTCCTCAAGAAGGTTTTCATGCCATCGCTGGCGGACGCAGCGAGCACGTGCTGGGGGAAGGAAACGTGCCCGTCGCGATTTCGAATTCTTCACCTGTACTAGCCAGGACTCGCGATTGCACACCACCAAACATTACAAAGGAAAAAAACATCCACAGAACGAAATCAAAGTCTTCCATGTCGAAAACCCAGAACAATATGAGTACTATGTCCACTCAAATGACTACACCCGGGCCGTTACTCAAACCATTTGGATCCAAAATGTACGCATTACCGACGCCAAGTATCCACCACCGTCACAGGGCTGTCCCTGTATATTTCCCAAACACAAAAGTTGAACGCCTTGAGAGCCTTCCTCCCCTTTTTGGACCTACAAAGATTGTTGCGACGAACAATTTCACGTCTAACACTACTGTGACGGAACGGCTGAGCAAGGCATGGGGATATAATGTTGGTGCTGGACCCCTGTGGGACTTGATGGAGGATAGGTCTAGCTTCAAAGAAGCTGCTGATGTTGAGGGTGAGACGCAGTCAGAGAGAAACCGTAGACCGAGGGTATATCAACATGTGTGCGTGAAAGAGGGATGGGAGATTCTTGATAGCGAGTTTGTGCTCTATTTACTTCTTGAAAGCGATGTACAATTCACCGAACAAATAAACGCAGGAAGGCTAGTCCACATTTACCAACAGATACGGTCATGACGGAGGAGGGGAACTTTCAACCACCCCCACCTTTACATTGTTTTCTTGGACCTGTCGATAAACAGTCCCGTGTCGAGACCAATATGTTTGATAGCCATAAAATGTGTATGACTATTTTCTTCAATCGTTGTTATATGATGATTGAAACTCTTGACATCAGCCGCATTCTTTCCAGAGAGTAAATCTCATGTCTTCAACGCAGGGGCACCAGTATGGGGTTTAGACTGGTGCCCTACCCATCCAGACTTCCGATCTCGTCAGTAATATTTTTTCTAACGGCGCATGTGTAACTTGACTTGTGTAACAGATAGATGCTATAAACAGTATCTTGCAGTAGCTCCCTTTCCCTCCCGCTCCCATTCACCTATCATTGGCGCCAAAATACAACGCCCTGCCCTTGCTTGTATTCAAATATGGGCTTTACGACCTACTCAAGTTAGTGAGAGCGAAAGTAAAGCGAAGGGACAGTCACTTTCTGAAAATGATCCGGGCGAAATGAAGTGCGAAATGGTTCTTTGCCTTGACAGTGGACCCGCACAGGAGATCAAGTGGTGTCCTTTGCCTTCCCATGACGATGTTTGTTCTAACGGAACGACGTAAGCAAAAGGCTAATAACATTTATCTCAGGTCAATAACGCCGACCAACGCATGAAACGCCTTCGGAAACTTGGCATCCTCGCTGGTACCTTTGAAGACGGTTCCTTATCAATCTATGCTGTGCCAGATCCAGTGGATGTTACGCCTCAAAATCACAATCATTCTCAGCCTGTCTTTGGTCAGTCAATTATGTCCACTGGTGATCACGACATTCAACGATGTCACTAGTAAGGTTGCCAGAACCTCTTTTACGGATTGAGCTGGAAGATACATCCTGCTGGACACTCGACTGGGCAAACAGTGAAGTGATCGCAGTTGGATGCACGAATGGTCTGTACCTTTGCTGCATATCTACGCGTATTGTAATTCATTCTTATCCCAGGAAATCTTGCTGTTTACAATATACGGCAAGCGTTAGATACTGGAGATGGCCCCAGTATGCTTGGTTGTACGCTGTTGCTAAAGATCATCAACTAATAAATTCCGTTTAGATATTTTTCCTACTCATTTATTAACGGTTCATCAGTCGGCGTTTCGTGCTCTGGCTTGGATACGTATACCTCCTGTATCAGGATCGGGGACCCCGATGACCACGGAAGACCCGACTGTCATAGCAAGTGGTGGATACGACGGGGTGGAATGTCTAACAGATATTCGAGAGCCGCAAGGGAACGTGATGAACCGTACTAGAGGTGCGACTTTCTCATATGTATTACCACTACGATCAAATCACATATTGGAGAGTTCAGATGTCATCAACAGCGTGACATACTCACCATACGCCGGAGGACCGATCATGATCGACCACGACAACTCTGTCAAGGCGTATTCTGTTTCGCCTACTATGCTTGGCAGAGGACATGTGTTACTTGAGCCTAATGGACCCGTTTGGGTGCGAGTTATATTTTGTGGTGCATTGGTCACCGTCATACTGAGTACTGACTGGTATACTATAGAGCGTCAGTGGATCCGATTATCACCCACAACTCGCAGTTGGCTCTGCAGATGGTGCGTGTTTAACAACAAATACCTTAAGAGCCACAAGGAGGGGAGGTGTCGTGAGTACTCAAGAACCTATGGAACAACTGGCAAAATGTTTATATCTCTTTTAAGCCCTTTTTCGTGCACAAGATATTCCAATTGGACTATAGTCGCAATACTGGCGAATTTCGCATGCTGGAGCATTTTCTACCTCAGGTTATTACTTCTGCGTAGTTTCATATTGGTGGTGAATAATGACGTCAAGCTCACAGGAATCCCAAGAGAAGCCGACAAACACGAAACTGAAAGACAACACGCAGGCTAGAAAAGACGAAGATGGCGTAGCAACAGGCAGCACAGGCGTATGGCCACCCGAGGTTGGTATTCATCGCGTTGCTTGGAATAGCGCAAATGGATTGGGCGGTGCACCCTGGCTTGCGTCTGCTACTGCATCCGGTTTATGTAGAATTGATTGGCTACTCGGGAGGTGGATAAAAGATAAAGTTCCCTATGGAAGCGTGGAAGCTATCCGACAGGATATAGTTGGGTCAGGTGAATATGAATCTGATTAACGTTCTGCAAGTGTAAAAGCCTTTCCTGGCATCGTTATCACTGGTAATTCCATCAATAGGTGAAAGCAGTTAAGATAAATTGGAAAAGCTCTCTACATCGATCTATCCGCGTCATTATCACCTGACACAAACCTAATGAATATAAATAAGTCTGAGATGGACCTTGAGAATTATCTGTTCAGTGGCACCAGTATATCTGAGTAGTTCAACACACCATTGTATTACCATTATATAGTGACAACGAAATATATCCGACATCCATCATTGAGTTTTCATGAAGTTTTGGTCTTTTATACGTTGCCTGTTCTCTTTCCTTAGTCGCCGCTTCTCTGCTTTTCCACCAGGACCGTCATCGGCGAGGTCTTTCGGATTTAGCAGCGTCCATAACCAGGAAGGATATTCCTCGTCGGGAAGTGCGATAACTGGTGGCTGACCTTTGAGATAGTTCAGGCCAGTGAGGACTGTGTTTGCTGGACATGAGGACAGAGTAGCTGTGAAAACCAATTGAAACATAGAACAAACGAAAACATGAATAAAATTCTCAATGCTACCAAAAAAAAAGCGACTTACTTTCGCCTTCTACCAGAGAGCTCGACGCTGGTTCATCTTTCGAGCTCCCTTTTGGACTATCCGTCGCCGTTGGTGCTGCCTTTGCTGCAAAGGAGCGAGCAAAAGACGGGGAAAAAGAGCACCTCAGCGGTGACCGCGAAAACGAGCGAATGAAAGACATGACGCGTGACGTGACAGATCTATTCGCTGGTTTTGTTACCTTACAGTACTACTTATACTACTCACGATTAACTTGTTATAAACGAGATGTCATGAATGCAGCACAACGACGAGACCTTATACATTTTGTGTGACCACCCTATAAACTATCTCTAAGTGACATTTAAAGACAATTTTTATCAATGATATTCTTTCCAGCACAAATATCCTCATCAAAATGATGCCACTGGTTCGACTTGACATGCGTGAAACATTCAGCTTATCAGTAGTGGTCGCAAAACAAACAATGTCCAACCTACATTGTACGGCTATTCCTATTCTCATACACTGAATCCGACGAGATCGAGTGCAGTATATGCAGACCCGACGAGAAGACCTTGGCAAGAATTACTGTGAGCATGGATTAACCCATAATTATGAATGATAACATACACCCCATCATTACTGGCCCTACGATACCACCGCGACGGGTACGCTACAAGAAGAGCTGGAGTGAGGTTCAAAGGCAAGCATAGCAGATAAGTGAGCACCTTGATAGGATCACCTGTGGTATATCCTAAGGTATAGGGAATGCGAGATAAAACCCACAGACCACATCCAGTGGCAGCTAAGTAAGGATGCTTCACTCCAGCCACCAAGGTCCTTCAAATTTGGGTATTCGCAAAGGAATCCAGCAACTATACAAGACATCTACTCACGTGATGGCTATGATTGGAATGACTTCGAGTGTGTTGGCATGAGCGCCTGGTGCATTCACGAAGTCCGTCAGTGTTTATTCAGTGTTGGCAATGATAGGGCAGAGGATTATACTCACGTTGCATGCAATTAAACAAAAGCGCATCTTGTGATGCCTCTACTTGCGCCCTCTCTGCATATACTAAGAAAACAAATATTGGGTAATCATCAACCAAGAACGAATAAACGATGCTCACATTGAGGATACTCGATTCCTGATCGTTTACGATATTTGTTCACTAGGGTGGTTTGCCATGTAAGTACCCATGTTGTGGATAAGACTGCTAGGCCGACCATGCCAAACCTACACATGAAACGAGAAAGCGAAGTGTTAGATGAGATAGCAAAAGACGAGCAAAAGAGACAGGTAAGTCATGGTATTGTCCTTACCCCTGAGGAAGCACGATGGAAGTCATTCTAACCAGTTACAGCTTCAAGTTGAATTTTAAGTGGTGAAGAAAATCTTCCTGTGTGAACAACCCAATAAGAGATATAGTTTTGGGACGACAACCTGAGATTGCTGGACAAGTTGACATCACACATACTATGATGGGTTGATATATTTATAATATTGCCAACTTGCAACCATCGAAACGCATTTCCCGCGGTGTATATTGTACACAGCCAACTCAGGCTGGTCTTCAAGCTTCAAAGTTCAAACATACTTTGCAATCGACCGAGTTGATACGACATGGTCGTTCACTTGGTCAAAAAATACTGTAGATACATAAAATCGAGGAGGTTATAAATATACAGTTCGTAAAGTGAGCTTTCTAACTACTCTGCCCAAAAAGCAATTATGCAAATAACCCATGCGCAGTAGGGGAAAAGGTTTGTGACAAACCAACTCCATCATGATATATATAAAACAACATGCTTAAAACAAGCCTGAACCGGGGAAAATCTGGGACTCGTCTCCGTCTTCATCAGCATCATCGCTATCCTCATCTCTGCGCCGAGGCTCTGGGGACAAGGTATACGGTACCACATCCCGTTTGCTGCTCGCACCAACTGCGGGTTGTGAAGCTGGCCCAGGCATCGATATAGGAAAATCGATGGGCTCCTGTTCGAACGGGTCAATATCTGATTCAGGCACCGTGGTTTGAACAGAAGACGGAACAACCTGCACTGGGGGTTGTGGCTGAGTGGAACGTGAAGGAAGGGGTGTGGGCGAAGTGTGGATTAAGGGCACGTTGGGTTGTGGTGAAAGATGCCGAGGAGTGTGCTGCTTGTATTGCTGCTTTGGTGGCGTTGAAGGCGAAGATGGCCCGAGTCGAGTAGACTGGGGCTGCGGAGGGTTCTGCGGTCGCAAATCATATTCAAACTTACAAAAAAAAAATCAGTATCTGTGGCCTTCACGGGGACATATAAAGTAGCCTACAGCGCTGAATACTTCGTCTCTATGTTTCTCGCCAAGATCTTTGTCAATGCAGTAGCACACGTACAACGTATCAGCACTAATATGCATGTAAACTGTTAGATACATATTGTTTTTGTTTAACGATCGAGGAACTTACGTATCCTTAACGAGACCGACACAGAATAATCCAACGAGGGCGGTAACCCCGCCCGCAAGCAAAGCTGCGCCAAGAGCTTGATCAGGTGCAGAAAGCGTGTGTGCAACGAACAGGTACGTCATCAGCGCAAATGGGAATGTGAGAGTCAACGGAGAATAGGTAAGCATTGTCAATGGTGCTAATTCAGGAGAATCTTGGTTAGCTATAATATATCGCGATTCAGGGAAAATCCACTTACGCTCCGTCTTGAATTTACGTCGGTAGCTTCCCGCAGACCTCGACTCGACCGCGGCAGTCAATGCACGTGCTCTTCTTGCACTCGGAAAGAAAGCGTCTCCCGTAAGACCCGTATACACCAACGCATATTTGCTCAAAGAACTAGTCACGCCCTCAAGCCAACCTACCGCAAAACCTGCTCCTACAGTCAAAGGCTGGAGCCAAGGACGAAGTGCGAGAGGGAGATAAGATGGTAAGAGGCGCAGTACAACTGTGAGGAGGGCAAGAATGCGGATGCCGGTAAGAATTAGTGCAGCAAGGATGATACTCCCAAGAGAAGGTTGGGTGGATCGAGTTAAAGCTGCATGAATGGTACGGGTGTCAGATGGTAATGGGGGCGGGAGGTCAAGACTGATGATAAATGAGCTTATGGATAGACCACAATTAACATTGCAAAACAGAAGGCTTACTCGGCAAAGTACCATGCGCCAATGACACCTGCGCACGTTGTTCTGAGTGTTCCTCTTGCTACACCCCAGCTCCACAACCAAATCGATATCGCTCCGAAGATAGCCCAATGGGCCCATCCCTTGACATGCCATTCCAATCCTCCACTTGTAGATTGCAGATACCCAATTAATAATAAGCGGAAGACAAGCGTCAAAAAGGGAATGGAAGCCACGAGAGTGACCAAAAGAATTGCCGGAGATAAGGCGAGAAGGAAAGGGTTGGATAGCAGAAGTCTGGTTGTCAGGTCGAGGATGGAAGAAGTAGTATGGATGTCTCGCGGTAAATCAATCAGACGACGAGCAGTGATGATAGAAAGGATGAGAGGCACGAGCGAAAAGAGCCGCAGACTAATTAGAGAAATAATTCAGCGAGTACTTGACAGAAAATTACATAAATCAACACGCACCCAACCGTTTCTCCCCACGTCGGTTCTTGACCAGTTTCCCACATGAAGCTACCAACAAAAGCCCAGACTGCAGATATGAATAGCGTTGCAGGTATAAAGACGGATGTCACAACCATAACGGGTCGGACAAAAATGCGAAGGAGCAGTATGTGTGTGTATGCTGCGATGGCACTCAAAAATGTGATGATAGTTATCATGGGAACAGTATGTAGCATAGTAGTGTACGGGAAATTGACTGGCGACCGAGCAGGTTTCTGCGTCAGGAACAAGAGCAGCACTGAAAAGGAGACGCATAACGAGACTCCTGTGCACCACAGGGCTGTCCAGACAGAATCATTGTATCTCCGTCGTCCACGAGGAACGTAGCGAGGATCGGGCAAAGAAAATACGTCGACAGGACGACTTGTGCCATCCCTAGGCAATAAAGATTCCGTGAGAGATAACGATATCGGCTCGCGAGCTAGAGGAGGAGGCGGAGGAGGCGGCGATGCCTGAGGATGTACAGCGTTGTTGTTGTGGGTCGGCTTAAATATATCAGTTGCAAGACGATGGGAATCTAGTGAAGACGAGGACGGTGCAGGTGAAGGGGTGCGAGAGTGCGGGAGAGGAGACGCCTGATGAGCTAGCCAACCCTTTGGATACTCTGGTGACCCTGGATGGCTGTATTCCGACGATATCAAGGGAATCGACTGAGAGGCATAACGAGAGGCTCCTGGTTGGAGGTCGTCCTCGTCAAGGCGCAAGTAAGGATCGTCGTCGTCTCCCTCGTCGACACGGCTCCTATAGTCATCATGACCATCCCGCCTGGATGTCCTGCTAGCATAACTGGCTCGCAGATGTGGGTCGTCGAGGTCATCGAGGTCGCTGTCATGATTGTTCCCTAAACGAGACCCTTCATCGGTTGTGAACGAAAAGAAGAGAGGCTGCGAAGAGGACAGACTTGACTCTAGATTTGACTGATGCGTTAAGAACTGCGATGCGTATTGTGCGAATGACTTGGCCATTGTCGACGAGCTCGTCGTTTGCAGCGATGAGTTCGAACTCGCTACTATGTGGAAATGAAAAAGAGAGAGGGTAAGCAAACCTGCCTATAATTGGCCTACTACGTTGGTTGTAGTCATAAATGCTCCCTTCAAAAAACGCGTACCCCGTGGGACCCTATACCACAAATGGATGTGATATACAAACTCCGCTTTGGAAATAGGGGCGCACCAGGTCACCCAAGTCGATGCTTTTTAGCTTTTGCACTGTAGCCAGCATCTGATGCAAACTAGCACTCTTTCATCCAAAGTATATGCTCGCGGCGGAACCAACATCGGTATATGTCTGTGCACCCAGCTCTGCAACCTTACGGTGCAACATGTACAATACGGGGCTGGTCGGTAAGCTGAAAGCGCTAGGTCTTAGCATCCTTGCCCTGGTCTTGCACAAACTCACTGGCAGACCCTTCGAGTGCTGGTAAGCGCGATGCTTTTTATATCTACGGTTTGGCGAATACCTCCAGCAAATGTTTGTGCTCTTGCTAATATTATGAGCGACACCCTAGTAAGCTCAGTCAACCATCTTACTATCCATCAGTAAGATACAGGTTTGCTTTTTGGGAAGTTCGTGCTACAACAGAAAAGGGATATCGTACACCACTAGCCCAATATTTTCCATCCAATCACGTTTACAGGAATTTACCTTCTGCCCATTGTTTACTACGCGTTCCCATCTCAACGGCTGCAAGTCCCCAGTCCTCTCCATGGTTATGTCCCTTGTCTTGCCCTCTACCTAAGCCAGCCCTTTCCAACGCCTGGTCGTCGTTCAGCGCGGTCAAAACACCAAATATGACGGGAACACCAGTGTCCAGTTGGACTTTCATGAGAGCATGTGAGACGCTGTCACAAATGTACTCAAAGTGCATGGTAGAACCCTTGATCAGCACACCGATGGCTATAACAGCGTCGAAAGGTGTATTCGGCATAGTCACGACAGTTGCAGGTGGTGACTGTACTTCAGCAGGTTTGGAAAGAGATGATGTGGAGCCTCCGAACGTCAGGCCTAGCAAGTCCCCAGCAGTTGCGCCTGCTTGTACGTGTGATCCTGCAATTACTCTGCATAAAATGGACATCATGTATTGATTGGATCAGTGTAACATATGAACATACTTCGAGCATGCCAGGGGTAGTTCAAAGCTCCCCGGAACAGACTGCACAACAATATTGCTCTCTTTGACTCCACGCTCCTTCAGTTTAGCCACCGCGCCTGAAACGAGAGCATCGATTACTTCCTTGTTCCATCTGGCGTGAACGATGGCGATTCGTAGTGCTGAGCCGTCAAAGCGAGCCTCGGATGGCGTAAGACCTTTGATTGACTTGTTCATTGTAGTGGTATTGCCCAAGTATCGGCTCACGTTTACGGCTTGTTTGTCAATGTTGGCCATATTTGGGGAAGAAATTTGGCGGGATTCGATTCGGATTGGCTGTCACTTTCTTTATTCTTTGCTGGTGCATGTCTCACTCAGTTTTCGCGGACGCCTCATCATAGAAATACTTGCTGTAGGGTTCTAGATATAATGGATAGTCATCTTGCAGGTACTATAGCAAATCACAGTCGCCATGCTTTACACGACACTCACTCCTGACGATCTTCAGCGACGTATACTTTGATTCACTCGTTTCTGAAGAAACAGTCACATACCAAGGCCGCTGACGCTTTAAAAAAGGCTGTCAAAGATGTTGTCATCATTAGAGATGATATTGAGGTGACTGGGCCACAACTGGATCAGATCATCGAAGAGTGGAGAGTCTTTACTATGGATCCGTGAGTACCTGATCTCCGACCATGCTACACGCGTTGCTGGGACTAAACAATTTTTATAAGGGCTGATTCGTCTGATTGTGCGTTGTGACGCATTTTCACATTCACTTCATGACCCTTATTCCATACAGCTGTATCAGACGACGAGAAAGATGAATCTAGTTCGAGTTCCTCAGGTTGGTGGCCTGCATATTTCTAATGTGGAAGCTGTAAACTGACCGGATGCAAAAGAATCGTCTGATTCTGGCTCAAGGTATGCTCTAACTCTATGGATAAGCTATTTTCTCTTTCTAAAGTACGCTTAACTAGCTCTGACTCAGGTTTGCTTAAATGTTCACGCTTCCACGCTAATTATCTCACCCAGCTACTCTCAGAGTCGGACAACGATGGCTCGAGCGATGATGTTTCGAGTGAAAATGACACGAATACGGTCAAAACCAAACCAAAGAGTAAGAATGTTGCACCACAAGCAAGTAAACTTACTACATCGAAAGGAAAGCCACACCAGAAGCAGATACAAGTGTTACGCTCACCTCTGGTATGTCCTCCTTGACTAGTGATTATGTATTTGGAGTTCATTCTCATGAAAGGCGAGGAAGAAGTCACCAGGAAGACGAAAAGTAAGGCCAAGTCAAAATTGAAGCCAGTCGCAAAAGGTAGTTCTAGTTCGGAGTCTTCAAGCTCTAGTGAAGACAGTGATGATGACGATGACGAGGGGGTGAAGGCAGAACCGAAGACAGTGGAGACAAAGAGTTCGAGTTCGGAATCGTCTGGTTCTAGCTCGGAAGATGATAGCGGCGATGAGAAGACCAAGGATCCGAAAGCACCAAAGACGGAGGGTTCCAGTTCAGAGTCCTCTGACTCCAGCTCAGAAGATGATAGCGACGACGACAGTGTGCAGAAAAAGCCAAAACTGTCCAACAAGGCCTCCACCTCAGACTCGTCTAGTTCAAGCTCTAGTGGTGAAGACAGCAGTGACGATGAAGAGAAGATCAGCGGGAGTAAAGCGTCGAAAAATATGGTAACAAAGTCTGGGAACAGGGCGGGTTCTTCTTCAAGTTCTGCAGAATCATCTAGCAGTGAAAAGGCTACCGTCGTGCAAAGAGATGAAGTTAAAGTAACGAAAAAACGCCGCACTAACATCGGTGGCGCTGCTGTAGCTACAGCTGTCGTGTCGTTAGCCCGTGAAGAGCAAGTCCCACCTGTTACCAAAGGGAAGATAAATGGAAAACAACCCAGGAAGGCAAATGAGAGATTTTCGAGAATCAAGGTAGATACGCTCGTCTCCGACTTCAAATTCGATAACCGGTATGAAGCCAAGGTTAGCTTATTTGATATATGTTTAATGCTATTGATATGAATGCAAATGAAATATGTCGTATTAGGGTGGAATATCTAACGATTATGGAGAACGTGCTCACAAGGACCTCATTGTTACACGTGGTGCAGGCTTTAGGAAAGAAAAGAACAAGAAGAAAAGGGGAAGTTACAGAGGAGGAGAAATTACTGTAAGCCGCCATCTCTTCGTACGACATGAGTTTATGACCTCTCTTGTTGCAGATGGAAAGCCATAGCATCAAATTTGACTAAGGCAGCATTTGCACTGGGATTTAGAACAGTGTTAGATCACTCAGAACTCATTCACTCTAATCTATCGGGTTGGTATCAAGCTATAAGTAGTTCCTGTGATTTGCTCTTGTTCTTCTTTGGCGGATTGAAATGTTACCAGGATACCGTAAAACTCTAGAATCCGCGCTAGCCGATGCAGCAACTCGATAGTTTTCATGACCGCTGAACCTTGCTAGTTCTCGAAGCAATAGTTGTGACAACGTCACTATCCGCCTGTCAAGTTTTCGTTCAGTTCTAGTGGTGAACAGTGCTAATAAGATCCAGTGAAAACCGGCTCAAGCGAAATCGAGTCTTTGTTTCCGGCTCAGACGAGGGGAGAAGAACGAAGGTACCGCCCATCAACGAATGTCGGAAAAATCGGTTTCACCACACTAGATATGATTCATACCTGAAGCTCAGTAAAAGCATTTAGTTAGACAGTAGTCAGATTTGACTGTCACCTGACTCTTGATTGCAAAGTCAGCTTATACCAGTGTGTATTGGTGCCTACCTCGTAGAATAGTCAAATGAGAGTCAAGTCAAGTGCAAGTCATACAAAAGTTAGACTAAAAGTCAGGTAATAGTCAGCTTAAAGTTGTAATCTGGTTAGGGAGTAGTCAGGGAGTAGTCAGGTAATAGTCAAACTATAGTCAGTTGAAAGTCAAGTTGTAGTTGAGTAATGGTCATCTGATAGTCAGCTTGAAGTCAGTATTAGTCAAGCAATAGTCACTTTATAGTCAGACCATAGTCAACCAACACATAACATGGCATTTTCAAAAAAAAAAACAGCAACAGCAACATATATTCTGCAGGATGGCAAGATTACAGCACAACAAAAAAAAACAGCCCCCAGCTTATTCATCCTTTCACGCCTTTGCAAGACTTTGACTTGCGCTGAAAGAAAAGAAATGAGATTCAATAAATATATATTGATGTTGGGAGGAACATACCTTTTCAATTATTTCATCAATGTCCTCTTTTGAAGGGATATTCCCCTTGCCTGAAGTGCAAATATGGTCAAAAAAACTCTGTGTGAAATAAGTGAGTGAAAAAAAGAAAATCAAGCAAGGGACAAAAATCACCTCCTTTGAGCTTCTTTGGTGCAGCACTTGGCAAGTTGTGTGCTCTGATCTATTTCTTCAATTCATTTCAGGCAAGCATCTAAAAAAAAAAATTAGCTGTAATTTCTTATCAGTAGGAGGACAAACTGACCTGTAATTGTTTGCAAAAGGTGTTTGTTTCACCAGTTGCATCTGGAGACACCGGAGCTTGCTATGTTTCAACAGTGCTATTGGCTGGGGGTTCCTGCTGGCAGTGAGGGATTGTTAGCCTGCAAACTTGAGCACCTTGAGGAGGATTCTGTAAAGTATTAGCCATCCAAGGTTTGAAAAAATGATAGAAAATAAAACATACCCCTTTGCTTGCTTCCAGAGTTTCCAAAAGTGTTCCCCAGTTGTTTGAAGGTAGGCATTGCTGAGATACAACATTGTTGTGATGTTGCATTGGAAATAAACCTGCCTGGCTACTTTGTGTTACAATTGACGTACCAGTACCTACTTACACTTCACTTTTTTCATACTTTTACTTTTATTTTTCCAAGTCACATGACCAGTCATGTGACCATTTACTTTACTTTACATTTTCGACTTTTCATAGTCACATGACCAGTGTCTAGGCTCACTATGTGACTGGTTACATGCTAAACATCGGACTTTAAACTTTATTTACAACTGTACAGTACCTCATGTATTTTAGTATATATACAGGAGCAATACATGGGGAAGGACTCAGCGAGTCCTCCTGTGGTCTACCAACAACTAACTTGTTCCTACCAAATGGGTAACCACTCCCACCTCTTCCTCTTCTTCTGAGTGTTGTTTTCATTGTGCTCCAGTGCCCCAAGACTGTGTCTTGTTGGTGTTGTCACACTTTGCAAGTTTTGGTTGTGGCTGCAGTATATCTGAGGTTAGGTTAGATGGTCCTGATATCAGCCCAGGCTTTAAGGGTGGTTATAATAGTGATTCCACTGGACGCATACTGATAATATCCCCATGAGACATTGTTGTTGTCGGATATGCCAGGCAAGTTGAGATCAGCACTCTGGATACGGGTAAGAAGTCCAAGTGCAGCATCAAATGGGGGATTCTCTGGGGGAGCCAAAGATCCCCCACTAGGGGCCTTCATAGTGTGGAAAAGTTTGGCTGTGTTATCATGCACCAAAGTTGTTTGGTAGCATGAACAGATGCTAGTAACAAAGCAAATATTTTTGTGCTTGTGGCTGATCAGCACCCACCTCTATTAGACAATCAAGTTGCACCTACCTTTGCTTTCCATTCAGCATTTTGCATTTTGGCAATTTTTTGCATTGCCACTGGCTGTAACAACCAAGAGTTAGTTACTCTGGCGCACACAAGAACACACTATAGAGAAGTTGATGAGGGAGTGGTTACCCCTTGAGCTGCAGAGAGTTTGTTGGTATACAACAGGAGGACTCGCTGAGGAGTCTCCTGGATCTATTGGGGTATATATGCTACTACAGGTTTGTTTGTACATGTGTACTATACAGTTTGATAGAGACAGTGGCTGATGATGTTATGGGGCCTAGCCCGCATGGCCAGCTCCACTGTGTGAGAGAGTTGTGACTAAAATAAGAAGAAAGGCAACGCGGTGCCAGAAAGAGGAGTTTGGACAAAAAGGGGAAATGCCGCATGGTACCCTGTGTGAAAGCTAAAGTGTACAAGGTTAAAGCAGAGAATGAAAAAGAAGGAAAGGTCCGAAAATTGTGTTATCGTAACACTACCCCCCTTCTAAGGTTCGACTTCCAGGCGAGACCAAATACCGGAGGTGGTAGTTAAATTTTTGGGCATAAGTTGAAAAAGGGAATTAAAAAGTTTTGAATCCATGCCTCTAAGCTTCCTAGGAGCTGAGGGGTTCTTAGAATAAAATTTGTGAACAGTGTCGCGGGAATTGTCCAGATGGGCTTCTGGTTCCCATGTTCTGTCCTCGTCTCCATAGCCCTTTCGCTTCAAGCGTGCATCCACTACTCGTTCGACTTCGAACTCTTCTTCACCTTCCTGGGTGACTACAACCGGTCCGGGCTGGTCTACACGCTGTCCCGGCAGCGGCCCTTTGTAGGGTTTTACACGGCTAATGTTGACCGTGGGTACTACCCTCATTCGTTTTGGGAGTTCCAGCTCCACTGCGTTGGGTTTGACTTCCTTAATCCGGTAAGGGCCAATCTATTTTTCGGTCAGTTTTCTAGACTGCCGATCTTTTAACTTTAAGTGGTCAGTATCTAACCAGACCAGGTCGCCGACCTTGTAGTCAGGGGCTTTGGAGCGTCTACGCTCTGCCCTGTCTTTCATCTGCTCTGCAGTTTTGAATAGCGCCTTGCGCGTTTCGTCTAAGACAGACTTCATGTCTTTTGCCATTTTCCCAGCAGCCTCATTCTTGCTTTTGCCAGGTTCTACACCCATTCTGGGGAGGTACAATCTAGTAACCTCAAATGGTGCCTTTCCCATAGCTGACGACTGTTTAATATTATAAGAGAACTGGGCTATCTTTAGCCACTTGGCCCAATCCATCTGCCTGTCATTAATAAATATCCGGAGATATTGTTTCAACTCCTGGTTGAGTCTCTCCGTTTGTCCATCAGTCTGCAAATGGAACACCGTTGATAACTTAGGTTTGATGCCCAGCATCCGGCATAAATCTTTCGTAAATTCGCTAGCGAATTGAGGTCCTTTATCGGAGATAACCGTTTCTGGTAACCCATGGATAGACCATACAAAATCTTTAAATAAATCTGCCGTACCCGCGGCGGTAATGGTTTTATTGGTGGGTATGAATACCACTTCTTTGGAGAAGCGATCCACTACCACCATTACTGAATCATACCCATTTGACTTGGGCAGATCCGTTGTGAAGTCCACCGATATATCCTGCCAGGGACCAGCTGGTATCGGATTCGGCATAAGTTTACCGGCCGGCGGTTGGTGAGAATTCTTAGCTATGGCACATCTCAGACAGGATTTTGTGTATTCCTGTATGTCTTTGACCATGCCAGGCCACATATAGTTTCTGGAGATCAACTCCATTGTTCGTTGCCACCCAGGGTGCCCAGCCACTGGAGTGTTGTGATGTCTGTCTATTGCCTTGATCCTTGTGGACTCAGGCACATAGATTTTGTCTTTAAAATGGAAGAGCCCATCTTCCCATAAATAGTTTTCATTGCCGTCAAGGCGCGCCTTCTCTTCTGAGGAGAGGTCTTCCTTGAAGACTTCTAGAAGATCGGAATCCTGCCCAATTCTAACATTGGCAACCCTTGATTGGTCTATCAGGGTAACACCTTTGTTATCATCTTCAATGCCGTTGGCATGATCCTCTCTTCTGGACAAAGTGTCCGCTTTCCCCATAGAGCTTCCAGGCTTATGAATTAATTTATAATTAAACCTTGACAAGTATACCGCGTAGTGGGCCTGTCTTCGGTTCAAGTCTCGGGCCGTCATAAAGTACTCCAGATTCTTATGATCGGTCCAAATTTCAAATTGGTGTCTAGCACCTTCTAAGTAGTGCCGCCAGTGCTCTAAGGCTCTAATGATGGCCAGCATCTCTTTGTTGTAAATTTGATAGTTGTGCTCTGTAGGCGACAAACTATGCGATAAATAGGCACAAGGCCTCCAAAGATCGTCAGGGCATTTAATTGATAAAACAGCCCCAGTAAATCAGAAGAGTCGGTTTCTAGCCGGAACTCTTTGTCTAATTCTGGAAACGCTAATATGGGCGCCGTTGTAAACACCTGTTTAAGCTTGTCAAAAGCTTCTTGTTCTTTGGCGCCCCAGTGCCATACAATGTCCTTTTTAGTGAGATTGTTCAACAGTCTCGTGATTTTTGCGAAGTTTTTGATAAACCTTTGGTAGAAATTGCCTAAGCCAAGGAAGGCCCTAACTCCTTTGACGCGAGTAGGTTCTGGCCAATCCAAGATAGCTTAAACTTTCTCAGGATCCAGCCTGATTCCGTTCTGGCCTATGATCATACCAAGAAAGTCTACTTCCTTCACTTTAAAATTACATTTTTCGGGTTTAACGAATAGGTCTCGTTCCTGTAAGTGTCGAAGGACTTCTTGCACGATCCTTTTGTGTTCAGCCTCATCGTCCGACTTTGTAAATATTAATAAATTGTCAATGTAAATGACGACACAGTTTTCCATATGCGCAAAGATCTCGTTCATCATGCTCTGGAAGGTTGCCGGTGAATTGGTCAACCCAAAGAACATAACAAGGGGTTCAAAGGATCCTCGGTGGCACGTGAACGCGGCCTTCCAAGCATCTGCTTCTTTGATTCGTACATTATTGTACCCCCATCTAAGATCCATCTTTGTCAAAATCTTGGCACCAGCCAATTTGTCTACTAACTGACTGATTAAAGGCAGCGGATACGCATTTTTGACCGTGTGCTCATTCACGTAACGATAGTCCATAATTATACGCTTCTTACCATCCTTTTTAGGAATGAAGAACACCGGGGACATCATAGGGCTTTTGGAAGGTCTGATGTAACCCTTCCTAAGCTGTTCGTCTATGAAACTTGATACCTCATCTCTTTCTGGAGCAGAGAGTGATATCATGCATCCTTTTCTCGGTTTGAAGGTGTCCTTCAAGTCTATAGCATGGTCCCAAGGCTTAGCCTCTGGGAAGCGCTCTGATTTATGTTTAGAAAAGACTTTCCAGAAGTCATGGTACTCGGGAGGTACCAGCCTCTTGATTTCTTCTTCAGGTTTTACCTCATCATCATCATCGTTGATCTTTTCTAAAGATCTGAGCTCATAAACGTGACCAGCGTTTATCTTCTCAAGACGCTCATTGTGACGGACATGATTTGGTTTACCCAAGTTTACACACTCCTGAGGGCAACGTGACAATGTGACAACCCCTGTCTGCCAGTCGATCTCAGGATTGTGTTTAAATAGCCAGGTCCAGCCTAAGATTAAATTAATCTTCCCTAGTTGGGTAGCTTCGGCGGTGACTCGTTCTCTGTGCCCTTGGTATTTGACCACAAAAGAACATTTGTGCGTGATGCAGCCACCTGCATTAAGCGTATCGTCAACGTTATAGACGGGAATAGATACATCTAATTTTACAAGGGGGAGTCCAATTTGCTCCGCCCAGACCTGATCTATGAAGATTCCATTAGCGCCTGAATTAAGCAGTGCGCTGGTTGGGTGTACTATGCCCCGGGCAAGGTTTTCCACACCAACATCTAAACAGATCTCTTTTTGGAATAAATACGTGTGCATTAACACACGCCTTGGGATTTTGGGAAAGGGTGGCTCCAGCGAAGAAGAATCAAAAGTTACATGTTTTTCTATTTTATTTTTACCAGAATCAAGCACCCTAGTGATTGTTTTGCCGGGGCCACACTCCAAAGGAGATGCTGGTGCAGCGGTAGTATCATAAATATTACAGTCACAATGTTTTATACAAGTACATACTTCAGATAACAAAGTTAAAAATCTATTTACAAATTGGGGAGCCATCCCCGTCTTCCCTTTATTGCTCATGCAACACCCGGGAGCAGGGGCCACTTTGTTGTGGTTTACTTCATTGTTCATTGGAGCGAAGGCACCCAAGTGGTCTAAGCTCCAAACTCTTTTCCCTGAGCCTTCATTTCATTGACCTGTTGGTCATAGAAGAAAGCTCGGATTTCATTGTACGAACGACTGGCCAAAGAGTTGAGCCGATTGTCCGGCTTTTCGGTTTCTAATTGGCGCGCCTGGCGCCCTTGATTATTTTTTTGTTAAGCAGCCTGCGCTCCTTTTCTGCAGTCTCGGGACATGTGTCCCTCTTGGCCGCAATTATAGCAGTTCCCCTGGAATCTGCGCATCTGTCCTCCTTGGACTGCGCCGATATCCATAGGGGCTCCCTGCCCTGGTTGCAGCCCAAACAGCTTGAAACCGTGAGAATGTTTATGTTGGTTTGATGACCCAGGGCGCCTCTGGGTTTTGTTGTTTTTGGTGGTGGACCTGCCACCTTGGTGCATTTGGTAAAGCTCCATGGCTCTACCAATTCGTCGTACTTCCTCAGCCGCCAGGGCCAAGTTCTCGTTTCTTGTATCCTGCAAGTAGATCTGTTCTGCAATGCGAGGTTTCACATTGCGCTCCAGCAGTTCTACTGCATGTTCATTTCCAAGCCCTCCTTGGATGGAGAGGGCCAGGAACCGGGTAACGTAATCATCCGTCCTCATGTTTCCTTGCTTGAAGGAACGGATTTGCTGATGCGCCCAGTCACGCTCAGCTTGCGGTTTGAAATATTTTTCGATCTTTTTCTTGAGATCGTCCCAGGTTGGCCACACTCCCACGGTGTAGCACTCCTGTAATCTAACTTGGGCGTATCGACCCGCCACAGGTCCTTTTAGTCGAGATAGCACCGCAGTGGCTACCTCAAAATTGTTGGCAAATGCATCCCAATTTGCCTTAACCCAAATCTGGAGCTTGATCCACCACTCGGTGAATTGCGCTCTGTCTCCTTCAAAGGCGCCAGGGTCAGCGATGACTTCGACTTTCTTGTTGAACTTTTTCTCTACCGAGGGGGTTGCCACGGGAGGGTTTGTCTGCAGCTCGGTGATGTCGATGATGAGAACTGCAGTTAGAAAACCACACACAAAAACAAACTAACACACAATCCTCCCAGATTCCACGGAACTTGTTTATGGGCTTTGCCTCCTAGAACAGTGGAGTGGTCTGGTTGTTCGTGGGGTGGTACGTATAAAGATCCTTCAAAGTAAAACCCAGAGGTGTATGAGTGTGGGTTTTGAGGAGGAGGGATAGTTGAATTTATAGGATGATAGGTGCTTTGTGGCGAATATAGACGAGCACTACCTTGCTAATGGTAGCACAAGGTAGGTTTGAGAACGACGAGGATGACAAGGTGACGAGGTTCCCAGTGATAGCAGGCTCCTGACGCACAAACTGTAGTGCTCAGAAGGACTCTAATCGAAAGGGATGACAATGACTTCAAAAGTGGGAAGTGACGATGACAGCAGTTGACAGTGGTAGAAGTGGGAAGTGTTGTGACCACACTGGATCACAAGTAGCAGAGTAGTGAACTTGAGAGTAGAGAAGAAGTCTGGATTGGATTGCTTGTTTTTTTTTACAAGGTAAAATACAGGAGTTTATATAGTAAAAGAAAAGTAGGCTATGCACAGTATAGCTGTGCAAAAAGAATGAGAAAGAATATGAAGGAAGGAATGTATGCTGACAAATCCTGCGTAGGTAGTACAGGATAAGATTGTCAAAAAAAAGAAAAGAAAGGGATAGAACAATAAATGCTGTGAGTAATGTCACAGGTTTGTACAGCCATAAAGTAAAGTCCAATAGCAAAAAGAGAGCAGGAAGATCATGATGTCATGGGAAGATGCAGTAAAAAAAAGGGCAAGGCAAAACACTATCAGTATCAACACAGTTCCTTTATTGTCAGTCAGGCATTCTAAAAAAATATGTGTCCATAAAAATGATTCAAAAATCAAAAATAATCGCACTGTAAATGAATGTTCTGCTGAAAAAAAAAACTGGAGCCACCGGTCCACCACCTAGTCCAAATCCGACAGTTCCATGGCCTTACCAATGGACTGGTTGTGTTGGACCACCTGATCAAACGAGGGAGGGAGAGGAGTAGTTCCAATTTGGAACAAGTGAGTCCCAGGCAGCGTGTGGTAGGTGTAGCTGTAGCGAAGACGATGGACAAATGATAAGTGTACCCAAGTGAATGGGACAGCGATGAACATGGGCGACGCAAGGGGATGAACCTTCTCCAGCTCAAAAACTACCCACCCACGCTCCAACCAGGCAAGACGAGCAACCGATGTTTTGATAGTATATGATGGCAGATTGACGTCATAAAGATGGACCTGTTGCCCTATTTGGACCGGCCGCCGGGGCTTTGCTGATATCAGCAGTGGCACAAGGTAGTCAACGGATTGGCGACGGAAGCGGATAGGAAGTGGTGACATCAGAAACGGTGGGGGTGCAAATAAAATGAGGAGGAGGAGGGTGGAGGTGACGGAAAAGTGGATTAGAATGGGGATCCAGAAACGACCGTCAGGTGAGAATAAAAAGGAGAGGAAGGGGCCCATGATGGGGCTAGGCAAAGGAAGGGGAGTAAGGGAAACAACAAAAGCGAGGGCGCAATGCAATGTGTAGCCAGTGGCGATGCAAAAATTTGCCGAAATGCCGAAATGCCGAAAGTACCGGATGGAAAAGTAAAGGTGAGCATGACTGGATTGCCTAATAGAGGTGGTGCTGATCAGCCACAAGTTCAAAAAAGGCAATATTAATTACTATTCCACGTGGCACTGTGCCTGTGTGGCACAAAGGCGAGTCTTTTGAATATTCGCTTCATTATTGACACCTGTCCATGCTACCAATCAACTTTGGTGCATGACAGCAAGTTGCGAGGTTAATGTTGCAATCTGTGCACACATGGCGTGCAGCAGACCATTGATATCTTGTTGCAACGACATGTCGACTTGTTCTCTTGTAAAGTAAAAAAAAGGTAACTGGGGGTCCCCGCTTGCTATCTGCGGATCTACCTCTTCCCAGCTGAGTATTGGATCTCAATCTCCGACTACCCACACTATAGTATTTGAAAAGTATATAAAAAGTATTCATAAGAAACCCTGGTCCGAACGGTTGTCAGGGGGTGGTCTGCTTGTTAAGCTGTCAACCCTTCTCCAACTGGCGGAGGCAAGTGCCCGGCCTGGTCAGAGGAAAGAGAAATTGAAGTTTTGTATTTTAATTCTAATCAACAGCGGTTCCACACCGACTGCTGAGCTAAGTACTCCCCTTAACGCTGGGGGCCGCGTATCAAAGGTTTTGGTTCTTCTCCCAAAGCACTACAAGGCTGTTGCAAAGAGCGCACCTATCTGCTATGCGGGATATTCCCAACCAATAACCAAATCTCCTTCACCCTGGAGTCCGGGTGCCCAGTGGGACTTTTTGCACAAACGTGCGAGAGAGTTGAAGAGCGAGTCCTAATGTAACAACCAAGAGTTAGTTACTCTGACGCACACAGAAACACACTATAAGGAAAATGATGAGGGAGTGGTTACCCCTTGAGCTGCAGAGAGTTTGTTGGTTAACAACAGGAGGACTCGCTGAGGAGTCTCCTGGATCTATTGGGGTATATATACTACTACAGACTATTTGTACATATGTACTATACAGTTGATGGAGGCAGTGGCTGACGATGTCATAGGGCATAGCCCGTATGACCAGCTCCACTGCATGAGAGACTTGTATCTAAAAATAAAGGAAAGCAGTGCAGCGCAAGAAAGTGGAGTTTGAACAAAATGGAAAGTGCTGCATGGCACAATGTGTGAAAATAAAGAAAGAAAGTTAAAGTGGAGAGTGAAAGTTTAAAGGTCCAAAAATTGTGTATTGTAACATAGATCAAGGAGACTCCTTAGTGAGTTCTTGTTGCAATTGACAAACCAGCACCTACTTACACATTATTTTTACTGTACTTTTACTTTCAATTTTCCAAGTCATGTGACTGATCACATGACCATTGATTTTACATTACTTGGCAACATTGCCATACAAAGGCACATTCGGAAACGGTCGATCGGTCGAGCGATTTTTGATTCGACCAAATCAACCGTTTGGAGACTGAATGGTCATGTGACCCCGGTTTTCTGTTACCCCAGGTTCAAAATTTTTCATGTGTGCTAAACCCTAATTTTGGGGTTTGTTGATGGGGAGATTGGAGAGAGAAAGAGAAAAGGCACAAAGATATGAATTCAAATATCGTAAAATAGAATACAAAGAGTAGTCAGGATGAGCAGGGCAAAGGAGGCATGGGGGACATGTACTTTAAAATACGAGAGAAAATGTCTGTAGTCAGTCAAAAAATGCATATAGTAAATCAAAGAAACAAAGAGAAAATTACAGCAAAAAGTTTTTCAAAGACATTCAGACAAGCAATCAACTTTGAGGTGCTTCCTCCCCTCGTAGTCAACGACAAAATCCGGCATTGGTGGACTCATGGTGAGAGAATCATACAAACAAAACAGAACACCACCTGTAGCTGTCTTTGTGATACGCTTTGTGAGCATCATTGCTAATGCCCCATACTCCATTGACTTGTCACCACCATCGCCCTGCTGAATGACAGCCCTCTCGTGTATGCAAACTTGCTAGTCCAATTGTTAAGTAAAAATGTGGAACATATGTCTAGTACATTTTCTGTATGCCAAGTTTTTGGCTGAGTTAGCCAGCTTGAATTCATTCTTGAAGCCAAATCTGAACCGCTTTTTGAGACGTTTAAACTCCGATTTTAAACATCTCAAAAAGCGGTCAAATCTCTCTTTAATGCCTATAGTGTTGAGCAAAATATGTTGTCAACTGTGGGAAAGTGCTACTGTGCTGCAGCACACTCCCGCCCTCTATTATGGCTCACCACTGTGGCACACAGTGTCAAAATGTGGGAATTTTATTTACCTTTTCACATTGTCATTTCAATACTATACCAAACCAAAATAAAAACTCAAATGGGTTCAAGCCATTTGGGCTGCAAATAGGCCCGTCTTTCTCAGTACTTGTAAAGAAGGGCCTCTGTGCATTGGACTTGGTATATTTTCACTGTTGTATTCTCCCTATATTGGTGCGCAAGAATTTTCCACCTGCTGAAACTATTGTTTTAGATTTGTATTTGTTTGTATCATTTGTATTTTTCATTTTTGCCACATATACTGAACTTGTATCATTGGCTTGGTTTTCAGAACACCAATACCTAGGATTATACATTCTAAACGATGCAGTTATCTGATGGCCAGGGGCAGAGCTGCAATAAGTAGTCCTTCTCCATCATCACCAACTTCAAACTAAAACAGTGACATTATTAAATTCATTTATATTCATTTATGTGAGCATTATTTGATATTACTATTCACAATTTCTAGGCTACTTCTGAAAGACCTTTGGCTCTAGTAGCATGCTCTGTAAGTGTTCATATCTTTTTTTAAATAAAACTAACAATCAATATTGTTTACCAGATTGAATGTGCTTTGCTAGGTGCTATCAATGATGCCACAATAGAATTCTCAGAGACATCATTTTCTGCCAGGTACGTCACCTCAATCACTATAAATCTGTGCTACTTATTATACTTTTACAAGGTGGGATCATCATATGAGGTTGCTGGACAAATTTCAGAAATGTTCTCCTACATACCTGGTGGCTGTAGTCGATGAGATTGATAAATATGTTTAGTAAGAGCTTACTACATATTTATATTGAAACATTTGTTTAACCTCAAGTATTTTTGTAGGAATGGTTGTATAACAGTGGGGCAATCTGATGTTTCTGAGCTTATATTTAATTTTGATGCTTTAGAGGAAGCAGTAAAAGTGTCAAAATCATTTTTATAAATATTTCTGCTGCAGTGTTTTTAAAAACCAATATAATTTGCTTTATTAGTGCTTTTTTGGATATAATTGAGTATGGATTGATTGAATTGCATTTAGAGTGAATTATAGTGAAAAAGTGCAAGGTCATTTTTGTTTTAACAACTGTGCTATAAACCACTTTTTATGATATAGCAATACTCTAAACTGATATTTATTGATATTTATGCATTTGGAGTAGGGGACTGTGCAAGGATCACACTTATAGATATAATAGATATTGTTTTCCTAATGCTGGTCGTCCTTGACAAGACATATGGCTTTGCAGTGCCATTTCCAGAAAAATTCAGATCCTTTTCTGTCTAAAGATGATACCAATTAGTTTGTATTAAACAGATTTTACTTTTACTTTACCTGTGTAGTTCCCCGCTTGAATTTGCTCAATTATCTTCGACTCAATCTCACCTAGCTTCTCAAATAGTGTGCGTGGGTTCTTCTTCACAACAACGAGTCCATCCTTTTTACTCACTTCCTCAAGCCTTGTATTGTATTGACATGTTGCTTCCACCCATTTCCTGGATGTCATGCAAAATGTTGACCACTTGTCTTCATATCACAGTCCCATAAATAAAAAGAATTCCTGTTTGGATGAGATAGTCAGTGTCCACGGATCAATGCCTGTGTATTTGGCAAATAGATGTTGAGATCAAGACAGTCCCCGCATTGCAGCCTGAGGAAGTGAGAGGGGGGCGCAAAGAGACTGGGTACTTGTTGGCACTGCTGGGGCTTTCTCTTGAGTTTGATTCTGAACAACCTTGGTTTGGCCTCTATTTGATGTGATCACCGGTTGATGGCTCTTGAAAAAGGAATAAAGCGCTGTAGAAGGGGGAGCTGACAACTGAGGTGCGGATTCCAAATACACTGTGCTAATGTGTGACTGAATAGAGAGAGGTATTATCAGCGGTTTAAATTATAAGAGAAAAAAGAACAAATGATAACTTGCACCTTGCGCTTGAGAGTCAGCTTGCTTGAGCCTGCATGGTCTAGGTCAATGGGTGTAGCAGGAATGGCAGCCATATGATCTTGGGGGAGTAACAAAAGTGCCGGATCAACGTTGATGCCTTAAAGAATTGAAGTCGGCTCCATTTCACTTTCAGAGGCCAACTGAAGGAGTGTCTTGGCATTGGGATCCTCCATGTCTTTGAGTTCTTCGTGCTTGATGTCCAGAAGGCCGCCAAAAGTGGTTGTATTTTCTGAGGAGACAAGACCAAAGATCTCGTTGCTGTTGATGGGTGTGAAAACACTGCAAAGTTCATATTTCTATCCATTTTTGCGAGTGGCTTCTTTCTGTGCTAGCTCATTCCACTGATGGGTGCCATATGTTGAGGAGATGAATGGATCCAGATTTTGTGATTTGAGTTCCACATGAATATTGTGATGAGTGACAAAATTGTGCCCCAATGCCGAGAAGACCTCAATGCCGCTCGCATGCGAGCGCATGAGGGAATTCCAGCCTTTGTGGGACCCTTCAATCCTGCTGCCATCAGAGTGAATGTCTTGACGTGGTCGCACAAGGCATCCCTTCTTGATATGCGCTAATTGATCGGCATAGACCTGTTAGGATAGAAGTATTTAGTGTAACCTACATCAATGGAAAATAACTTGCCTTTGTAGAAGCTGCTGACCAGATCCCACCTCTGATTGACCACTTTTCAAACATCGCTTGCAAGTGAACTTCTTGATCATCTTTCTCCCGGTATTCTGCAAGTTCACCATTGCAAGCTCGGGTCTTGAATATGGCGTCACCAACATCCTTTGCAACCTCAGCACAAAATGTGCTCTTTGTTGCATTTACAAGTGTAGCTAGATAACTGTAAAATAGAGCACAATTAATTTGAAAGAACAAGGATGGATAAAAAAACACTTACCGCATAATGAAGTGAAATGCATCAAGAGCAACATGTACACTAGGTAGTATTTTCTGTACCGAACTACGGACATGGCAGCAGTTGTCTATGATAACTATTTCTGGCAGTCCTACTCCCAACTCCAAATGTCGGTGCTTCAGTCTCAAAAGCATCTCTTCCATCTCTGCATTCACTTGGCTTTGACAGAGCCTCTATTTTCTCCTCAGTAAATGATAGCTTGCGAGTGTGTCTAGGTGCTTACCCAGGCAAGTATCAGATTCTTCTCATTTATAATGCTCAGAAGACCCCCTTCATTAACTTTGTCCTGGATTTTGTTGAGTCTGCAATTGTCGCTTTCTTTGAGACCTTGAAAGTGTTGTCAAGGGATATGCATACACCTATTTGCATGGGGGTAACAGTAGTAAGCACCACGCAAGAGCTTGAGGACTATTTACAGCTGCTTACCTGAAAGCCTTCATAAGTAATCAGACAACTCAGCTTGTTGTGTCCGCCTGTTGACCTCAAGGAATATATCTGTAATCAGATCAGCTGTGATCAGTTTATACCCATAAACCCCATTTGGCACAGAAAAGGCCTCAAGGGGGTTGCATGGCCGGATGGTGACACAATTTCGCCGTTTTTGGTAACTCGTTAGGTATTCTGATTGACGCTGATGATATTGAATCAGATGAAGCTCTGGCGAGGCAGCATCAGAGCATGTTAGGGCTAATTGGATTATGAAAAAGGTGCGTTGACTTACGTTTAATGTTTTCAGCAAGGCCTCCTGATGTATTTGATGGATAAAGCTCAATCAGCAAGTCAAACAGTTGGCGTGTAACACCACAACACTTAAAGAATACAGGTATGTCACCTGTTCAAAAACCCTGAATAAGTACTAATGTAGCTTTTTTGAACATGTTATACTGGCAAGGTATCTCCCAAAATTCCCATCCCTCCCAAAACTGATGACTTATTGTAGCAAAATAATAGTCACTTGTCTCATTGGTTTCATCAATCCCATGGCCACCTTTGCATGCTTTGCATCTGAGCTGGCAGCCAAGAGCCAGCTCATCTTGTTGCATCCCATGGACCTCTCTAGGCCCTGTGGATGTCCAGCCTCTCCAGAGCACATCCATTGACCAACATTTTGGACATTTTGCAATGTCTTCAAAGTAGAAGGGATGGATTATACTCAAGGGCTTCAGGTAAGTGGTGTGGGGCCTCACGCTGGGATTGCACTAACACTTTTTGAGATGAAGATACAACAGCGGCGTGAAATATGGCCCATAGATAGGTACATTCTCTTTTAAACTTGGGGATGTTGTATCCTTACTGTTTGTGTGTAACTCAGTTTTGCTAAAAATGTAGTCCACATAGTGTACTACATTAGCTTGCCATTTGTATTGAGCCAGCTGGGCATCATTTGACTGGTTTGAGCCTCAGCAGCTTGACCAGGATTTAACCTTTGAAGCAACCTATAGCGGGTGAGTATAATATTATGTTCTCAGTTGATAGGCAGATTACTCACTGCATTCTTCCATTCTAATTCAAACTTTCCATGCTCATTAGCAGGTAATCCGTTCTTTATGATCAGTTTGACAACACTCAGCTCAAATGCAGTCATTCTTGTTACAGGTTGCAGTTTCTCCCAATTTTCTTGGAGGGATACTAGTTTGCTTTGGAAGATGGTGATTCAGTGGTAAGCCCCTCTTTTTTTTCTTAGTCAAATACCAATTGATTGCTTACACTTGTTGTCACACCACACACATGTCTGGGTTTTACTACCACTTGAATTTGATGAAACAGATACTACAATTACAAGGCTAAGGACAAAGTTAACTAGTGATACATGCTATGTTGTAATGTAGTACGTCAATTGAGTGAATTAAAAAAAAGTTTGTATGCTTGAAACAAAATCACAAATGAGTAAAGCACCCTACCTAACTAATAGCTAAACCATTGAGAGCATTATATACAAAAGTGCGCCTGATCTCTTGAATTGAAAGAAACCTTGCACCCATGAACCTTCTACCGCTGGTTCTAGGACTGTTCCAAAGGGCAAATTTTACCCGGACTGGCTTTGAGAAGGGGACACTGTCCAAAGAGTTTGGCAGACAGCAGTCTCCATGGACATTGGATATGGGGAGTTGGTCTGCACAAGAACACTGAGAGAAACATAAACATTAATAGAAGTATTGAGAATAGTTTCAAGGTGCACCTGATTAATTGTGTACAAAGCCTAAGAAACTTGAAGTAAGCTTGACGGATACTCTGGAGACCTAAACAACAACTCCAAAAGGCAGGTATTTTCATCTGCTTGAAGCGCAACTGCACGGACACATTGAATTAGCCGTTGCCATTGGCTGAAAAGTTGTCCTTCCGCTGTCATTGATTCTAGCCAACAAGAGGCTATAGCACTCATCTTTGTTTCAAGGCTAACATTACTGCGGATTCCCATATCACCATTTTTAGTTAAGAAGCACTCTCTTGTAGATATTTGACAGTCTACTTCAAATGCAGCCTTGAAGTAGGTTGGTGACTGGTAGCTTGGTGATTCGGAAATGTGAGGATACCTCCAATATAACAGGTGCCTGTCTGCCTCTATTTCAACAAAAACTAAATTATAAAGCTCTTCTTCTGCCATGCAAGCGAGAATAATGTATTAATGACTTGATAAATTTTCTATCCAATAGCTTAGTGTTTACTTTCAGTGATGGGTGCAACAACATACCAACTGCAAGACTACAATTTAACGACATGTCCGCAATATGAAGCTCAATCTCAATCTAAAGCTTAAGCTTTCAGATCAACCAGGGTCTAAATATGCAGGTGGCAAAATGGGTGTCTAGACAAAATGGGCAGCTACGTTAATGAAGCTTCAAAGTTTTGAGAGATTAGAGATAGAAGCAGAGAAGCTAAAGTGCCTGGGCGGTCTCCTCAGCATGTGTCAGAGCTCCCAAGAGCTGCCTGGCTCCTTTGGCGGGACCTGCCTTCGAATGACCAATTTTTCCATTACTTTTTGGGATTTTCATAGTCACATGACCGGTCACATAACACATCACCTGACTAGTGTCTAGACTCACTATGTGACTGGCCACATACTAGACATCAGACTTTGAACTTTATTTACAACTATACAGTACCTCACATATTGTAATATATATATGCCTGAGCAATACATGGGGAAGGACTCAGCAAGTCCACTCCTAGTGTATACCAACATTAGTGAAGACAACCTCCCTCCTTTGATAGCTTGTACACTTCCTTTCCTACCATTGAGTTGTAGTTGGTTGTGCTTCAGTGCCCCTAGATAGAATCTTGTTGGTGTTGTCACAGTCCCCCTGTTATTTACAAACTCAGTCCTATCCCAAGGGAGATTATCCTCTGCTTCACTCACCCTTCCTTGCTTGTCTTTACTATTTGCTAGAGTATACAAACTTTGGTTGTTATACAGGCAGTCTTCATCATTGACACTGTAGTGGCAATAAGTTTTTGAACAGAGTTGACTGGGGTGTTTGTATAAGAAATAGTGATCGGGCCATTTGTGGTTTTGGCTTTGATGCTGAAGGATCCACTGCTGGTGGCATAATCAGAAAAGCTTGATTGCATGGAGCTAGGAATATTAGTAACCTTGCATCCACTAGAATAGATTCCACATACTTTTCATCTGTCCCCAAAGGAACTCCGGTTATAGGGGTGGTAAAGTTCTTGGACACTTTTGTGCAAACCTAAACTGAACCTGCATTTAGACCAGTCAAATTGGACTAAACCTGGACCAAACCAACCAAACCGGGTTTGGATAGTTTAAACCCCAAACCAATTGATACCCCATGCACTTGCCATATATGGCAAATGTATGGGACAGGGGGTGATGCAGGAGGCAGACACTCGAGGGAGGGCTTAGATGACACATTGACGTGCCACCTGGGTCCCCCCTTTTGTGGTGTGACTGTGGAGGAGGAGGATGAGTGGTGTGGTGGTGGTGAAAAGGCGGTGGTGGTGGTGTAACAAGAAGGAGGTGGTGGTGGTAGTTGTTGTGATGGTGGTGGTGTGAGTTCGTCAGTTTGAACCCAGTTTGGGCAACAACAAAAATGCCCAAACCACAGACTGAACTAAACCTGAACCTAGGGTTTGGTTTGGCAGTTCTGACTTCTGAACCAAACTTTACCATCCCTATCTGGTTAGATAAAACCCTGATGGCCCACTTAAACATTAATGGGTCTATTGGTTGTTGAGAACAATACATCAGACATATTAAAGGCACCACGGACAAATGCTTTAGTTGACATCAATGTGCCAGAATGTACAGAGATGGACTGACAAGAAAAGAATGGGGTTGAGTGCACAAGGCAAGGATAATTTAACACGAGAAGGACCCACCTTTGACATGATGCCTGCGGCATCAGCACACACTATAACATCATCAAAGTGAACTAAATCTTGGATATCCTTAAATTTAATGGAGTAATTGTGACAACACCAACAAGACACAGTCTTGGGGCACTAGAGCAGAACCACAGCAACACTCAATGGAGGATACAGAAGTGTACAACCCATCAAAGGAGGGAACTTGTCATACTAATGTTGGTATACACTAGAAGAGGACTCGCTGAGTCTCTCCCCATGTATTACTCCAGTATATATACTAAAATACATGAGGTACTGTACAGTTGTAAAATAAAGTTTAAAGTCCGATGTCTAGCATGTGACTGGTCACATAATGAGTCTAGACACTGATCAGGTGATGTGTCACATGATTGGTCATGTGACTATGAAAAGTCCAGGAATGTAAAGTAAAGTAAATGGTCACATGATCAGTCATGTGACTTGGAAAATGAAAAGTAAAAGTACAAAAAGTGAAGTGTAAGTAGGTGCTGGTATGTCAATTGTAACAGTAATGAGATGTAGTGATACTAAATCTCTTGATCTGCAAGGGTTTGCCATCACGGGTAGCAGGAAATGTCACTGTGACATCAAAGTGCATGTGGCTTTCTTGCTTAGTAGGAAACCATCTGGTAGGTGTCTGACAATGTACTAGGACAGTTTGCAACAGTCCTTGAATTGAATAATAATGATAATAGACTTACATAAATGCCAACACCTTGAGTGTTATAATACCCTGGGACTTTATTCAGCATACAGACATTGGCATGATCCAAAGCCTGTTGTGTGTGGTAGCCAACATGCACAAGGACATCAGCCGTATTTTTGATGACATTTGAGGTGACAATGGTCACACTGCCAATGTTTGTGCTGCCTCTAGTTAACAAGTACAAAATGGTTTTGTTAAAATCCTGAGGAGGACTCTCACTGTATTTAGACCAGGCAGAACCACCAACACAGTGTTCAACAACACCATCTCTGGGGTCAGGCCATCCAGCTCTGTCATCAGCCAAGTTGTGTTGTGATTCCAATATGTACGGTGATCTGCATATTGGTTGTAGAGTGATGGACATACATTGATGTGACCGCATTTATAACATCCAGCCAAGACCAGGGTGTCTGTGTACACAGCAAAAAGGAGCCAAGTGACAAGAGGGGCTGCATAGGATAGCATCAGTGAGATTCAGACAGGCTGGTGTATGAAAAGCTATAGAGAGAAACCTAATGTGCGAGGGAGAGTACTTGAGACCTTTAAACCACAGGGAAGCAGAAAACGACATGATTCTTAATTGATGAAGAGTAGTACGGGCTTCCCATGGAACACAACCTTTATTATGCAAAAGGGAAGAATAGAGGAGAGATGGAACCAAGTTACCAAGGACAAGTCGAATAAGCAAATGCACATGCTAACTGTCAAGATTGAAGGTTGAAGTGTCGCTATATAAGTAGGCATAGTGTCAACTGTGGGGTTAAGATGCGACTCAGACATGGGTGTAGAGTGATCGAAGAACCACTCACAAAATGGAAGGCTACTTTGTTGCCGCACAACCCATTGCTAGCATTTTATCGTCCTGACTTGACCACTTGGTTCACTACATATATACGTTCTTTCAAAACCTGTTATAGCATATTTTCTTTGACGAATAGAACAGTAAACAAGACAGATCAAGAATTTGAGACAGTAACTTTGCAAATTGACAATGGACTGGGACCCACTGGCATCTTACCACTTATATGGTCAGCCGGATGGGTGCCCTGTCCGTCTCGATTAAGATTTTACTTTCCCTCCAGCCCGGTCCGCGAGGACTCCAATACACTGTGCCTTTCATATGATTCCTGTCCCGTGAGTATTTGCGCAGGACCCGCTCCCTTCCTCTTCCTGAAGGATCCTCTGCATCACTTTCTATCACACGAATAGGGTTATTCCTAGTGTTCTGGAGACTAAAAGCGCCTTCGTATGCACTGCTCATTGTTACCTTGACAGGCGAACCCCTGGTAACGGCGACAAGTTGTTGGATAGAGTTAGTTGGGGTATTCGTATAAGAAATGGTGATGGGGCCATCAAAGGTCCTGGCTTCAACGCTGAAGGGGCCGCCGCCGTTGGCATTATCATAAAGGGTTGATTGCATGGAACTACGAGGCTATCAGTGAACCTGCATTTGCTTGCATACATTTCACGCACTCTTCATTTGTCTCCAAAGATACTCCAGTTAGATATGGGCCCTTACTCGGATGGTCTACTTGAGCCTCAATGGGTCCCTTGGTTGTTGTGAGAACTAAATGAGTAGCTTTAAAGGCACCCCTGATAAAGGCTTGAGTTGACCTGAACGTGGCGTGAAATGCGAAGATGGACTGACAAGAAAAGAAGCAGCAGTGTGAGTGTCCAAAACAAAATGATTAATCAAGAACTCACATCTGAATTGATGCCTGCATCATTAGCCTGCACATTGATACTGTGGAAGTAAACCGAGTCCTCTATATCCTTAATTTTGAAGGAGTAGTGAGATAAAGTGCTTTGAAAATTCTCGATCCACAGGGGACTGCCATCATGGGTAGCGGGAAATACCACTGTGACGTCAAAATGCATGCGGCCCTCCTCCTTAGAAGGAAACCATCTGGCGGGTGTCTGGCAAGACATTAAAACAGTGTGCAGCAGCCCTTGATGATAGTCGGCTCACATAAATGCCGATGCCTTGAGTGTCATGCTCTTTGCTCAGCAGACAGACATTTGCACGATTCAACGCCCGCCGTTTGTGGTAACCCACATGTACACGGACGTTGACTGTACTTCTGACGGTATCTGAGCTCACAAGGGTGACGGTGCCAATATTCGTACCACCGCGAGTTATCAAGTACAGCATTTCAGAGTCGACGGGTAAGCGGAACAAGGTGTGTGCAGAATAAGGGTAAAACTTATGGGGAGGAGCCTTCTTGTAGTTAGACCAGTCAGAACCACCGATACAGTGTTCAACATCGCCATCTGCGGCGTCGGGCCATCCGGTTCTGTCATGAACCAAGCTGAGATGTGATCCCTGATTGAAAATATCCATTAGCTGCGCAGTGTCAAAGTGATAAGCATACGCTGTCGGTATCGCAATCATAACATCCAGCTTCACTGTTTTCGACCAGAGCGTTTGCAAAAACAGTGAAAAGGAGCCAAGTGACGAGGGGGGCTGCATAGGAGTACATCAGTGATGGTAAATGAGACTAACTGGTGTGTGGAAAAGATGAGAGGAAGAGCACTCGAAATCTATTATACCACAAAATGACACGATCCTTATTGAAGACTACTGCTGGCTTCGATTGGGGCACAATCTTGGTTATACATAAAGGTGAGATGCTAGTCCAAGTTACGAAGGTCAAGTCGAATAAGGAAATGTATATGCTACTAGTAATATTTCAACGTTGAACTGTCCACTGTGGGGTCAATGAGCTACTGCAAAATGGACTCACCGAAGAAACCTTAGTCGGTGAGTGTAAAGAGGTGTAAAGTGACAAGTCACTTGCAATTGTCAGACTCGTCCCAAAGTGTCTTAAAAGCTTGGGCTGTGCAACTTTTACACGCCAAGGTTCACACTGGTTGTGGCATAAAGCACAAGTGTACCACTGCGGACTCCTTTAAATTAGAGTCACTGTAGCGAGCATAAACCATTGTTTTTGCTGAGAAAAGTGAGTAGCAAAAGTAAAAGTAGCCAGACCTTTCGTTACAGAAGAATGATTGACTGTTTAAAATTAGGTATTGCTTGGCTGAAGTCATGCATCATGATGGATGGTTCGGTACCCTAAACATGTTGACTCGACATACACCGGCCTCATTATAAGTCCTCTTTGCAGGCATTTAGTTATGTCTCATGCGGTTCTGGACCCATCATGGCGTCACTCACTTCCAGCTTATTCCTACGCAAAGACCCACCGTCTCCAAAATCTTCACTTGACGATGCAGATATCATTCCTGAAGTCTCAGCTTCAATCTTCAGTCTTCTTTCGTTCGGCTGGTTGACGCCCTTGCTGTCTCTGGGCTATATGAGGCCACTCCAAGCTACTGATCTCTACAAGCTCCCACAGGATCGTTCGGCAGCTCATGTAGCAGACATTATACTCTCATCATTCGAAGAACGGCGTAGAAAAGCTGATGAGTATAACACACAGCTTGCCCACGGTGATATTAGCCCTGGTCTTAAAGGTCTATGGTGGTCGGTCACAGGCAATCGAGCCGAACGGGAAACACGATGGAGGGAAACTGATGGAAAACGTCAAGCAAGCCTCATTCTAGCCATCAACGACAGTGTCAAGTGGTGGTTTTGGTCCGCTGGTGCCCTAAAGGTTATAGGAGATACTGCACAAGTAACAAGTCCGCTTGTTATCAAGGCAAGAACATGATACCTATGTCACTGAAAAACGTACTAAACTGATCTCTGCCAGGCCATCATCAACTTTGCCACAGAGTCTTATGCCAATCACTTTACTGGAGAACCGGTGCCCTCTATTGGTCTGGGTATTGGCTTGTCATTCGCCCTCCTTGCTTTGCAATTTGCAAGCTCGTGGTCTAGCAACCATTCTTTCTACCGTAGCATGTCAAGTGGTGTCTTAGTCCGCGGAGGGCTCATTGCTGCCATCTACTCGCGCTCTCTTCGTCTTTCTGGTCGATCTCGTTCAACCCTTAGCAACGGGAAGCTGGTGAATCATATCTCAACGGATGTGTCTCGAATCGACAATTGCTTCGCGTTTTTCCATATGACTTGGACTGCTCCCATCCAACTCGCCATTTGTCTCGTCTTGTTAATCCTAAATCTGGGTCCTAGTGCACTGGCCGGCTTTGCAGTGTTTTTTGCAGTTGCTCCATTTCAGAGCATATTCGTAACCCATTTAATCAGGCTGAGAAAAAGCAGTATGGAATGGACTGATAAGCGCTCAAAACTCCTCCAAGAATTGTTCAGTGGTATAAAGGTCATCAAACTCTTCGCATGGGAAATTCCGTTCCTTAAACGTGTATCTTCCTTCCGACAAAAAGAAATGGGGTATGTATATATAGTTTGGATTTTCTTCTCTTTTACACTGATGACATGGCACTTAAGATATATCCAGTCTCTACTCATTCTTCAAACAGGAGTGACCGCTATGGCTATGTCATTGCCTATCCTATCTTCTATCGTCGCTTTCATTACCTACTCCTTGTCAGGCCATGCGCTCGATCCAGCCAACGTATTTTCTTCCCTCTCTCTGTTTCAGATGATCATGGCACCAATGGCGTTACGTGAGTATTTCGCACTTCGTCTTTGCTGCAAACTTTACATGTTTTTCATTTAGCGATGGCATTGAGTGCCGTTGCCGATGCATATAATGCTCTCACCCGCCTTAAGGACGTATTCGAGGCTGAATTATTGGAGGAGACAGCGATATTCGACAAAGATTCGGAATCGGATGTTGCCATCAAAGTACAAGGCGCAAGCTTTACCTGGGATAGCTCTCCCAAACATGCAGAACAGGAGCAGCCTGAAGGTTCTAACTCGGATGAAAAGGACGATGACGAGAATATATTCAAGTTGACTGATATTGACATGTCAATTCCGCGCGGACAACTGTGTGCCATTGTTGGTGCAGGTGAATATTGTGTCACGGTTAATATGCAATAGCTAATTTTTATATGGTAATGTTTTTGTAGTGGGTGCGGGTAAAACGTCTTTACTGCAAGGCCTTGTTGGCGAGATGCGTAAAACAGCCGGTTCCGTTACCTTTGGAGGCACTGTTGGATACTGTGCACAAACCGCGTGGATTCAGGTGATTGAATAATTTCAGCTTCCAATTTTTTGCAGTGCATATAATTAGATATAGAATGCCACGATTCGCGAGAACGTTTGTTTTGGAAGACTTTTCGAGGAACAGAGGTACTGGAAAGCCATCCGCGATGCCTGCTTGGAACCTGATTTGGAAATACTGCCCAATGGCGATCTTACAGAAGTTGGTGAGAAGGTGAATACAATTTCAATAGGATCACGAATTATATCACAGCGTCTGACTTGATTAAAATTCCAATAGGGTATCTCACTTTCTGGCGGACAAAAACAACGGGTCAACATTTGTCGCTCTATATACTGCAATGCTGATATACAGATATTCGATGTGAGCACCACAGGAGGATTTCTCATATTTAGTTATGCTTAAACCACCATATTTAGGATCCCTTGTCGGCTCTCGATGCCCACGTCGGAAAAGACTTGTTCCAGGATGTTTTCAAGGAGAATCTACAAGGGAAAACCCGTGTGCTTGTAACGCACGCTCTTCATTTTCTCCCCCACGTGGATTACATATACACCATTGTCGATGGCCAAATAGCAGAGCGAGGTACATATTCCGAGCTCATGGAAAATGATGGCGCATTCTCCAAATTTGTCTGTGAGTACGGGTCGAGGGAACAATCCGATGATAGCGAACAGAATGACCAGGAAAGGACTCCCAAGAAAGCGAAAGATCTTGAAAGTGCGCTCCCAGGTAAAACGATGATGACTGAGGAAGAACGAAATACCGGTGCTATCAGTAGTACCATCTACGGAGAGCTCTTCAGAGCAGGAAATGGATTCGCCCTTGCCCCTCTGTTGCTTTTTGCTGTGATCCTGACGGAAGGTTGTAACCTGATGTCATCATATTGGTACACAATATACTTGCCTCTGATCATAAATGCTCTGCTCATCGTTGTTATTACTAGGCTTGTTTACTGGCAAGAAAGGTGTGTTGTCATGAAGCTTTTTTTTTGTTGTTCACTCACATTTCTCAAAGGAAGTGGCCACAACCCCAGGGATTCTATGTACGTCCTGATTGTCATATATGGACCCAAGGCTGATCGATAGATTTTAGATGGGAATATATGCTGGTATCGGCGTTTCCCAAGCGTTAAGTAGTTTTTTAACAGGGTCTATGTTTATCTTCTTTGTGATACATGCTTCGCAAATTTTACATGATGTAAGTGCAATCCTATCTCTTTTTATCGACAGCCCTCATCACTCTCGCTTCTATTAGAAAGCTATAAAACGCGTCTTGTACTCGCCAATGAGTTTTTTCGAAACGACTGTATGTAATTAATTAATTTATCTTCACTTCTTTCCCCTTGTTCAATGAAATATATAGCCACTAGGACGCATTATGAACCGGTTCACTAAAGGCATGTTTCCTTCAAACCTGGTCACATATATATATATATATTAAAGCCTGACAGCATAGACATGGACACATTGGATAACGTCCTTGGAGGTAAATCATCTCTTGTTTGTATGCCACCCTAGTTAAATCCTCATCACTCACAGGCTCTCTACGATTGTTGGTTTCAACCGGTGCTTCAGCCCTTGGATCTATTATCTTCATATCTGTCATTGTGCCGTGGTTCCTTATTGCGATCGCTGTCGTTTCAGTGTTCTATTTCTATGCTGGGTTATTTTACCGTGCCAGTGCTAGGGAGATCAAGGTATTTAACAAGTCCTTTGAATGAGTTGGCCGCTAATGTATACCTTTTCTTTCGTTTAGCGGCTTGGTACGTGTGGATCCTGACTCTCATTTGCTTACCACCCAGTCTAATTAAATTTAGACGCCATTCTGCGGTCCTCATTATACTCCCACTTTTCTGAATCGCTTACGGGTTTGACTACCATCAGAGCATATGGTGAAGTTCCGCGTTTCCAAGCTGAAAACGAGAAACGCATGGACATTGAAAACCGGTGAGACACAAACACTGCCGTTACCATTAAGAGAATATGCCCTTCTCATATAACATATGATTTAAAGTGCATGTTGGCTCACAGTGACAAACCAGGCAAGTATGATTACGCTCAAAGGAAGAACTGCCAACGGACTTTTTTTTCAGATGTGGCTTGGCATGCGTCTTGATTTTCTCGGTGCAATACTCACCTTCATCGTTGCAATAATTGCCGTAGCCACACGGTTCAGCATCTCTCCCGCCCAGACTGGCGTGATATTATCCTTCATTCTGTCAGTTAACCAAGTGCGTATATTATATTTGTATTATTATCCCAGCATGTTTATTCTGAGCTCCCTTAGATGTTTCATATGATGGTTCACCTGAGTGCGGAAGTAGAGAACAACATGAATGCGGTGGAGCGTATCGTACACTATGCCAACCAAGAAGAGCAGGAGCCTCCCCATCAGCTCGATGAATCCGCCTTGCCTGCTTCATGGCCCTCGGAAGGCCAAGTGGAGTTGAAGGATGTGGTCATGAAGTACCGTCCTGAGCTTCCTCCAGTTCTGAAGGGTCTTTCAATGTCGATAAAACAAGGGGAAAAGATAGGGATTGTCGGCCGGTATGATGTTCTCCATCCCTTGTACAGTTTATCTGATATCATGTTAGCACTGGTGCTGGAAAATCGTCTATCATGGCAGCCCTTCTCCGTATCGTAGAACTAGAATCTGGTTCTATATCGATCGACGGTGTTGACATATCTACTGTGGGTCTGATGAAATTGCGGAGTGGGCTTTCTATCATTCCTCAGGAAGCTGTGAGTTTATTATCCGCTTTGACTCCTGTTGTATATATCGACTGTTGATATATTTTCCCTGTAGTTCTTATGTGAGTTCTCTTTAGTTCCGTTCTCTACTGATCCTCATCGTCTATTTAGTTTCTGGTACACTGAGATCGAATCTAGACCCGTTTGAGTTGCACGATGATGCGCGGCTCTGGGATGCATTGAAGCGATCATATCTCGTCGAACAAGAATCACAGCCTGAAGGTGCACACGACGAGAAGACTTCAGACGCTCGATTCAATTTAGACAGCCAAATCGATGAGGATGGTAGCAATCTTTCGGTCGGAGAGGTAAGCTCTATCTTACTAGTTTGGATGGCCAGGATCAATAACCTGTAACCCCGTCTCAAAGCGATCCTTAGTGTCATTAGCACGGGCTTTAGTCAACGATACAACAGTGCTCATTTTAGACGAAGCGACGGGTATGTTCATCTTGCAATATCTGATGTCTTCCGTTTGTTGAACTATTTACCAGCATCTGTTGACTATAAAACTGATCGCCAAATACAAGACACTATTAAAACAGAATTCAAAGACAGGACGATATTATGTATTGCACGTATGTATCATTATTTCATCGCTGTTAAATAACTTAATCCTGTTGTCGTCAGATCGTCTACGTACCATTATCTCGTACGACAGAATCTGCGTGCTTGATGGAGGCTGTGTTGTGGTAGATATCAGTTTCTGCTCATTTCTCGCCTTTGCCATACTGAATGATTTTCCCAGGAATTCGATACGCCGAATACACTCTATTCTACGCCCAACAGCATCTTCAGAGAAATGTGTGATCGTTCTTCCATTTCTTTGCACGATATTCTTTCCGAGTCTAAAAGGAAGGAGACGGAGTAAATTGTTCTCGGAGCCTAATGAAGTGAGGTGCTTATTATAGGATATACACCCCATAGATACCACATCTTAAATTAATGAATCCAATCACTGCTCATTTCTTTTGTTTCTTGTCATAAGAGAAAATACAACCTGGTAGAGAGTGGGGAGTCCCCAGTGGAAATAGTGCTCAGCAGCGTTCAAAAATGTTTTATATGGCTGAGTTTACATTGCAAAACCTGTTACAGCATATTTGGACAACTGATAGTACAAAAAGAAAGACGACGAAAAATGATGCCAAGAATTCCAGATAGTAAGCTTGCAAATTGGCGAAGAGCACCTGACCACTTAGACGGTAAGCCAGATCGGTGCCCTATCCGTTCGAATAAAAATTCTGCTTTCTCTCCAGCCCGGTCCAATAGGGTCCCAATACACTGTACCTTCTTTGTGAGTCATGCCGCCCTGTGGGTTTATATACAGAACACGCCCCCTTCCTTGGCCTGAAGGATCCCTTGCGCCACTTGTTCTCACATCAATAGGGTTATTTCCAGTGGTGTCCAGAATGAAATCGCCTTCGTAAGTACTGCTCATTGATACCGTTACGGGCGAACCCGTGGTAACAGCGACAAAGTTTTGAATAGAGTTAAGTGCAGCATTCGTATAATAAATGGTGATGGGCCCATCATTGGTGTAGGCACTGAGGCTGAAGGGTTCGGCTGCAGCCTGAGCGTCATTGGAAAAGGTCGATTGCATGGGACTGAGAACGTAGTATCAGTAAAACGACACTGCGATCGTTAGCATAAATCTTACACACCTGTTATCTGTGCTCAAGGGAAGTCCTGTAAGATATGAACCCACAGCCGGATGGCCAACGGAAACGTCGATGGGTCCGAAGGTTGTACTGAAGTATAGCTGAGAAACATAGAAGGCACCCCTGATAAATGCTCTAGTCGTTTTGAACGAGCCAACATATGCGAAGACCGACTAGCAAAAAAATTCGAACCAGTGTGGAGAAAGGCGAGAAGACTCGGAGCTCACATCTGACCTAATGCCTGCGGTAAGGGTTGATAAGGAGATAGAGTTGAAGTAAACCGAGCTCTGGATATCGTCAATTTTGATGGAGTAGTGATCGAAGTTGGTTTGAAAATCCTTGATCCACAGGCGCTTGCCGTCCCAAGTAGCAGGAAATGTCACTGTGACATCAAAGTGCATGCGGCCCTCCTGCTCAGAAGGAATCCAATTGTCGGGCGTCTAGCAAGGCATTAAGACAGCTCGACGTAGCCCCTACCATTGGATAATAAACATTAAGCTCACATAAATGCCGACACCTTGAGTATTCATCCCTCTGTGCAGCAGACAGGCATTGACACGATTCAATGCCTGCTGTGTGTAGTAACCGACGTGCACAAGGACATCGGCCGTACTTTTGACGACATTTGATTTCACAATGTTGACGCTTCCAATGTTCGTACCGCCGCGAGTTATCATGTACAGTAAATCATAGTTGACGGGGAGTTGGAACGTGGTTTCGGCGTTGTAGGGGTAAAATTCCTCAGGAGGACTCTTGTTGTACACTGACCAACCATAGCCACCGACACAGCGTGTAATAACGCCATCTCCGGGCCCAGGCCACCCAGCGTCGTAATTAGCTGAGCTGAGCTGTGATCTCTGATTGATGATATTCATTAGCTGCGCACAGTCAAAACGATGGGCGATGGACATACACTATTCGTATCACAGTTATAACATGCAGCTTCAACCAGGATGTCTGTGAGAAATGAGAGAAAAAACCAAGCGACGAGAGAAGCTGCATTGGAATGCATGGGTACCAGCATTCATGAATGAGACTGGCTATTATGTGAAGGCCAGGAGGGAAACCTGAGATAAGACGGAGAATACCTAGGGCCTTATAAACTGCAGGGAAACCACGGTGACATAATCTTTGTTGAACGATAATGCTGGATTTGAATGGGGGAACAAGTCTTAGTCAAGTTTACGAATAGAAGAACCAAACACAAGGACAAGCCGAATAAGCCATGATGCACATTACTGAATGTACGGAATGAGGGGTCGAACATTGAAGCTATGTCTATATCAGTCAGGGATAGTGCAGTGCCAACTGTGGGGTTCACGAGTATTAATAGCGTCGTTCGAAGTAAACGCTGAAATATTTTCAGGAGCCTGAAAAAAAGAAAGGTGGATATTTGTAAGCGTCTGAAGCTGAAATAATTACCAGAAAGGGTCGGGTATAGATGAATTCATTTTTTCCAAAGAATTCATGGGGCTAACTCCGCCTGAAATTCCGATGCGTGTTATCGAACTGACCAGACACAGCTATTAGTCTCTTTACGCCCACGCTATGTCTCGCTCTACTCAACCTGCCGACGACTACAACGATGATCTTGATGATATTGATGAATTTGACGAGAATGGGATGCCTGGAGGCCCCCTGACCATTAAGTGGACGTCGGAACGTACAGATCGTCTCCTGGATTGGTTGGAACAAAATGTTCAGAAATGACATCTGCTCTTCTCCGACTCTCAGGAAGATGCCAACAAAGAGAGTAGGAAGAAGGGTCAGGCAAAGTCGAGCAAGGTTACGATACATGGGGAGATAGCTCAGTTTGTATTCAGTGGAGATAGGGATCCAGTCATACGCAGCACTCTCAAAGCCAATCCAGGAAGGTTTGCAAAAGCTGTCGATAACCACATTGCCTCGTACGTTGTCCCTCACATCTATTCAAGTCAGGCCAACTCATAACTTTCTGTTCAGACTCAAGAAAAAATACCGTCAATCTTGTACAACGCTGGGTCATACTGGAGCTGGTCTCACTTTTGACCAACTAGAAGGGAACCCCGACTACAAAGGACCAATTGGTGCGTTCCTACGTTAGTTCAGGTTGCCTTTTCCTTTGAGTAGCACAAACCACTGACTATTTGCATTATTTATAGGCGTGATCACTACAAAATTCAAGATCTTCAACCGTCTGCATGGCTTTTGGCGGAAAATCCCCAACTATAATCCGTTCACAACATCGTCAGATCCAGACCAGGATCACGAGGCGCAGGCATTCGATATGTTGTTCCCAAACAAGCGTAGCCGGAGTCGAGCTGACCATCATGCAGCAAGTGAACCCGCAATGCAGGTCCACAATCAGCTACCTCAACAACCTCTCCCCCAGAGCCATGGGTATGAGGATTATCAGCATTTCCAGAATGACAACTTTGTCCACCAACCGTTCAATCAATTCGCTCAGTTCAGTCAAATCCCTCCACATATCAACCATCACAGTAGTTCTCTCGCCAATTCTGGCATGGTATCTTCAGCTTCTTCCTTGCCAAACAATTCATCACTACCTTCGCTACCGTCTATCGCAACTGATCCTAGTTTTTTTGACTCAAACGCCGCCAGCCTTTTCCCAGGAGCATACCATCAATCCCTTTCTTCACTTTTCCAGACAAACCATTCCTCCCACTCTTTCGGTTCTTCATTTGACGATATGCAGCCTCGAGGTCTCCAAGGTTTAGAAGTCGGACATCTACAAGTGCGTGATGTACCATTTCAAGATATACCCTTCCAGCTTCCAAGTTCTCCTGTCTCTGGATCCGTGTCTGGACACTCTGGTTTCTTTATGAACCAGGCTCCCGCTTCTCCCGCCTCGGGCCACTCCAGCTTCTACGCAAGCGTACCTCCAGGCTCTCCGTCCTCTGGCCAGTCTGGCTTCAGTGCAAATCCCAGCGCGAACCTCATTCCTCTCTCACCTAACCCTGGCTTCTTTGCGAACCTTCCCCCGTCTTCTCCCGTTTCTCGCTTGGCCTCACCTCCTCCCCCTGTCCCATCTAAGCTTACTGCAACTGCGCCCGCAAAGATTGTCAAATCGGGAAAACGGTCATCTGCTGTGACCGTCAGAGAGACACTCCGGGCCCAGTTAGCAACATCGTCAGGCAACGAAGTGAGCACAGAGCGTCTTATCACCACAGACAGAAGGGTCAGTACAAAGGACGCTGGGACCCCACAGTCTGCAAAGGTGGACGACAGGCCACGTAAGCAACCACGATCTCATATTGAGGACAATGTGTCCTTGATGCAGAAGGTGATGGAGCCTGTTGCGCAGGCTATGCAAGGACAGCAAAGCCTTGCACAGGAGGCACTCCAAGTTAAGGGAGGTAAGGTAGCCGCGAGGCATGCGAAGTACACGGCCATAGCAGAACGTGCACGCAGTGACAGGCGGTCGAAAGATAAGGAAGCCACTGTGTTGGAACACGAACAGTTCAAGGAGAAGCTGCAGTTAGTTAACAGAAGTCAGGTACAAAGGGAACGAGAACAGCGACAACACGAGAAGGACATGTTTGAAATGAAATTCAAACTCATCCAAGCCGTCAAGGATATCCCTGGTGTGGATAGTAGCATCATCTCTTCCCTTCTCGCCAACAACTCTACCTCGCCTGCTCCCTCTTCACTGGTGTCCAATTTCTTTGAGCAGTCGATTTCTGGCCCTGTTGCTTCCTCTTCCACTTCCGTATCCACCTCTGCTTTCAATTCTCGTGCATTGGACAATTATAAAGATTACAGCGGTGATGATGACGCTGATGATGACGCTGATGACAATGAAGACTCAATGGCAGTTGATGGGGGGTTGTACGAGTGAATTCATACTATCGTGCTTGTTCTGAATCATCGCTATCTCTGTACTATCTTATTTTTTGTATGTTTGTTGAGCAATCATAGTGTTGTGGTATTTGTGAACAAAGTATTACATTCAATGTTTACAGGTTCAGTCTACATAAAGATGACTAGAAAAAAGTCCCAGCATTAAACGATGACGAAGTAACTGACCCTCGGGTATATTCACCCCATCAACGACACGAGGTGCTTCTGGCAACTCACAGGCAACGGCTATATCATCAGGTACATCCTCGGAAGCTTCGCCCTGATTGTCATCTCGCCCATCATGGTTGTCAAACCCGCCATCATCATTCCACCTTTCAGCACTGTTGTCGCCTTCTATAAGAATCACCAAGTTGTGCAAAATAAAACATGAACGTAGCCACATAACAGCCCACTGATGCCTCTGGTGTGAACTGATTTGTATCCTGAGTTCTCGCAGAGATTGAAATCGGCCCTTGAGTAAGCCGATTGCATGCTCCGATCGGATCCGAATACGCGAGAGGTAGTAGTTATAGTGGCGCTCGCTTTGCGTAAGGTTACCATTTGTGGGACGCTTAAACGGCGCCACACACCATTTTTGGAGGGGGTATGCCGAGTCTGCCCACAGCCACTCGCCTTCGTCTAGAAATGCTGTGTGATCGCGAAAAATCTGAGTGCTTTCAAATGCATAGGAGTCGTGGACGCTGCCCGTATGGCCCAGACCGTAGTCAACTATCCGTAGATTGTGCGGCAAGATAACGATCTGGGATTAATTAGTCAATATCTGTATGTAATATTTGTGATCGGGACAACGCACCTGAGCGTTTAATGAGTAATTTGATGAACGATCGTACCAGGCCTCGCCAAAATGGCTTGGCTTTTGGAACAGCGGGAATGTTGTCCCATCTACTGAAAGCCAGCCGTTTTGCCATGATGGGCAGACCTTTGACCCTGCATAAGCTTTAGCTTTTATTTTTTCCTCATTTGTTGGTTTGCACATAACCATGTCATGCAGGGAAATGAGCGCGACAACCACCCGCTTAGTCGATAGCACTACTGTGCCGGCTGATACTCCAGCCCATTCGGCTACATCATCGCATGACGCAGCATTCCCGTAATGTCCGGCCCGAACAAGAAAGATGGCGAGCTGGAGGGAAACAGCATACTGGGGGTTGTTGGACTCGTTATGAAATATTGGGTGGTTCTCGATCAGGGTCACGATTGCATCAAAAGTTGCCGGAAGCACGCGGAGCTTACGCGAGAAATGGCGGGTGTCGTTATGGCGAGCCCACTCAAGCAAGCCAAGTTGGGGCTGCCGAAATGCAGGTGCTTTGGGAAAAAAAACCCTGGTCTCTTCCACCGTTTTGTGTAGCATCATGTATACTACGGATGTGACCTGCATAAGTGTGAGCTGAGTGATTGGATGTGATTGATACCCCATATCCTCGGCATCGTTGTCCTCACCACCCTCCGACTCTCGATCAGATTCTCGATCCGACTCGCCTATGCCGTCAGACCCACCGCTAAGCGATAAGCTATCCAAATCGAGCCCCAACCCCAACTCTGATCCCACATTGGAGCTAACCGAGTCGCTGGAGTCGGAATCACTTGATGATGACGTTGAAAGGCCGATAGACAACTGGGCCGGTTGTTTCAGGGAAGCTAGCAAGTTGTTAAGTAGCGTCATTTGTGAGTTGATGAATAAACTGTCGAGAGCATTGAGATGCTGATCGCGGATTGTAGGACGGTGTCGACTCATAGTTACGATGGATTTGTGGGGGGGAGGCTCAATCTGATCTGATTTTTTATATATACAACCTTTGTAGTCTGACTTTGTATATCTGATCGAGAATTCATCTATACCCGACCCTTTCTGGTAATTATTTCAGCTTCAGACGCTTACAAATATCCACTTTTCTTTTTTTCAGGCTCCTGAAAATATTTCAGCGTTTACTTCGAACGACGCTAATACTTAAGTGTTGACCACAAAATCATGATGGGCTTACAAACTGAAGCCTGTCACGAGTCCGGCTGCGTTGTGAATATAAGTTTCTGCTTATTTCTCATCATTACCATACTCAGTGAATGGAATCAGACACACCTATTAACTCTATTCATCACGGTTCAATAGCATTTTCAGAGAAATGTGTGATATCATGATCAGTCATCCAATTATTTGGACAATTATTCTTTCCCGAGTCCAAAAGGAAGGAAACAAGATAAACAGTTCTCGAAGCTATATGCCCCCTAGATACCGCACCTCAAGATAAAAATGTCATTTGTCATTCATTTTGTTCCTTGTCATAAGAGAAAATGAAGCCCGGCAGAGTGTGAAAGTGTGTCCAGTGGATATACTGTACGTAGTTGTATGCAAGCAACGGCCGCCAGGGTGTGACCTCCGAGTTTGCCCCAGAGTTAGCAACGAGGTCAATGTGACCTGTGACACTTCTGAGATTGGCAACGCCGAGGCCGAGAACAGTCGGTAACGGCTGGTAAAGGCCTTGCATCGGTCGGTAAGGGCTCGCATCGGTCAATGAACCAGCCTCGTGGCCTTTAACTCCGCTAAGGTACCAGGAAATTTATACCAATTTACAATGAATTTTGACTCGTTTGCACTGCTACAACAACTTCACTGACACTATGGAGCTGAAAAGTAATACTTCTGACAACATTTCACGCATAAAATACCTCTCAAAACTGTTCAAAAGCTTACCTGATGATCTCCCTCTGAACCCCGCTAGCTCTCGGTACAGATTTGGCTTGGACGGCGAGGAACTTGAAGAAAATGGCCACTGGTATGCTCTCAATCACAACCTGGAAATTTGCTTCCAGGCCCACAGTCTCCGAGGTGAACCACTGAAGATCACTGAGCGTGGGAAGAGCCTGGATACACTGTTGAAGATGCTGCAAGACGGGATGCGAGAGGCTCCAGGGGATGCCGAGTTGATAATGAATTGGGTCGAGAGGTTGATTGCCGCAGCTATGGTGTCCGGGGCTAAGAATGTAAAGCAGACATCAAAGTGAGTTGGCCATTGTCAGCAAACAGTCACCCGAAAGTTAAACAACATATCTCAGGAGAAAGATGGCCTTTTCATCATCGGATGAAGGGTCAGCAGCACAGCCTGCCATCAAAACCGCGCTAAAGAAGAGAGGGCCAACGCGGAAGGCACGAGATAGGTTGCCTGTCAAAGGGACAGCTGTAACACCCATCACCATCGTCGACGACACAGACACATCATCCGACACCGAGACAACGGCCCCTCGCGTCCATTCCGAGCCTCTGCGCGCGAGAGAAACTGCCAAGCCCAAGATGCCGAGGCTGGTTGCACTGGATGACAGCGATGATGAACATGATGGAGATGATGTTGATGATGGTGAATTGCCCAAGCCAGTGCGGAAGAGACAGTCCACCCTTTTCGCATTTTCTGGGTTCAAGAAGCTGAGCAAGGCTGAGGCTGATGAACAGAATAGGAGAGAGATGGCAGAGACGAGACAGGAGGCAGAGGATGAGCGAGTTAGAGAAGCCATGGTCCGGAATCTGAGAGAGACCCAGAAGCGCGAGGGTGCACGAGAGAGGAAGAGGAAAAGCCGATTCAGCAAGAAAGCGAAAGAGATACGGAGTGGTAAGAGGAACTCAGCGGGGAAAATCATGAAAAAGGTCAGTCCCTGCCAAACACATTTCGACTTTTGTACTCACAGTTACAGATGGTTCTCGGCCATGAAACCCCGGCTGCTGGTGTCCCCGATCTCTCTGATCTTGCTGAACTGTCAAGGCCTGGCAAGATATGGAAGAAGGGTCGTAATGTGAAGTTGAAGGGCACAATTCAGAATCGGCACTCGCGCACAAACTGGTATCATCCATACCTTTGGGTTCACATCAACAATGTCGCCTCTCGAGTCGCCTGGTCACCTACATTCATTGTTAGCACGCTGCAGAAAGACCACCCGAGCCTTTTTGCAAAGCTCCATCGGGGAACCGTTTTTAAGTGGATTTCCAAGAAGGGAAAGAAGTGGTCGAAGAAGACAGTCGAGAATGTTGCACGTCGCAGTGTCCTTGCCCGTACTGGCCGCGTTGGGATTCTCTCGCCGCATCGGGAGATTGTCGAGGAGGTGACATCCCAGCTTAAGGACCTTCGACTTTCCGGTGTTCCGGTTAATATTCTTGTTGCGCGATCAATACTTATAGCGGTGATCAAGGAGAGACAACCTGAACTTCTCGATCGTGGGGATTTCTTCTGCTCTGAGGTCAGTTATACAGCTCTTCAGTGAGTAAAATTAATTCAAGCTGATGTTTGCGTTGGCAGTCATATGTCAGGGACTTTCTCGAAAGTACACTTGACTGGTCAGTCAGAAAGGGCACTCGAGCTGCTGCTCATATCCCCGATAATGCCGATGATCTATGCGAGGCGGCATTTTTCCGTATTGTACATCTCGCTAATTGGTATGACATTCCATTAAGTGTAAGTCCCTCTATGATTGCTTTTTCGAGGTTATCTGATGTAATTATTTCAGCTTCTTATCAATATGGATCAAACAGGTGTTTACCTGGTTCCGGGTAACAATGTCACTTTTAATGACAGGGGTGCGAAGCAAGTCAACATCGCTTCGAAAGATGAGAAGCGGGCCTACACACTTGTGGTGGCTAGCTCATGTGCTGGCGATCTATTACCTTTCCAGCAAGTGTGGAGTGGGGCATCAGTAAAGAGCTGCCCTACTGGCAATGCGAAGGGTATGGAAGAAGCACTCGACAGAGGCTTTCATTTTACATTTGCCAATAGCCCTAAGAAGACGAGCCACTTCAGCACCTTCAAGACCATGGTCGAGGTATGTCATTAATGACTTGCTGTAATTTCAAACACATCAGCTAATCATTTGTTGTGGTAGTGGATGGAGTGCGTGTACATTCCATATGTAAACAAGATCATCCGCGATGAAGAACTTCCCGAGGATCAAAAGTCAATCTTATTCATTGACTGCTATCCTGTGCACACGGGGGAAGAATTTCGGAACTACTGCCGCCACCACCATCCGAATGTCTTTGTTATCTATGTACCTGCCAACTGTGAGCCTCATTCTCTACCGGGTTGTGTTAGATTGCTAATCCTGTTTAGGCACTGGCATCTATCAACCTGCTGATGTCGGACTGCAGCGCGTGACAAAGCATGCTCTGAAACAAGAGTCTCTCAACTTTTTAGTTGAATCACACCGTCAACAGCTAGCCGGTGGTCTAAAACCTGAAGCTGTCCGATTCACTCACTCCCTACCCGTTCTTCGGGATGCCACAGTTGCTCCTGCTGTCCATGTTTATGACATGTTCAAGCAGGGTAAGGGCCCAGAGCTTGTTCGCAAGGTAAGCTCCATTTCATTATCAGTATCATACCATCCTGACGACTTTATTTAGGCTTGGTCAAAATGCCAAGTAAAACAGTGGTGCCTCTCTCCTGAGGTCATACAGCACCGAGACACAAAGGCGGCCTTGCGGAAGTACCTTCAAGACCACCCCACATTCAAAGCCGAGATTGATGCAAAGATTGGCGATGTTTATGGCATTGACTCCGAACATGTCAACACCGAAGATGACTTCAACAACGAAGGTGCCGACATGGATGATTCCGAAGTCCCGATTGGTTCAGTTATTCAGGAGGCACTCGGAAACGGGTTGGGTTGCATGCCCTTCTCAGCAGCGGGCCATGGTATTGCATCTTCCGAGCACACTGCGGTCCATGATGGTGGTTTCTTGCGGGGGTTGGCTGAGGGGGATGATATTTGGGCTTGGAATGTGGATGGTACTCGCATAAGCACTCTACCTTAGACTTAGGGGCTCTAGAATCAAATTTTTGCTGTTTGCGCGATTTTTTTTGCGATTTTTTGTGATTTTTTGCGATTTTTACAATTTTGACCTCAGCCTAGTGTGACTGAAAAGTTGATAGCAACGAGCCCCCTGTGACCGGTGACCGACTAGTACATTAGGCAACGCAACCGACCCCCTGTGACCTGTGACGTTGCTTGCATACAACTACGTACAGTAGTGCACCGCAGGAAACTTCTACACAAAATGTCTTATAAGGCCGAGCTGGCATTTTACTCTCTGGCTTTAGCTCTCTTATAGATCTGATGTGAGAGAAAGAAAGAACTTAATGAGCCGCGCTGACTCGAGCACAGTGCGTTGGACAAATTATGTATGATGAAGAAGGGTGATATGCAGTAGTGAATTTTAGGAGTAAATTCGAGAAAATCGAAATTTGGGATTTGATGTGGTCGCGAGAAAAGAAAGATGGGCGCCACATCACTAGTACTCGCAGGCAAGTTAGTACGCCATCTCACTCAGAACCACAACTTCGACTGAATGGCAAAATTATGACAATCAATTGCAAGACGGGACAAGGAATTTCCACATTCGCCGATGTAACTGTACTACGTATTATCTCTAGAGCACTAGAACCCATAATCGATACAAGAAATGACTTTTATTCTTTGCAAAACTTGTTACAAAATATTTGGACAAAAAAGGCACAACAAGATGACAGAAAAAGATACTCTGAATTTGAGATAGATAGTAACCTAACCTCGAGGTAGTAACTTTGCAATTCGGCGAAGAGCTGTGACCCATCTGACTGCTCAGACGGTAAGCCAGATGGGCGACCTGTTCGTTCGTATTGTAATATAGCTTCCTTCCCAACCCGGTCCTTGAGGATCCCAATACACTGTGCCATACATGAGACTCGCGTCCTGTGGGTTTTTGACCAGGACTCGTTCTCTTCCTCTTCCCGAAGGATCCTTCGCGTCACTCTCTCTCACAACAATAGGGTTATCACCACTGGTCTCGAGACGAAAATTGCCTTCATATGTACTACTCATGGTTATTGCTACGGGCGCACCCTCTGTAGCGGCGTTGAATGTTTGGACAGAGTCGACTGGGGCATTTGTATAAGAGACAGTGATCGGGCCATTTATGGTTTTGGCATCGACGCTGAAGGAGCCGCCGCTGGTAGCGTATTCAGAAAACGTTGATTGCATGGAGCTAGGAATATCAGTAACCCTGTATTCGCTAGCATAGATTCCACGCACTTTTCGTTCGTCCCCAAAGGAACTCTGGTTAGATACGAACCCACATCCCGATGGCCAACTTGAACATCAATGGGTCCGCTGGTTGTTGAGAACCATACATCAGTAACATTAAAGGCACCCCTGACATACGCTTTAGTTGACATGAACGTGCCAGAACGTGCGGAGATGGACTGATAAGAAAATAATCGGGTTGAGTGCGCAAGGTAAGGACGATTTAACACGAGAAGTCACCTTTGACATGATACCCGCGGCATCAGCACGCACTGTGATATCGTCAAAGTAAACTGAATTCTGGATATCCTGGATTTGAACGGAGTAGTGAGATGTAGTGATATCAAATCTCTTGATCTGCAGGGGTTTGCCACCGGGGGTAGCGGGAAGTGTCACTGTGACGTCAAAGTGCATGCGACCTTCCTGCTCAGAAGGGAACCATCCGATAGGTGTCTGACAATGTATCAAGGCGGTTTGCGGCAGCCCTAAAATAATAATGAGAATCAACTTACATAAATGCCAACACCTTGAGTATTATGATACCCCGGGCCTTTATTCAGCAGACAGACATTGGCATGATCCAACGCCTGCTGTGTGTGGTAACCCACGTGCACAAGGACATCAGCCGTATTTTTGACAACATTCGAGTTGACGATGGTTATGGTGCCGATGTTTGCACCACCTCTAGCTAACAAGTACAGGATTTCATAGTCGACGGGAAACTCGAACGAGGTTTCGGCAGCATAAGGGTAAAACGCCCCGGGAGTCTCGTTGTAGACTGACCAGGCAGAACCACCAAGACAGCGTTCAACAACACCATCTCCGGGGTCAGGCCATCCAGCCTCGTCATCAGCCAAGCTGAGACGTGATATCTGATTGACAATATCCATTAGCTGCGCATCATCAAAGCGATGGACATACACTGTTGGTATTGCAATTATAGCATCTTGCTTCAACCAAGATGTCTGTGAAAACAGTGAAGAAGAGCCAGGAAACGAGAGGGGTTGCGAAGGAATACATCGGTGCCAGCGGTGGTGAATGAGGCTACTGTTGTGTGGAGGTCAGCACTGCGATGGGATGGAAACCTGAGATATAACGGAGAATACCTGATGCCTTATAAATCACAAGGAAGCCAAGACGACATGATCCCCGTTAAATAGACATGATCCCCGTTGAAAGATAGTGCTGGATTCGAATGGGGGAAGAACAGATGTGTGACGAGTCCGAGTGAAGTTTACGAATAGAAGAACCAGACGCAAGGACAAGCCGAATACCCCACGATATACATTACTAAATGTACGAAATGAGGGTTGAACATTGGAGCCAAATGCCTATATCAGTCAGTGATAGTGCCAACGGTGGGGTTCACGAGTATTTATAAGTGTTGACCACAAAATGGGCATGTACTTGCAAAATCAAGCCTGTCACAAGTTCGACTGCGTTGTTGTTAACATTTGTTTCTGCTTATTTCCCATCATTGCCATACAGAATGATTTCACAGAAATTCGACACACCTATTACACTCTGTTCTACGCCACGGGGCCCAACAGCATCTTCAGAGAAATGTGTGATATCATAATCCTTCATCCATTGCTTTTGACAATATTCTTCCCGAGCCTAAAAAGAACCCAAGCCTAAAAAGATGGAAACAAAATAAGCAGTTCTCGAAGCTATATGTCCCATAGATACCGCACCTTGATTTGAAAAACTCCCTTCTCGTTCTTTTGTTTCTTGTCGAGAAAACGAAGCCTGGCGGAGACTGAAGGTATCCCCAGTGGAAATAGTGCATTGCAGGAAACTTTTACACAAAATGTCTTACTATATGGCGGAGCTGGCATTTTACTCTCTGGCTTTAGATCTCTTATAGATCTTTCTATGCGTTTCGTATGTTCTATGTCTGTAGATTAAGAAAAGAATGAAAAGATGTGATGTATATTATTCCACAGGTTTTTGTTCCATTAAAGTAAGCGTCATTGGACGACAACCTGACTTCAAGGGTTTCGTATGTTCTATGTCTGTAGATTAAGAAATGAATGAAAAGATGTGATGTATATTATTCCACAGGTTTTTGTTCCATTAAAGTAAGCGTCATTGGACGACAACCTGACTTCAAGGGTTTCTCGGTTCCGAGTCGAAACCTGGTCTGGAGGTAATGCTCGAGATGAGCTGTGGGTGTCGAACAGATCCGATGTGAGAGAAAGAGAGAACTTAACGAGTCGAACTGACTCGAGCACAGTGCGTTGGACAAATTCTGTATAATGAAGTGTAGCAGTGAACTTTAGACTAAAGAATAAATTTGAGATTTCTGTAAATCGAAATTTGGGAGTTTGATGTGGTCGCGAGAAAAGAAAGATACGCACCACATCACTCCCGCGTATAGACTTCAAAGTACCTTGCAATTGGCTCACCCAGAACCAAAATTTCATCTGAATGGTAAAATTGAATTTCCACATTCGCCGATGTAACTGTACTGATACTACGTATTGTCTCAATAGCTCTTCTTGACAAGTTCTAAGGCAAGCATTGACAACTGCACTAGAACCCATGACTGATAAAATAAATGACTTTTATTCTTTGTGGGGCCTGTTACAACATATTTGGGCGAAAAATAGTACAACAAGATGACAGAAAAAGATACCAAGAATTTGAGATAGGAACCTCGAGACAGTAACCTTGCAAATGGACGAAGGGTTGACCTGCATCTGACAGCTCAGACGGTAAGCCATATGGGTGCCCTATCTGTTCGGATTTGTATGCTGCTTCCTGCCCAGCCTGGCCCAACAATATCCCAATGCGCTTCGCCGTCCCTGTGAGTCATGCCGCTCGGTGCGCTGACATTCACAATACGCCCCCTTCCTTGTCCTGAAGGATCCCTTCCACCACGTTCTGCCACGCTGATAGGGTTATCCCCAGTGGTGTCAAGACTGAAACTACCTTCATATGCATTGCTCATCGATACCGTGACGGGTGAACCCGAGGTTTGCGCGACAAAGCTTTGAACAGAGTTGGCTGGGGCGTTCGTGTAATAAACGGTGATGGGCCCATCGTTGGTGTAGGCACTAGCACTGTAGGATTCGACTGTAGCCCGAGCATCATTGGAAAAGGTTGATTGCATAGGGCTAGGAAGATAGTATCAGTAAAAATAATACTGCATTCGCTTGCAAAACTTCAACACACTTATTATTGCCGCCCAAGGGAAGTCCTGTAAGGTCTGAACCCGTAACAGGATGGCCGACGGAAACGTCGATGGGTCCGAAGGTTGTACCGAAGGATAGCTGAGAAACATTGAAGGCACCCCTGATAAATGCTCTAGTCGTCGTGAACGAGCCAGTATATGCGAAGATCGACTGGCAAAGAATTCGAATCAGCGCGCAAAACAAAGAGGAACGCGAAAAGACTCGGAGCTCACATCTGACCTGATGCCTGCGGTAAGAGTTGATAATAAGATAAAGTTGAAGTAAACCGACTTCTGAATATCGTCAATTTTGATGGAATAGTGATCGAAGTCGGTTCGAAAGTTATTGATCCGCAGGGGCTTGCCGTCCGAAGTAGCAGGAAATGTCACTGTGACATCAAAGTGCATGCGGCCCTCCTGCTCAGAAGGAATCCAATTGTCGGGCGTCTAGCAAGGCATTAAGACAGTTCGACGTAGCCCTTACTATTGAACAATAATGATAAGCTCACATAAATGCCGACACCTTGAGTATTCATCCCTTTGTTCAGCAGACAGACATTGGCATAATCCAATGCCTGCTGTGTGTAGTAACCGACGTGCACAAGGACGTCAGCCGTATTTTTGACGACATTTGAGCTGACGATGTTGACGCTTCCAATGTTCGTACCGCCGCGAGTTATCATGTACAGTAAATCATAGCTGACGGGGAGTTGGAACGTGGTTTCGGCGTTGTAGGGGTAGAATTCCTCAGGAGGACTCTTGTTGTACACTGACCAGGCAGGACCACCGACGCAGCGTTCAACAACACCGTCTCCGGGCCCAGGCAACCCAGCTTCGTAGTTTTCCAAGCTGATCTGTGATCTCTAATTGACGATATTCATTAGTGACGCACCGTCAAACCGATGGGCGATGAACATACACTGTTGGTATTGCGATTATAACGTGCAGCTTCAACCAGGGTGTCTGCAAGAAAAGTGAAAAAGAGCCAAGCGACGACAAGGGCTGGATAGGGATGCATCGGTGCCAGCGGTGATGGGTGAAACTGGCTATTACGTGCAGGTCAGCTCTGAGATGGCAGGGAAATCTGAGACAGGACAGAGAATGCCTGGGGCCTTATAAATCGCAAGGAAGCCAGGGCAACATGATTCTTGTTGGATAACAGTGGAACTGGATTTGAATGGGAAGAGCAAAAATATGTTGAGTCCGAGTCAAGTTTACGAATAGAAGAACGCGATGCAAGGACAAGCCGAACAAGCCACGATGCATATTAATGATTCAAATTGTACGATATGAGGGATTGGACATCAAAGTCAAATAGCTGTATAAGTCAGAGGTAGTGTCAGCTGAGCCAGTGTGTTCACAAGTAAGTTGACCGTAAAATTGACAAGCCACTTCAAGTTTGTGTGATCGGACCAAAGCGCGTCTCGATCATATGCTCCATTATGTAAGGACCCTAGGTTCTAAGGCGTTGTCGAAGCCAAGTTCAGACATTTGCTATCTGAACTGGAGTGTAGCGTTGAACGCGAATAATATGTTGATGGTCGAAGGATACATACGGGGATCACCCGAGCAGTGTGCTTGCTAGATGCGGCAGGCTTGCATCTATAATTTACAACAAGATTACAACAATGAACTAATGCAGCATCTTTCCTTCTTTCCTCACCATACTTTCTCTTCCAGGTCCCACTCCTATCCATTCTATCGGTACATCTAAAAACCTTTCAATAAATCCTATGTATTTCTTGCAATTGTCCGGGAGATCGCCGAAAGACGTGATCGCGGTGATTGGTGCTTTCCACCCTGGAAGGGTCACATACACCACGTCCACCTTCGAGAGAACGTCCAAATCGGCTATAGCGCACCAACGACCTCAGAAGAAGATACCATTAGATAATGCCAGAACGTACCGGGAAAGCCGATGAGCTCCTTGTCATCGATCATGTACTTGACGGCAACTTTGATTTCTTCCAGGTCATCCAAAACATCGAGTTTGGTCAGGTTAAGGCTGTCATAACCGTTAATCAAGCAAGAATGCTTCATGACTACCAAGTCTAGCCAACCACAACGCCTGCGACGACCCGTGGTCGTCCCATACTCCCGTCCAATTTCTTGAAGGTGCACACCAACATCCTAGGAGAGACAAGCTCAGCCACACTCGTTTATACCTACGACAAACCTACGTTGAGCTGCTCAGTTGGGAAGGGACCGCCACCGACTCTAGTGGTATAAGCCTTGATGACACCGATGGTATGGCCAATCAACTTGGGGGGAATCCCAAGACCAGTACAGACGCCACCAATAGTCGTTGAAGAGGAGGTGACGAAGGGGTAAGTACCAAAATCCAAGTCAAGCATGAGTGCATTCGCCCCTTCAACGAGAACTTTCTTCTTTGCTGCCAGAGCCTTATGGATATAGACAACACTGTCGACAACGTAAGGTCTCAAACGATCTGCCAGAATCTGCGATGACGTTTATTGTCAGTAATGTACTTCGATGATAGCAATGACAGTCACCAACCTTGTACCGAGCGATCTCTCCCTCGGTGTCGTATTCAAAGTGCCCATAGCGTTTGAATCTGCCCTCTACAATTTTTCTGAACTTTTGGGCAAAAGTATCATGGTCGAAAAGATGGTGTATCCGCAGACCCGACCTCGATGCTTTTCCAGAGTAGGCCGGACCGATTCCCTTTTTCGTGGTACCAATGCTAAAGCGACATGATGATCAGAGAAGTGAGAAAGACAAAAAAGCTTCTCACCTGGAACCGCCGAGTTCGACCTCCTTTAATCCATCAACGATCTGATGAAAATCAAAGACGAGATGAGCACGATCCGATAAAAATATGCGATCGGTGCAATCGAGCCCTTTTCAATCTGATTAACTGTCCGTACGAAAGATAAAGAAACATGCGCATGTTTCGCTTACCTTGTTTTTCCAGATCATCGAGCTCCGCGAAGAAAGAAGGGACATGAACTACCACTCCTGATCCTATCACACCGATACATTTGGGGTTAACAAGTCCTGGGATAACATGGGATTATTTTGCAAGAAGTCGATGTTTATACTGCGCCACATACCACTGGGGAGCAAATGGAATGCAAAGGTAGTTTTGACTTTGTTTGGGCCAACTGGTACGACAATGGTATGTCCAGCATTGTTACCACCCGCGCATCGTGCGCAAACGTCAAAGTCTGCAGATAAAATATCAACTAATTTCCCTTTCCCTTCATCTCCCCACTGTGCACCCAGCACTACGGTCACTGCATAAATCAATCAGCTACTAGTAGCAGTACATAAAAATAGGTGCCAGCTCACCAGTCATGACCGTGGAACAAACAGGGTGCTATGAGTCTGTGGTAAGGGGGAAAAGACAAGGATGAGAATATACAAGTTTTCAGATCAGGGTCCTAGATAAATGGTGACTCGGAGTAAAAGTCAAGATAATCCTATCAGTGTGGACGGAGAAGGCAATCCGGCGGTGTTGCTCGGCTCTTTTCGCCCGACGCCTCCTTCCCTCCCCGTCCTCCGCGACCCGGACATCCATATGCCTACCTTTCAGTCCAATCCACTCAATCCCTCCCCCACACACCGTCTTCTCAAAAAGTACCCAGGCCTCTTCGGTATTCCCTTTGTTCTCATCATTGTAGGCGCTTCGTTTGGCTTGCAGTCTTTCACGCAAACGCGATATGACCTGCAAGACCAGAAGGTCAAACAGGTGCGAGTCGACGCTTTACACTGGATAACGAATCAAGAACGAAAACTAACAACGTGCTCATCGCAAAGGTAACACATGAGCAGGCTCTGGGATTGGATAGGAAGAAAAAGAAATTCGATATTAGAGAGGAATACTACGTGAGCAAAACTTGCTGTGGCATATTGTATCTCGTTGACTAGCATTTGGCGACAGAAACTGAGTGCAGCCAGCGAACAAGATTGGGAACCTAAAAGAATTCAACGCCCCGAAGGTCTACCAGAATGGGGTGTGCCGCCAACGGAACCCCCTTCGACCAACTCTTAATCTTAATGTATCGTACACTACGAACTAGTATCCTGGATTAATGTATATATTGAAGAAGTGTAACAGATGTATAACAATCGCACTCGTTCGCCTGATAACTATCGACTCATCTCAGACAGATCATCCTACCTTGAAAGAAAGAAAGTAGGCCATCGAATAATGCTCTACTTCACGCAGCCACACCCTCCAGGCCTGTCATATTCAGAACACCTCGACTGAAACCACCTGCCACAGCACGGAAACCATTCTCCTCCACTTCAGACAAGAAAAGGTCGTGCTGATCAGCCAGCCGCTCGTTAGTTCTCCGAATCTCCTGAACAACTCCATGTTGGCGAGCGCAGGTTGGGCATTCAGTTTCACTGTTCACCAGACACCTTCAAACCAGATTTAGCCCAGTCATCTAATGATCCCTGCAGTAACATACCTTTGGTGATAACTGTGGTTGCACATGAAATGAATACTTGGTAAATCGAGCTGTCCCCCACAGCTTGAGCATCGGGTAACGTGGAATACTCTAGGATGCTCTGGATCGGCCAAGTCTTCAACTTGCTTAAGCTTCGTCTTAGTTTCCTGTCGATAAGAGCTGATTAATTGGTGATCCTGGTTAACGAAGAAAGAGTTGTCATGAGTATGAGCTAATTGGAAAAGTGGTTTCAGTGTTACCATCTGTATTTCTTCTCGAGACTCCTTGATACGCGTCATAAGCCATTGTTTGACCAAACCAACGCTTGCTACTCCATTTCTACTCAGCACTTGGATGACACTGAGAGGGGGCATTATCTTCTCTTGTTCGATGTGCTCCAAAACTGCCCCGATATCTGCTTTATGACTTGACAACAATTCAGGCGTTGAAGTCAAAAACCGCAGGACGAGGGGATATAGATGAGGATTTGAAGAGCCATACAGCTCAAGGGCTTTGACCACTTCAACCGAAGCATCAGGTATCTTGCCTTCTTTATCCTGGTCCATCCAGAAACGGAGCACACTTTCGTACATCCCCATCTTCTCCCACAGTAGGACGAGTCCGGATGTATACTGATGGCTAGAACAGAGAATCAAGGCATGCGTTGGGTCATACGGGAGGTCACTCTTAAGTAGTCGGATAGCCTTTTCTCGGAGCGATTCGTTAGAATGAGACTCTGGTAGAGTCAAATATAACTCCAAAAGAGTGTTCCATATAGCGATTTGGTCGCGCTTCTCTGCTTGTTCGTCGGCAGGAAGGTCGTTGCTGGATGGCTCGACAGGCCCATCAATGCTCTGGCCCCAGCGTTTCCGTGCGACAGTCTCAAGGAATACCATAAAATAATCCATATGATCCACAAAGTGCGCAAAGTACAGCCGCGGAGAGGGTTTCTTCAGTGGCGCTGCACGTATGGCGCTCGTAGAGGGAGCCGCGATGATGGGGGAGGGCGTCGAAGATCCCGAGTTATCGCTTGGGGTTTCCTGTGCATCCACTGGCTTCACTGTCTTCACTGATGGTGATGGTAGCACAGAGGCATCATTAGATACGGTCGGTGCGGCTGCAGGTGCACGACTAATAGCCAGGTACGAGAGGTATGAAGGAGCAGCTCCACCCAGCGATTTCGAGGTGGTAATAGGCGCTTCTTCTACTTCAGGTTGTACTAGAGAGCCAGAGCTTGTGCAAAGGTCGATGAGGAGCTGTGTAGTCTCCTCTGGTAGACTATTTAGCATTGCTCTACCATACCGTGCCAAATTGCTTTCCGCCTGTTCAAAACCATATACATGAACAACGATACAATAATCAAAGTGAGACGAGATTTACTGTTTCCGACCCAAGTTTACGCATGTATACCAGTGCGTCCTTGAAGTTGCCCGCATCTTCAACCTGGATCCGTAAGTAATCTTCGTGCCTTTCGTACTTTTTCGCAAGGTAAGAAGCATGCTCGAAATATCCCGCCTGCCGACACACTCGGATAGCAGTGTCCAGATCAAACGGAAGTTCGTCCTTTTCCTCATCCGATGACGAGCGCCTGGATTCTGTCTTGATGAAACTATCCAAGCGCGAAACATCTTTCAACTTTGTATATGTATTGAGCAAAAGCGTCGTATGGTCCGAATTAGCGAGTCCAAGTGTGTGCAATTCTTGTAGATACGTGACGAGATTGTGTATCCGTTGTGCATCCAAAAACTTTACACACCGACGAATTTAGCGAGGATGAATAAATGTGACGAAGTGAATTTTAACTGACCTTGCGTATCACGTAACTAGGCTGTATTTGACCAATGGTTTGAACAAATTGCTGCATGGCTCCGTCATAATCTCCTTTGGCATATAGACTATCACCGAATTGGCGATGAATCTCAGCGACTGATACTTCATCTAGACGCAGCGTCTTAGCCAAATCGAGAGCTAAAGGGTACAGAGCCTTTTGGTATAGCATATCTAGCTTGGCAGACGTTGGTTTTTCCACAAGGCAAGAAAGCTAAAATTGTCATCAGTTCAATGTTCAAAGGTGATACTGGGTCACAAAAAGCACCTTTCCCTCGTTGGTTAGAATGTATATATTACCCCATTCTGAAATGACCTCTCGAACTCCTTCCACGAATGTGCCTGAATAAGCGACCAACTTGTTCTCGAGGTCAAAAACAGTAACTTTTGTTATGTCTGTGTCCCCAATAGTAGCATTTTTGGAGACAAAGTTCCGAACAGTCGCAGACGCAGACGCAGCACTAGGAGCAAATGGAGGTGACACGACAACGAGGTAATTGAGGTGAGTATGGACAGATGACTTGTGGCCTGCAAGACGATGTAAACATATCTCAGAAGGAGCATCAAGATCACACACCTTCGTATGCATAGGTCGGTCCTCGACCCTCCACTCCACAAACATATATTGCATCATCTCGGGCAATCACAATGTCACTCGCACGCCAGTCCATCGTTGCGCACCCAAGCCCACATCCAACTTCATCGACTATCGTAGACGCTCCACCGCTCCCCTTGCCAGAAACGTGATATGATCTGACGCCGTTGATTGTTACAATGAACAGATGCAAGTTGGGGTTGGTTTCGGTAGGTTCCTTGAAACCTAGACCAGTAATCGGTTCAGCCGGAGATTCGTGGACTGTCCTTGTTTTGGGTAAAGCTGTTAGAGAGGTGGAACCTGAAAAGATAGACTGGTCTAAATGGCGGTACAGGAGAACAGTACCATCACCGAGACCAATCGCAAGGTAGGACAACGCCGCAGAAAGGGCAACTGCTGATACCTGAGGATGGATAAAAGGTGAAACAGAATCGAAAAAAAAACTAAAAAGATGGCGTACAGGGTGTGGTCGGTTGCTAGGTTGAACTTTTGTGGACCGCAGGAGATTTGGTGCACCGGTGTTTTTGTCGACCTTTCCTAGTTCCCATATCTTGAGAAGGGGAGAACGCACTGCATCTTCTTCCTAGCAGTATTCTCAGTATCCCTGATAAAAAAGACATAGCCTATATAACATACCCCGAGCGTCACCAATATACCCTGCCTTTCGACCATATGTGTGACACGTCCGCCTACATGTGCGATCCAACTGGTCGTCGACACGAAGTCTTTGTTGACCATATGTATACTACCGTGCATATCTGCAACCAAGAGGCCAATTGACGATGAAGCTGTCGTAGAAATTTCCGGAGCATTCTGTAGTTACAACATGAGCTTCGCTGGGGAAAGGCTTCTGCAACTCGCACTTTGAATATGTCCGGCGAGCTTCCCAGATCATGAATGTCCTTCACAGGCTCAACATCAAAGAAAGAGAATTGCCGCAGCTTAATAGTAACACATAAGATGTCTTTAAAGTCGGTAGATACAAAAGAACTCACCGGTGGAACCGCTGTAGTCGTCGCGACTCCCCCGGTTGTGACTGCCATCCTTACTCGCTATCAACAACTTCAACGATCAATCCTCCGTATGAAAATCGATACCAGATTCAGAGAAACTTGTTTGGGCAGAACGGAGCTAAAGTATATATCACAATGAGCTTAAGGCGCCACTTGGCGAATTGCAATACTAATATATATAGGGAAACTACACGTACGATACCGTTTGCGTGTATTGCCACTGGCAGTGAACCTCAATGCTGATCCTGTTTTCTGAAAGATGGCCTTGGCCTTGACTCTATAAGGCCGTAAGGTGAAGTAGTAGTAAAAGCGATTCAGCGGACGTAATAACTCGAGAGTACGACTCGGACCTAGCTGCCAGTGGTAGTGGTTTCCTAATTTGGTAGTGCTCAGAGGACTGCCATTCTTGTAATTGCAAGGACAGTATAACAACATCATTCTTCAGGCTTGGGGCCTGTAAGATTATAGATTTGGCGTACGATTGCTTACAGTGTAGTGCCATTTGCACCAGACTCAGTTCATGGCTCGTAGAATCTGTACGTACTAAAACTATCCTTGATAATGGCACCTGTGAGCTGTACTTTTCCCCTTATTTTGCACAAGTTGTCTGTTCGTATAATACATGTTATGCCACTGATCACCGTTCTTCTCTATTCCACAAGCAAGTTCTTGCGAATTGTATCTATATCTTCGCATCGTAAACTCGTATGTGTCATCAAATAGTTCTCTGCCCCACCAAAACTTTCCCATAATTGCACCAGCATCATAGCCATTGTGTCGGGACTTTGAGCAATTAATGAGCATTGAAACTCGAAAATAGCTTCCAAGTTACAGTAAACGCACTTTGAACTGAGGAAGTTCATCAATCCTATAGGATTTCCCCGATATACCTCATTATTATTGCCAAAGCTGGTTATGAGGCCTGGGATTGCAGTACCTAGGCCAACGCTCGACAGGGCATAATCATGAACGATATCATAATCGTCGACTCCGAGGATCTAAAATTCGGGAATGTAAACCTATCCATGAAAAGTAGCAGAGGTCGTCGTACCTTTAGAAGCAGAGCTATCGCTAACCCCGTCCTATCTTTCCCAGCTGAACTCGAAGTTGAGTTGAATATGACAAGTATCATGCATTGTAAGGAGATGTCTAACCAGAGCAATGGACTAGAACCGGTACATTGGGCTTGTCCCTGAGATGAGTGAAGAAAAGTTCGAAGATTTTTCCTGATACCTCCAGCACCCTGGCATAATGTATCATGAATGCCTACAGTACATATCTGTTAGCACATTTACTTTCTGTTGACGGAGTAAAACTAACCTCCAATACATTTGTTTGGTAGTCCTCGAGCCTAAGTGGAGCAATTCGTCGTTTGCACATATTTACAGAAACATGCCAAACAAACTCACAACTCAATGATCTCCTTGGTAGTTGCAGCTGGTTGCTCCTCTGAAGGGACCGATAACCATTCGACACCCGGTAAGCCGGGGATACTGTCATAATCATGCTCTAAGCGCAAGTCAACGACAGTTTTGATCTTATGTCCCATAAACTGCTTTTTCCCTCGCTTTGTGATACCTAGGAGGTCGGCAGACCGATAGATTAGGTTTTGTTTGATCTTGACAGAGGGAGACCGGAGAAAATGGCCTATTGTGCGGACATTGTCGACGCCATGAATATTGACAAAAGGCGGGGGCAATGGAATGTCAGATCTTATGATTTTGGTGGGATCAATAATCCGAAAGATGAGGTCTGGATTAAGGAACCGATGTCGATGACCGACGCCCCTCGCGCCGTCGCTGTCGACGCTGTCAATAACAGAGGACGACGTAGGTGATGCTACAGGTAATTCTGTGTTTTGATGCATGACTTCTGGGGACATACTTTCAAAAGCTATCCTCTAAAAAGCCACAGATAATGGAACTAGACGACGTCGGCGAGTGTGCAGTTAAGGCTTTAGCGGCTCGATGTCGATGAAGGAGGATGTGAGGACGCTGGTGAATTCTAGCAAACTCTCACTCTTATATCTCCGTCTCACTACAAGCTTAAGTACGTACAGTATGCGTTCTTGCTCCCGGGTACCTCATTCCTCTGACTCGTTCCTGATCCTCCTTTGGATGGAACGACGTCCAAAGTGACAGTTGACTAATTAAAGTTCCGAATATATTCTTATTGCGATAACTCTTGATGCTACCTGAATGCTCCATGTACTATCAGCCGACCATCATCATAGTTACTTGACAAAATAGCGTAAGGGGTTCATGCGGGGCCTTTCAAATGAAGGGCTTTTTGTCTGCCTTCTGCATGAAAGGTAGATGCGCATTTGCATGCAGTGGTGGGAGAAACCGTGCCATTGGTATCTGGTCACCGAGTGTTCGGTCCCTGCATGACCATGACCTGTATAGCTAGTTAATTATCAATTTGGTAGTAAGAGATAGCAGGTCCCTTCGACTTCCCTTCATACCTCGGGTTCGGAGGATGATCCGACTATTTTGTTCGTTTGTCAAGGACTACATGTCAGTCTAATACCGATACTATCGTCAAGGCTGAAAGCAGTGTTATTTCGAAAATTCCATTGGCAAGCAGTATACCATATGATGTTGCTTACCTGAAAATTGATCAGTCAGATTCAGTCTGAGAACGTGGGAATGAATTCAACCCGCTTGTATCCCTTGATTTTTGGATGATGTTATGGGGATGCTTGGTGACGACCGTAGGTGAAAGAGTGCAGGATGCTTGGGCGTTGGAGTTTGTTGAAGCTCGCAGTTCAAGCTTTTTTGGATAAATGTCAGATGAAGCTGAACATCTTGGAGGTCGATAGGTCTGCTTAGAGACTAAAGGCGGACGTCGATCCCCGTTGATCATCTTCACGGACTCGCCGACTCGAAATACCAAAGAGTTGAGCATAACACCTAATTAGGTTTCAACTCCAGCGAAAAGACGTAACTACTATCGTTGGACAATAGGTGCAATTGGTCTGGGGAGAAGTTGAATAACTCACCAGTCGTTGAGCTTTAGACTGTCGGAACTTGACCAGTAGATATAATTTTTAGTTTTCTAGCTGCCTATGTAGAAAAATACGCAAGAACTTGAAGCATTGGAGCAGCGGAACAAAACCGAAAAGACGACACATGTTTTGTTCTGCAATTTCTGGTCACACTGGGTCACAGCGGCACTCACGGACCAAATCAGGCGGAGCTTACAAGTCAAATTCCGCCAGGTCACACCAAGTCCTGACGCTGGTGGTATGTGCGGTACGTACCGAAGCGGAGCTAGCGGTCCTTGATTGATTATCTTGGTGTGTGATTACCTGTTTCGGTCGCCTAGTCACGACTTCATCATTGTTTTCGTTTCTCCAGACGCTTTGAGGCCCCAATCAGCTCAGTAAGTATCTGGCATTGTAGGGGCCTACCTATTGACGTTTTCTAGAAAGATATTGCAATATTCCCAGCACGAGATCTGGTCAAATCTGGCCATCTTTCCCTCAAAATTCACACTTCTGGAGTTCAAGAGCATAGTGTCTCTGTCGTTGTTGCTACAGATAAGCTATTCACTAAATTCTTTCACAATTATATTCTCTATACTATATTCTACATCTGACAATTTTCTAGCTACCTGTACAGTGATTGTTGAGCCTCTGGAGGCCCAAGTGCATATCTCTTACCGGTTGCATCCAGTGTCCAACGATAGTAAGCTGTATTTGACCAATAGTTTGAACAAATTGCTGCATGGCTCCGTCATAATCTCCTTTGGCATATAGACTATCACTGAATTGGCGATGAATCTCAGCGACTGATACTTCATCTAGACGCAGCGTCTTAGCCATATCGTATAGTGGTCGGTTGGTTACAGTTGAAAACTCTAATCACTCCGAGCATTGGCATCACTATTTTAAATCTCCGGGGGTAGTTAGTTAGCTGATAGACTTAGATATTAAAATCAATTATCAAAATAAATTTGTGCGTGGCAGATTGAGAGCGTAGAACAAGTGTTTCGGTATGAGGAGGCCCATTTAATACAAGAAAAATATGAAGAACGGTGCTATGTGTCTCTATCAAGATATTACTCCACCCTACGTCAGACCGGCATACTGAGATTGACGTATCCATCTAAGATAGTAATTGGTGCACATGGGAACACAATGAAAGAGAAAATGTACCGGGGTGCGAGAGAATGACACTAAACCCAAGGCCACACAGTATCTGTTGATTATGGCGCTTAGGGAAATTGTGCAACATTTTGGTCCAATTGCCGTCACTGAAGCTTTTTGCATAGTCCCTAAAGTGCACAATGAAGTATGAGTGAGAATAAATACTAGCAGAGGTACTTACGGGGTTGTAATGACCTGGCAATCTGTCAGAAGGTCGCCTGCACCTAATTGGACAGCATAAGACACTAAACATAAGTGGAAGAAAGAACATACCTTGAAAATCTGACAGAAATACCAAGCCTTGAGTTATGTTGTATTGTGCATGCTGTGCATGCTGTGCAAAGCACAGAAATTCCGCTATGTTTAACTCAGACTCCTCAAGATTTTGCCTCAGTGTGGCACTGTTATTGTTGATGTATTTCACAAATTTACCAGTAATTTTCTCTTCCAAGAGGTATACAGCTGCAGAGGCTTCACAAGAATCTTGAGGCACCGCGACTGCAGAATGTACCAGATGGAGACGAGGAACGATGATGGTTGGAGCTGTTGGTGCTCTGCAAGCAAGGGTTTTGTCAATATAACTGTAGAGTAAATTTATCAGACTTGTGGCCCAATAAAGGCAGTTAGCCTCATCAAGTGTCTTAACAAGTTTGTCATTGATTGTCAATTGCTTGTGACTTGATGTAGGACCGGACACTCTCCAGTAAACGTGCTTCACCACAATGGCCTCAAGCCCCAGAATTGGTACTGCCGTAATGTGGGCTTGAGACAATTTGTCAAGGTTGACGAATGATGCTGGGTGACATGTCTTGAAGCTACCGGCCGGCGCTACCATTGACTTGGTGCTACGGTCCACAGCCAAAGTTACAATGGGCTGGCTAGCTTTGTCCTTGAAGTCAAAAGGGCGGAGCCGTTCGAGGAGCTGAAAGGCACAGGGAAAATGATTGTGATGCTTGTGTTGTTGTTAACTAGCAATACATATTAGTAAGTAAGATGTAATAACATAGGAAACTTATGAATAGATTTTGCTTGTCTGCGCACGTCTTTTTGTGCTTTCATAACACGCTTGAGGGTGCTACTGTCTGGTATGTTGAACCCCACAAGATCTGTGCGTTCTTGGCCAAGAACACACTCATCAGTCAGATTACCGAGCGACCTAGTGATCTCAGGGCTGTTGGCTACTCTCTTTGCACTTGGGCTTCCTGTCTTTACAGGACTTACACTCAAAAACAGTAAGGCCATTTGTAAACATGTCTTGGGCAAAGCTGAACAATGCTAAGAAGTAGTTAACATCAGATTGTATCTGTGGCAGCATATCTCACTCACCACAGATGCGTAAACATTGTTGCAGTCATGATCTCTTGAAGATCCAGACAAAATACCTGCCGAGGCCTAGCAATAGAATTTATTAAATTAGACAAGGTGAAAAAACAATGGGAAAATGTGACGAACCTGTTGTCATGCACCAAAGTTGATTGGTAGCATGGACAGGTGTCAATAACGAAGCAAATATTCAAAAAGACTCGCCTTTGCGCCACACAGGCACAGTGCCACGTGGAATAGTAATTAATATTGCCTTTTTTGAACTTGTGGCTGATCAGCACCACCTCTATTAGGCAATCCAGTCACGCTCACCTTTGCTTTTCCATTCGATACTTTCCGCGTTTTGGCATTTTGGCAAATTTTTGCGTCGCCACTGGCTACACATTGCATTGTGTCCTCGCTTTTGTTGTTTCCTTCACTTCCCTTCCTTTGCCTAGCCCCACCATGGGTCCCTTACTCTCGTTTTTATTCTCACCCGACGGTCGTTTCTGGATCCCTATTTTAGTTCACCTCCTCGTCACCTCCAGCCTCCTCCTCCTCATCTTCTTTGCTCCCCCACCATTTCTGATGTCACCACTTCCTATCCACTTCTGTTGCTGATCTGTTGACTACCACGTGCCACTGCTGATATCAGCAAAGCCCCTGTGGCCGGTTCAAATAGGGCAACATGTCCATCTTTATGACGTCGATCTACCATCATATACTATCAAAACATCGGTTGCTCATCTTGCCTGGTTGGAGCATGGGTGGGTAGTTTTTGAGCTGGAGAAGGTTCATCCCCTTGTGTCGCCCGTGTTCATCGCTGTCCCATTCACTTGGGTACACTTATCTTTTGTCCATCGTCTTCGCTACAACTACACCTACCACATGCTGCCTGGGACTCACTTGTTCCAAATTGGGACTACTCCTCTCCCTCCCTCGTTTGATCAGGTGGTCCAACACAACCAGTCCATTGGTAAGGCCATGGAACTGTCGGATTTGGACTAGGTGGTGGACCGGTGGCTCCAGTTTCTTTTTCTTCAGCAGAACATTCATTTACAGTGCGATTATTTTTGATTTTTGAATCATTTTTATGGACACATATTTTTTAGAATGCCTGACTGACAATAAAGGAACTGTGTTGATACTGATAGTGTTTTGCCTTGCCTTTTTTTTACTGCATCTTCCCATGACATCATGATTTTCCTGCTCTCTTTTTGCTATTGGACTTTATGGCTGTACAAACCTGTGACATTACTCACAGCATTCATTGTTCTATCCCTTTCTTTTCCTTTTTTTGACAATCTTATCCTGTACTACCTATGCAGGATTCATCAGCGTACATTTTTTCCTTCATGTTCTTTCTCATTCTTTTTGCACAGCTATACTGTGCATAGCCTACTTTTCTTTTACTATATAAACCCTTGTATTTTATCTTGTAAAAAACAACAAGAACTCGATTCCAGACTTCTTCTCTAATCTTAAGTCCACTTCTTACTGCTACTTGTGATCCGGTGTGGTCACAACACTTCCCACTGCTACCACTGTTAATTGCTGTCATCGTCACTTCCCACTTTTGAAGTCATTGTTATCCCTTTCGATTAGAGTCCTTCTGCGCACTACAGTTTGTGCGTCAGGAGCCTGCTATCACTGGGAACCTTGTCACCTTGTCATCCTTGTTGTTCTCAAACCTACCTTGTGCTACAATTAGCAAGGTAGTGCTTGTCTATACTTGCCACAAAGCCCCTATCTTTCTATATTCCAACTATCCCTCCTCCTCAAAACCCACACCCATACATCATTGGGTTTTACTTTGAAGGATCGTTATACGTACCACCCCACAAACAACCAGACCACTCCACTGTTCTAGGAGGCAAAGCCCATAAACAAGTTCCGTGGAATCTGGGAGGATTGTGTGTTAGTTTGTTTTTGTGTGTGGTTTTTCTAACAACAGTTCTCATCATCGACACCGTGCTGGTGTAACAACCAAGAGTTTGAGTTTGTTACTCTGGCGCACAACTAGAACACACTATAGAGATGATGATGAGGGAGTGGTTACCCTTTAGACTTTCAACAAGTTAGTTGTGAGGATACAACAGGAGGAATTGCTGAGGAGTCTCCTTGATCTATTGGTCTATATATACTACTACAGTTTGTTTGTACATGTGTACTGTACAGTTTGATAGAGGCAGTGGCTGATGATGTCATAGGGCCTAGCCCATGTGACCAGCTCCAATGCGTGAGAGACTTGTAGCTAAAATAAGAAGAAAAGGCAGTGCAGTGCGAGAAAGAGGAGTTTGAACAAAAGGGAAAGTGCCGCATGGCACAACGTGAGAAAACTACAGTAAAAGGTTAAAGAGGAGAATGAAAATTAAAGGTCCAAAAATGTGTTATCGTAACAGCTGGACGACCCAATTTGCTCAATGACAAGCTTGTGTTTGATTCTCCACGAGTACTTGAACCTTCATGAGGACCTGAACCTCCACAACTAGTTGAACTTCCGCGCGTGCAAGAACCTCTACAAGGACGAGAAATGCGACATTTTTGACCAAACACTTTAAGAAAAACCTATAGAATAGAACTGTTATGAATGAAAATATGAGAGAAACTAACGCACCTCGTCCATCAGATTATAATCACCTGGTAGCTCATCTTCCTCTAAGTCTTCTTCATCAGAATCATGTTGTGCATGGACACTGGCAATTGAGCCACCCACACCCCGCTTGCACTCCTGTTTCCAAGATAAAATGTCCTCAAATTGGGCATTTGTCATCACCAAGATGATTGATACCTTCAAATTTGGAGCAAACCTTGGGGTGGGGTCCTTACCTGCAATATGAAAGAAGGAGTTGTGTAGAACAAGTTTTTCTGTGCCTTTAAAAGGCATGTGAGGGTCGTAAAGGAGAAGTTTGGGTGCTTTGTGCATTTTGAGGGATTCTAGTGATAAATTGCAATTGACAGACCAATCCGCCCATAGTAGCTGTAGGTTGTCAATAATAGTCAGATGCAGCTGGCATGCAGTGATAGCTAAAGAGACGGATATGTCCCGCTCAATATTCTGTCGCCAGCACAAAAGCAACCTGTCAGAATTTAAAACTCAGGGCTAAAGAGATAATACGTACTCCTACCAACTCTGTTCCAGACTTGCCCTTGACCTTCAGATAATGCAACGCTGCACGGATTGTTACTTGATGCTGAGGTGAGTTTGTTGAGGCCAATATTTTGTTACGGTGGTGGGCGTAGGTTGCATGACTTGATGTATAACCGGTCAAAGAATTGGAGTATGCGGCTGATGCAGAACGACTGATAGGAGGAGGAGGAGGAGGAGGAGGAGGCATTGTACTCGAGCCTAAATATTGTGTAGGCAAGGAATCCTCTGTCAAGCAGAAAAAAAAAGTCAGCCGAGCTACAGCTACCACACGCTGCCTGGGACTCACTTGTTCCAAATTGGAACTACTCCCCTCCCTCCCTCGTTTGACCAGGTGGTCAAATATAACCAGTCTATTGGTAAGGCCATGGAACCGTTGGATTTGGACTAGGTGGTGGACCGGTGGCTCCAGTTTCTTTTTTTCAGCAGAACATTCATTTACAGTGCGATTATTTTTGATTTTTGAATCATTTTATGGACACATATTTTTTAGAATGCCTGACTGACAATAAAGGAACTGTGTTGATACTGATATTTTTTTTGCCCTGCCCTTTTTTACTGCATCTTCCCATGACATCATGATTTTCTTGCTCTCTTTCTGCTATTGGACTTTACTTTATGGCTGTACAAACTTGTAACATTACTTACACAGCATTCATTGTTCTATCTCTTTCCTTTCCTTATTTTGACGATCTTATCCTGTACTACCTACACAGGATTTGTTAGCATACATTCCTTCCTTCATGTTCTTTCTCATTCTTTTTGCACAGTTATACTGTGCATAGCCTACCTTTCTTTTACTATATAAACCCCTGTATTTTACATTGTAAAAAAAAAAACAAGAACTCCAATCCAAACTTCTTCTCTAATCTCAAGTTCACTTCTCTCTGCTACTTGTGATCCGGTGTGGTCACAACACTTCCCACTGCTACTACTGTTAACTGCTGTCATTGTCACTCGTCACTTCCAAAGTCATTGTTATCTCTTTTGATTAGAGTCCTTCTGAGCACTACAGTTTGTGCATCAGGAGCCTGCTATCACTGGGAACCTTGTCACCTCATCATCTTGTTGTTCTCAAACCTATCTTGTGCTACAATTAGCAAGGTAGTGCTTGTCCATACTCGTCACTAAGCCCCTATCTTCTATAATTCAACTATCCCTCCTCCTCAAAACCCACACCCATACATCTCTGGGTTTTACTTTGAAGGATTATTATACATACCACCCCACGAACAACCAGACCACTCCACTATTCTAGGAGGTAAAGCCCATACACAATTTCCGTGGAATCTGGGAGGATTATGTGTTAGTTTGTTTTGTGTGTGGTTTTCTAACTACAGTTCTCATCATCGACAATGTGACTCACAAGTGTTCTCAGTTCGGAGAATGATCTGAGCTCACCTCTGAGGCATGTGTGGGCCCATCTAGAACCTCTAGGCCAAGGTTCAACATTCAGCATTTAACCTGGTTCAACGGCCTGGCAAACGCACGGCGCTGACTCATATGTCAAGTAATAAGCACCATGATATTCACACGAGAACCAACTTATGTCCGTGGGGAATGTTGAGTGCCAGCTTGAGTACTAGTAGTACCGTATCCTAATGGTTACAGCTGGATGCTGCACACCCTAACTCTCTCCCAGTACCGCATGCCTAACCCAAGAGGACAAAATGGTACCAGGCATCCTCCTTGTAAGTATTGTTGTATGCTCACAGCTGGTTGCTAACTTGGATGCTTGGTGATCAGCACCTGATGCAACAATGTGTCCTCTGATTGAACACTACCTCAGCTGTGGGTATTCCAACCCAGAGATTGTCAACAGGTTGAAGAAGTATTATGACACTGACCATTTTCAATTCTTGTAAGTGCCTGGGTCTACACTGTAGGTGGTTAGTTCACAGTTAGGATTATTGCAGACTGGCGTTGCTGAAGAAGAAATGCATGCAGTGGGGCTTGAAAAGTACACGCGGTCAAGCTCACACATTAGAAAGCATAGGTCCCACTGTTGAACGTGTCTGCGCGTGCTTTCCGGTGCAAGGTTCACATGATATGAAAAAAGCTCTACTACAAGAAGAAAAGATTATGGTACTGTGGTAAGCTGATATAATGAACATTGTATTTGTCTACTTACCCAAGGAATACAGTCAGCTTATTCCCAAGTACATGAATACCCACCACCGTCAAGAGGTCGTGGCTTGGAGGAGTTGAAAGCTTAAACACAGTTATTACTGGATGGCGGGCATTAATGATCTCTGGTCTTTTGACCAGCATGTCAAATGGAGGTGTTTCCAGTTGTTTTTACATGTAGGACTGGAACCGTTCTCTGGGAAGATATTATGGCTCAAGATATGGTGGGCCAACCGCAATCCCCGCTTGATATGTGGATGGTATTGTGACACTGTTGCTAAGCTTGATGGTAAGTAATCGTACTTTTCATGAAATTAACTCTAATCACATGCTAGGCATGCCATTGGTGACTCAAAGCGACCCCGGTTCTGAAAATAATGGCATCGCAAATGGCCACACACTCCTGAGACATCTGCAAGACCCCAGTCTTGAACATACCTTACAGCACAAGTTCAAAGGCTTGCACCGCAACATCAAACCTGAAATATTTTGGAATCAGCTACGTAGGCAATGGTCTCCAGGCTTTGAACATCCCCTCAACTACGGACTAAATGAAGGCTTGTACAACCCAGATGATCCTTTACAATGGTAAGTTGTATTAAAGGGACTCAGTAGCATCTAATAATACTGTCTTATTAGGCTCACATTTCACTATATCTTCATCCCCTGGCTGCAAGACAAACTGGATCTCTTTGTCAACAGATTCAACCACACTCTTTCTTGGCACAACCGTAACAAGATTTTACCGCATGAACGCCCAGCCAATATCTTTGAACAACCAGAGCACTTCCAGTCTCAAGACTTTGCAGTAAGTTTTTCATTTTGCTGTAAGTTACACTACTAACTGTATTGTAAATAGGTCAAAGTGCATCTACCCTCACTTGCAGAAGTCAGAAAGACGTATGCTCCACCTGAGCATCATGTCTTTGAACTTGTCCCTGCAGCTTTTGCGCAGGAAGCCTCCAACTTTCTTCGTGGTGCCGGCTCGCCTGTAGTAATGCAAGACAATGCGTGGGATGTCTATCTCAGTTTACTAGAACATCTAACCACACTACAGAGTTCTTGTGGGTCAGCCAGCATTGCCGGATGAAGGTTTTGTCGGGTCTGAATTTATGCCTCTGGTGAATCTCCCTGTCTACAGACCAACAACTACACCGGGCGGTTCATGCACAAATGAATTTTCTTCCAATGATGACAAAAGTGACTACATTTATGAATGGACTGACTCAAGTAGCGGAGGATATTCATATATCAATGAAACCTGACTTATTCACAAGCATTCTCCCTTACATGGCTCAGTGTATCATGGAATCCAATGTAATTAGCAAGTGAATAGATACATGCACAATTTGACTAAGCTACAGCCCTTTCATTCCTTTCCTATTTGATAACCTGCTCCACCATGACCACCCCAGTTGCAAACCTTGTGCTATCCATATCCACACATTTCTGTGGAGAGTTTGCACTGGAGATGGTAAAGCTGATGTCGGAAGAGCAGGTAAGCTGGTACTTGGCACACTCTGCATCTTATCACTGAAAAACAGGCATTTCAGTATATCAATGGGGAATGGGCGCAATGTACTTATCTATCTTCCGCATATCTGTCTGAGAAGGTGGTGAGCCCACAAGCTTTGTCTGAATGCATCAGACAAGGATTGCGCTGTGGGACTAAGCTGAGAAGTCCGTTTTTGGTTATGGTCACATGACCAGAATGACAGTTACCATCACTCGAAAAGTTTTTACTTCTGTCCTTCATCGAGTCCTTTGATTGCTTCTCCTTGTTGCTGTCCTTGAGCACCTCAGGATGGTGGCCATGGAGCCATTTTCTTTTTCTAGCTATTTTCTCTTTTTAGAAAGGTGCGTGGTATAAAGGTACGTAAACTACATTGATTTTCAGCAGCTACCATACTTTCCCCACTTTTGTTGAGTCACTCATCGATCTTCCAATATGACTGAAAGCTCTTTCCCCAGCGGTTTGAGCAACTCCAATAGCAAGTCACCCACATGGTCTGTGCAAGAAAATGAAGGCAACAATGCAGATACGTTAGGTGCGTATAATTTCACTTAAAAACCATTGATACTAACATTGGATTGTTCAGATATTGTGATGGCCTTGTTGGCTGGCATCAGTCTCTCCCCCACCAATGCTATGACTCTCATGTCTGCAGTGCTGGACCGCACTGCTGCTGGTGGAGCCTCTCCTCCATCCCAGAGAGCATCTGCCTCAACAGCCACACCCCCTTTGACTCAGGCTCCTGTCGCAGCAACATCCTCATCTTCCACACTAGTTGCCACCCCAGTTTCATGCTCCTGCTGCCTCGATCCAGACTTACCAAGGGTGGCCATTCCATGTGCCCGAGCCTGGGATGCAGGGCCAATATTACTTGGTTACCAGAGGTCATTGCATTGGGATATTCGCTGCCTGGTAAGCCTGGTCACTTTGTATCTTATTTTTTCTTACATTTTACATAACAAGGCAAACAACCTCCCCCTATGTGACTGGGGTGAGCCACGCAACCTATACTTGCACTTTATCTCTGGAAGCTGGGATAGCCAGCATGCACCTTGCAATAGACAATGGTGAGGTGGAGATTTTGCCGTGATTTATGGCTGCTGGCTGTCAGGTCTTATTTCTTGCAAAGTATGTACAGTAGCACAGTGCCTGTGTTTTTTGTTGCAATAAACGATACTCATACTGCCCAAACAGTCGCTCTCTGTTCTTGATCCTGCACGCAAGTCTTATCATTTATAATTGATTTTAATATTCAAGTCTATCAGCTAACTAACTACCCCCGGAGATTTAAAATAGTGATGCCGATGCTCGGAGTGATTAGAGTTTTCAACTGTAACCAACCGACCACTATAATATTGAGAGCTAAAGGGTACAAAGCCTTTTGGTATAGCATATCTAGCTTGGCAGACATTGGTTTTTCCACAAGGCAAGAAAGCTAAAACCGTCATTAGTTTCATGTTCAAAGGTAATACTGGGTCACAAAAAGCACCTTTCCCTTGTTGGTTAGAATGTATATGTTACCCCATTCTGAGATGACCTCACAAACTCCTTCCACAAATGTGCCCAAATAAGCAACCAGCTTGTTCTCGAGGTCAAAAACAGTAACTTTTGTTATGTCTATGTGCCCAATAGTAGCATTTTTGGAGACAAAGTTCTGAACAGTCACAGACGCAGATGCAGCACAAGGAGCAAATGGAAGTGACACGACAACAAGGTGAGTATGGACAGTGATTTGTGGCCTGCAAGACAACAACATAAACATAACTCAGAAGGAACATCAACATCACACACCTTTGTACGCATAGGTCAGTCCTCAACCCTCCACTCCACAGACATATATTGCATCTTCTCGGGCAATCACAATGTCACTCGCACGCCAGTCCAGTGTTGTGCACTGTTATGATACACAATTTTCGGACCTTTAAATTCCATTCTCCTCTTTACCCTTATTCTGTAGTTTTCACACACTGTGCCATGCAGCACTTTCCCCTTTGTTCAAACTCCTCTTTCTCGTGCTACGCTGCCTTTTCCTTATTTTTAGATACAACTCTCTCACGCAGTGGAGCTGGTCACACGGGCTGTGCCCCCTGACATCATTAGCCAATGCCTCCATCAACTGTACAGTACACATGTACAAACAAACCTGTAGTAGCATCAATACCCTAATAGATCAAGGAGACTCCTCAGCAAGTCCTCCTGTTGTATCCTCACAACTGACTTGTTGAAGCCTAAAGGGTAACCACTCCCTCATCATCCTCTCTATAGCTTGTCTGAGTTGTGCGCCAGAGTAACAAACTCTTGGTGGTCACATTAGGACTCGCTCTTTTTACTCTCTCGCACGTTGTGCAAACCCGGTCCCCAGGGTTAAGGGGTTGTTGTTTAGGGGTGCGCTCCTAGCGACGGCCCCATAGTGCTCTAGGAGAAAGGACATTTATTTTTCATACATAGCCCCCAGTGTTAAGGGGAGTACTTTAGCTCAGCAATAGTGTGGAACTATTGTTGATTAGAATTTACATACAAACCTTCTCTTTCTCTTTCCTCTGACCAGGTCGGGCACTTGCCTCCGCCAGTCTGGAGAAGGGTTGACAGCTTAACAAGCGGACCACCACCTGACAACCATTCGGACCAGGGTTTATTATGTTTATCTTTTATATACATTTTCAAATACTATAGTGTGGGTAGTCGGAGATTGAGATCCGATACTCAGCAGGGAAGAGGTAGATCCGCAGATAGCAAGCGGGGACCCTCTGTTACATTTTTTTACCTTACCAAGAGAACAAGTCAACATGTCGTCGCAAAGTCAACAACCCAACATCAACACTCTGTTGCACAACATGCGTGCACAGATTTTGGCGTTGACCACACAACTCACCGAGCTGCAGACACACCCCCCTGCAGCAACCCCCTTGGTCGAGATGAAGTTCAATAAGAAAGTTGAAGTCGTCGCTGACCCTGGTGCCTTCAAGGGAGACAAAGTGCAATTTGCCAAGTGGTGGATCAAGCTCCAAATTTGGGTCAAGGCAAACTGGGATGCATTTGCCGACAATTTTGAGGTAGCCACTGCAGTGCTATCTCGACTAAAAGGACCTGTGGCAGGTCGGTACGCCCAAGTTAGAATGCAGGAGTGCTACACCACGGGAGTGTGGCCTGTCTGGGATGATCTCAAAGTTGAGATCGAAAAGTATTTCAAACCGCAAGCTGAGCGTGACTGGGCGTGTCAGCAGATCCGTACCTTCAAGCAAGGAAACATGAGGACAGATGATTTCGTAACCCAGTTCCTGGCCCTCTCTATCCAAGGGGGCTTAGGTAATGAACATGCAGTGGAACTGCTGGAACACAATGTGAACCCCCACATTGCAGAACAGCTCTATCTGCAGGATATGAGGAGTGATAACCTCTCCTAAGCAGCAGAGGAGGTTCGAAAAATAGGTAGGGCCATAGAGCTCTACAAAATGCACCAAGGTGGCGGGTCCAGCACCAAAAACAACTATTCCCAGAGGAGCCCTGGGTCATCAAACCACAAACAAAATCACTCTCATGGGTTCCAACCATTTGGGTTTCAACCAGGGCGGGGAGCCCCAATGGATATTGGCGTGGTCTAGGGCGGACAGATGCGCAGATTCACCTGCTACAGCTGTGGGCAGGAGGGGCACATAGCCCAAAAGTGTCCAAACGGAGCGCAGGCAGCTCAATAAAAAATTAACCAAGGGCGCCAGGCGCGCCAATTAGAAGCTGAAAAGTCGGATGATCGGCTCAACACTCTGGCCAGTCTTTTGTACGACAAAATCCGGGCCTTCTTTTACGACCAACAGGTCAATGAGATGAAAGCTCAGGGAAAAGAGTTCGAAGCTTAGGTCACTTGGGTGCCTTTGCTCCTATAAACAATGAAGTAAACCACAACAAGGTGGCCCCTGCTCCGGGGTGTTGCACAAGCAATAAAGGAAAGAAGGGGGTGGCTCCCCAATTTGTAAATAGATTTCCAAATTTGTTATCAGAAGTATGTACTTGTATGCAAAGCTGTGACTGTGGATTTGTCTTGGACCCTCCTGACGATATAGCTGCTTTGAGCACTGATTCAGTGGGTCAGGATGATGAAGAAGTGGATGCTGAAAATACTTATAAAAACACTGTTGTACCAGCGTCTCCTTTGTAGCGTGGCCCCAGCGAGACAAACACTAGGGTGCTTAATTCTGGTAAAAATAAAAATAAAAACATAGAAAATCTTAAAGTAGAAAAACATGTTTCTTTTGATAATTCTTCTTCTTCTTTGGAGCCACTTCCCACAGAAATCCCAAGGTGTGTGTTGATGTGCACATATTTATTCCAAAAGGAGATCCATTTAGACGTTGGTGTGGAAAACCTTGCCCGGGGCATAGTACACCCAACCAGCGCACTGCTTGATTCAGGCGCTAACAGAATCTTCATAGATCAGGTCTGGGCGGAGCAAATTGGACTCCCCCTTGTAAAATTAGATGTATCTATTCCCGTCTATAACGTTAACGGTACACTTAATGCAGGTGGCTGTATCACACACAAATGTTCCTTTGTTGTCAAATTCCAAGGACACAGGGAACAAGTCACTGCCGAAGCTACCCAACTAAGGAAGATTAATTCAATCTTGGGCTGGACCTGGCTATTTAAACACAATCCTGAGATCGACTGGCAGACAGGGGTTGTCACATTGTCACGTTGTCCTTAGGAGTGTAAAAACTTGGGTAAGCTGAGTCACGTCCGTCAAACTGAGCATCTTGAAAAGATAAACGCTGGTCATGTTTATGAGCTTAGATCTTTAGAAAAGATTGACAATGACGCCCATATTAGCATTTCCAGAATTAGACAAAGAGTTCCGGCTAGAAACTGACTCTTCTGATCTTGCTACTGGGGCTGTTCTATCAATTTAATGCCCTGACAATCTTTGGAGGCCTTGTGCCTATTTATTGCATAGTTTGTCGCATACAGAGCGCAACTATCAAATTTACAATAAGGAGATGCTGGCCATTATTAGAGCTTTAGAGCACTGGCAGCACTACTGAGAAGGTGCTAGGCACCAATTTGAAATTTGGACAAATCATAAGAATCTGGAATATTTTATGACGGCCCAAGGCTTGAACCAGAGATAGGCCCGCTACGCGGTGTACTTGTCTAGGTTGAATTATAAATTAATTCATAAGCTTGGAACTTCTATGGGGAAAGCAGATACTTTATCCAGAAGAGAGGATCATGCCAATGGCATTGAAGATGACAACAAAGGTGTCACCCTGATAGATCAATCCAGGGTTGCCAATGTTTGAATCGGGCAAAATTCCAATCTTCTGGAAGTCTTCAAGAAAGACATTTCCTCAGAAGAAAAGGTGCACCTTGATGGCAATGAAAACTATTTATGGGAAGACGGGCTCTTCCATTTTAAAGACAAAATATATGTGCCTGAGTCCGCAAGGATCAAGGCAATAGATAGACATCATGACACTCCAGTGGCTGGGCACCCTGGATGGCAACGAACAATGGAGTTAATCTCCAGAAACTACATGTGGCCTGGCATGGTCAAAGACATACAGGAATACATAAAATCCTGTCTGAGATGTGCCATGGCAAAGAACTCACATCAACTGCCGGCCAGTAAACTTATGCCAAATCCGATACCAGCTGGTCCCTGGCAAGATATATTGGTCGACTTTACGACAGATCTGCCCGAGTCAAATGGGTACAATTCAGTCATGGTGGTAATAGATCGCTTCTCCAAAGAAGTGGTATTTATTCCCACCAACAAAACCATTACCGCCGCTGGTATGGCTGATTTATTTAAAGATTTTGTATGGTCTATCCATGGATTGCCGGAAACTGTTATCTCCAATAGGGGACGACAATTTGCTAGCAAATTTATGAAAAAACTATGCCGGATGCTGGGCATCAAACCTAAATTATCAACGGTGTTCCATCCGCAGACTGATGGACAAATGGAGAGACTCAACCAGGAATTGAAGCAATACCTCCGGATATTTATTAACAACAGATGTTACAATTAACATACTGTCAGGCAACAAATACGAAGCTATATAACAAAGCCCAATGTCTGGTCAAGTCCTTCCTTGAAGGCGGTGAATCAGAGTATGAGAATGAAGAGTATCGGTAAGAGCGCAAATCCAAACTAATATTGAACTGGAGAACAATACATCGAGTATGTACTTCTCTATATAGTGAACGACGATGGTCAGACTGAGAAAGGGAAGTACTAAGAAAGTGGTCTGACCAGCTAGCTAACCAATAAGGAAAAAGGAGGAAAGTGGTCCGATCTATCGTCTTTACTAATCGTATGAGAAAACGTATTGGTAAGGGATGTACGATTGGCTGTATCAGTAAGCCCATGAGAAGGCGCTGACTTACAACCTTCTTCGCTTATCAATATTCCTCCGAAGTATTCCCAGACATAGCACTGGATCGTGACTATGTCATCTGGATATCTTCTCGAGGGTCGACAACAAGTCTACCTCGTTGTAGATACAATAGAACGTGAGTGTGAAGAGAGAATAAGAAGAAAAATGATAAAAGTAATAAGACACCTGCTGTAATCTCTAGTCCAAGGGCAAGAGGAGTGACGGGGATCGAGTCTGCTAACCACGACATGACGGGAATGTGATAAGAAAAATCGATTCCTCACATTAGCTCCCCTTTTATAAGACTCGTGTCCTCATGAGTCCGGATGCGGCACTTTGGAACTTGTTACTAATCCAATCAAAAAGCATTGGAGGTTTGGAAGTGGCGGTGTAGTTTTCGTAAGGACGGAAGTGGAGAGAAGCGGTAATAATCCGAGGGGCGGCTGGATTTGTTTTATGGAAGGCGGCGAGTAAATCAGCGACATGCGTAAGATTGGTGTCGGGTTCCCAAGTGCGTTCGGAGACTGGATAACCATGCCAGTGAATGAGGTAGTCGAGTTTACTACCTTTCAGTTTGGTCGGTCTGGAAGCGATTATACTCTCTACTTCGTATTCGTCTATTCCTTCCACGATCTCGGGTGGTGGTCGCGAGGAAATTGGTTGATTGATGAATTCGGGAGCGTGGTATGGGGAGAGGATGGCTTCGTTGAATACGGGATGAATGGACTTCCAACTTTTAGGGACATCGAGTTGATAGGCGGAGGGTCCGACCTTTTGGGTGACTTTGAAAGGTCCGAAGCGTTTATCATCTAATTTCTTCATTGGTCTATCCGTTGTGATGTTATGCCCTTCTAACCAGACTTTGTCGCCAGCTTGATACTCTCGGGAGGGGGACTTCTTCCGGTCGTAATACTTCTTCAGATTCTCGTTTGCTACAAGAAGGGAGGATTTCGTGATATCGTGGAGTTTTTTCATTTGTTCGCTAAATTCTACTGCAGAAGCGGATCGAGGGGACGACGTGGTGGTGATATTCGTTCTTGGGTGTAACCCATAGTTCAAAAAGAAGGGCGTTTGATTCGTTGCGGTATGGAGGTGGTTGTTGTAAGTAAACTCAGCAATGGAGAGCCAGTCTGCCCAGTCATCTTGTCGATGATTTATAAAAACGCGGAGGTAGTGCTCTAGATCCTGGTTGATCCGTTCGGACTGTCCGTCTGTTTGAGGGTGATAGCCTGTAGAGAGGCCTGGTGTTATCCCCATTAGGTCGTAAAAGTCTTTTGTGAATCGAGACATGAATTGAGGACCTCGATCGGAGACGATCTTTTCAGGAATTCCGTGGAGTCGTATTACATTATCTCGGAGTTGACGTGCATAACCGGCCGAGTCGAGAGTGACGAAGGTGGGGACGAAATGGGCCATTTTACTAAATCGGTCAACAAAGACCTGAACGGCGGTGTAGCCCTTGGATTCCGGTAATGCGCCTATGAGATTGGTGGTGATAATCTGCCAAGGTCGATCTGGTATCGGGTTCGGGTGTAGAGGGGCGTTAGGCTTTGTCCGATGTGCCTTGGTGCGTTGACAACTCTCGCACCCTCGTACATACCGTCTGATATCAGTACGAAGACTTGGCCACCAGAGCTCTCGGTTCACTCGTTCAAACATTGTTCTTTCTCCTGGGTGTCCAGCCAGGGCTTCGTTGTGATGATCTTTCAATATTCGCGCCCTTAGTTCGTGATTTCGGGGAACGTATACTCGGTCAGCTAATGGGATCGGGTAGGAACTCGTCGCGGACTCTCTCTTGATCCAGACGATCCTATCCTTCATCTTCCAGGTATCCGGCTTCTCTTTCAAGTTCTTCTTTACTACGTCGTCTTGTTTCTGGAAGCTTTGACGTATATCTGGTAGGTATCCTTCGTTGGTGTCAAGTAATTCAAAATGTACGTCTGGGAGAAGTATCTGATCCTCGTTATCGTTTGTGCCTTTAGGATGATCAATTCGTCTGCTTAACAGGTCAGCCTTCATATTTTGATTCCCTTTGACATGTTCCATTTTAAAATTATAATCTGCAAGCTGGGATGACCATCGAGCTTGGCGTCGATTGTATTTCTGAGGTTGACGGAAGTAGAGGAGGTTTTGGTGATCTGTGAAGATGGTGAAGGGGTGCTTCGATCCTACAAGGTGATGTCGCCATTCATCTAACGCCGTCATAACTGCGAGCATCTCTTTGTCATAAATTTCATAGTTTCGTTCTGCAGGGGTAAGGGCTTTCGAGAGGAATGCTATGGGTCTGAATTTGTCGTTTTGTTTCTGGGATAGGACGGCTCCTACAGCGAAGTCAGAGGCATCGGTTTCTAGTTTGAATGGGTCGTCGTCATTTGGTATAGCAAGGGTGGGGGCGGTAGTAAGCGTTTTCTTCAACGTTTCAAAGGACGTCTCTTGTTCGTCTTTCCAGGTCCAGTCAACTTTTCCGGTGAGTACAGTGAGTG